TGGTATGAATATTCAATTATAGTTTTCGGATATTGCAAGATGTGGTTTATCTAAAATAACAACTTGCAGCGCTGTGCTGGTTGCAAAATTTCCGACTAACATAAAGGCCCATGTGGTGCCGTTGAGTTGAAGCTTGACTGCGGTACTAAGGGCTCCCGGTTCGAATCCGGGTTCGGGCACTATATATGTATAGTGGGTTGGGTTGGTAGAGCAGCCTAAATAAAATAACACTACTTGGGAGCCTATCCCAATTCTGTAAAAATGTAAGAAGTTAAGTGAAACTACATTTACATGGAGTCATTTACCTCACAAGACTTTTTTATGGTAACTAATGAAAAAGGAAAAATATAAACAGTAAAACGACTAAGCTGGTAAAAGTATCTACATAAATTATCATTTACTTTGTTCTCCTTACTGTAAATTAAAGCCGATCAATAATTCATAATATTATGAATATTATTATTACAAATTTCGCTTTGGCTCAACTCTGCAAAAAGCGGTCCTTTTAGAACTAGCTTTACTTCAGATCCTAGTTTGTTTCTATGGACACAGTTTAAGACCAAACCAAGTTAGGGTACTAGTTGTGCATGTGCAATCCACTTTTGACATGCTACTTCAATTTCAGTTTATAAAAAGAATCCTACCCTAAAATTTTGGATTAGTTCATAAAAAACGAATGTGGGTCCGAGCATGCCCAATACCTGTCTTACGTGTTTTTAGTCGGATCGGATTGCGCATGGTCAAAACAATTTATTTGATTTGGCATTAGTTTTACCTTTATTCGAGGTACCTACGTACAACATCTAGTTTAAATATCTTAACAAATAAAAAAATTAGATTGCGCAAATATAAAAGTCCACACAGACAGACAGACGGACAGACAGACAGACGAACAGACATCTAGAGGATCGCAAAATTATAGTGCATACAGCATATATTGAAGAAAATCGATTTTTTCCCGTAACAGACGAACGGACGGACGTAAAGTCCAAAATCATGACCTCCCTTTTTGTCGCTCGTTAATAAGAAATATACATTTGTTTTATTTTGATGTAAGGTATCTAGATTAATATTATTGGATGTAATTACTTAACAAAGAATTTAATTTTTAGCGCATTTTTGGAGACTTCAAATTTTCACTAAAATCTTCTTGTTATAGTGTACATGTGCAGGCTCTAGTCCAGCGGCGGACTGGCCCGGGGGGGGCGGGTGGCGATTGCCACTTGGCCTGTACGTCATAATGGCCCGTTGGAAATTTATAAGTATGTGCTGTATTTAGTTTCTTGCACTATTAATAAGTTATTAACACGTTTCTCTAATTGGGGTTGATGTTAGGTTGTTAAAAAATTAAAAAATTCTGTTTTAATTGAAATATTTTACAATGAATTTATCATTTTTTGTCGTAGCATGAAAGTGCTGAAATACAATGCTAGGCGACGCGCCTCGTTTGGATTGTATATTTTGTTACTTTTAATTATCAGCTGCAATTTAAAAAAAAACCTGTATTGTAATTGATTTCCGAAAAAGGAGTACTTTAAAATGAAGCAAAAAATGTTTTTGTGGTGCACCGCAGAGCTACCCCCCCGCCACCTTCATTACTACACTAATACTTAAATGGCCCGTAACCTATGCAATTCCACCTGGCCCGCCCCTGACTAGAAACCAATTTCGAAAGAAAATTCAAAGGGCTGTAACTTTTGAACTAGAAGCCCAAGCTTGGAACTGTTTGAAATTATGGATTCTACAGGCCACGTTCTATAAGAAGATATGGACACACTTTAAGACCAAACCAAGTTAGGGTACACTAGTTGTGCATGTGCAATCCACTTTTGACATGCATTAGTTTTACCTTTATTCGAGGTACCTACATACAAAATTTCGTTTAAATATCTTAACAAATAAAAAAAATAGATTGCGCAAATGTAAAAGTTCACACGGAGAGACAGGCGGATAGACTGGCAGACGGACAGACAGACAGACATCTCGAGGATCGTAAATTTATGGTGCATATTGCATATATGCCGAAAACTGATTTTTTTCCCATAACAGACGGACAGACAGAAAATCCAAAATCATGACCTCGCATTTTATCGCTCGTTAATAAGAAAAAAAATATATATTCATTTGTTTTATTTTGATGTAAGGTATCTAGATTAATATTATTGGATGTAATTACTTAACAAAGAATTTAATTTTTTTATTGTATTGGGATACTAACATCGCTAAGAAAAAAATCTCTATCAAATGAGCCTAATAAACTGTGCATTGTTGTTTTAAAACATTCAGTTGTTTTTCGTTACTCATTTGTTTTCTATATTAAAAACAACTGAATGCTGCCTATTATAAACAACTTTTCTATACAATTTTATATACAGTCGTTATTTACTATATTCCATACATAATGGGCACCCTATATACGTATTGTTATGTAAATTACATTATGCGGATGTTTCTAATGGTATCAGTAATGATAGGTCACCACGTATAATGTGAATTTCAATTTTTTAAGGTTAAATGTGGTCGTTAATTTAGATTAAACACAATTTCGATCATTTCATTTGATTTTGATTTCATTATTAGATGTCTAATTTTGTTTACATAATTACTTTATAGATAATGAGTTGTTTTCGCGATAGTACCTAAACGCAAGTGTCAGTTTATCGACGACGCGCAGTAATTTGAGAAGGAAAGCCGGCAGTTTTTCTTTCAAAGTTTTACTAGTGGCTAAAGTAAATTCGATTTGTAGACGTTGACAAAATAGTAGACGAAATATAAAAAATTCGAAGGGAAGAGTCGTTAAATAAGCGAGGCAGTCGTTAAACGCGACTTCTTGGTCAAGGATTTTTTTGAAAGACAGTCGGTTCTGGTGTAAAAAAAAGTTTAGTTGGTGGTCTAAGATTTTTTAATTCATTATTATGTGAATGTTCTAGTTTGAGTTTAACTCAAGGGTCGTGCATCTATCTGAAGCCTTTCTATAAGGTTTTCAAGTAGCCAGTGAAGTTATCCACCACCAAAAAGTCAGATTTACAATTTAAATTACAACAAAGTCAGTTCGTTTAAATCAATAATTAATTGGAAGTTAAGAAATGAAGATTCCGAAGCAATATCAGTAAGGGAGGTATAGCATTGGGGTAAAAATGACCCCCCCCCCCACTTGTTTGACGGAGATACACGTTTTGAACCACCAGTAAACCGAATCAAACAAAATCTCGATGATGTCGGTCCGTCTGTACTCTCATTTCCGGCTAAACGGCTGAACCGATTGGAACCAAATTTGGTACACGTATTCTGAGACACAAAAGGAAGAGCTAAGAACTTTTGGGCAGGATCGCGCATGGGCAATTGTGTCAAACTCTCATTTTTCTCATCTTTTTTTAAATTAATAATGTTAAATTTCATCAAATTCAAAATTTAGAACCTTACTACCCCACTTGAGATACTCTACATTATTTTTAAAAACTCGTATACGTATTTCAGAAATACCAAAACTGCATTTGCCCTTAGCCAAAGACTCCAGTCATTAGCCAACGCCATTAATCGCTTGTTTAACTGTGATACTACACACATCCAAGAAAATGCATCAATTTCAATCGAAGATATGTTGAAAAGCTCTGCGTCAATACACAATTAGTGTTTCTTGGGTAAGTTACACATGATATAGTGTGAGGTGCAAACGAGGGATGCAATCTCGTGAGTGCGATGCGTACCTAATTAAAAAATTAATGTTTAATCAGTGGTAAACATTTAACTAAATTTAGTAATCAAATGACAGATTTTGTATAAGTCACTAAAGGACTTATTGTGATAAGTCATTGTATATTGGAATTCGCTACTATAACTCGCATTCCTTTTATAACACCCACTATTATCCTCAATCAAACGTACACTTAGTGTCATGCTAAAACTACCGGCATGCCTGATTGATTACTACCAGTCTGATATAACAACAAAGTCCAGCCTGAACAATATTGCAACAATAACGGCAAATAATCTCGAGAAGAAAGTTCAATACCATACCTATTTTTTTATTATGCTAATTGTACTGGTATATGGCGTCATAATAGGCAATCAATCTAAAATTTCTTTTAAAGAGGGCATTAATTTCTAGTACCATCATGAAATTTCTATAGTTATCTATCGATGTTACCAAATGGAATGAATACATCGGAGAAAGTGATGGTTAATCAAAATCGTTTTTTATACACGGTTTCTCTCCACATTACGTATGCAGAAGGTTAAACTGAAAATATTCATTTTTTTAATAAAACAATTTCCCTCGGAAAATCTAAGAATTATCTTATTAAATATGTAATTCTACCGCTTTCGGCAATGTGTCTAACATATACTTAGTTGTTAATTTAATGATTAATTTCTGTACTTATGACACTTCCATCATCTACAGCGTACATCCGATTGAAGATGTATATTTTCCGTAATTAGACCTAGGGGAGATTTTTTTATTGCATTAATTTTCTCTTAGTCGTTTATTTTAAATACCAAGGAAACGTGTATAATTTTTGCGGTGGGTAATTAACGTCCTCATTAGGCTTGTCGTTTGAAACAAAATCTTATTTGTTAAGGTGTAAGTACGCTAAATTCCTTTGAATAAACAGTAAATTTATATCGTTGACAATTCCCAGCATCACGAAAAAATCTCATTACCTTAATGATAGAACTACAAACTTTCTTTATTCGTAAGGTCAACAATATCTCACCTTTAAACGACCATAAATTTCTTTTTGCATACGCGCAATTTTTGCCAATTAATTACATGACAATTGATTAACGGTAGTCAACGGGAGCGCGAGTTAATCGAAATTTGTAATCGCACCTACTTTCCGGCAGTCACTTAATTGTATAAACATCATCGGTGAGAAATGCTTTCATCTGATGCCTGTAACAATGTACTTTTACTGAAAATTTCCTATGCGAGCCGTACAATTAAAAAATAGTAATTAAAATCTAATTTTTCAAATATTAACAAATAATAGCGGACTTACCCAGCGCATGTTGCTTTAAGTCTCTAATCCAAATTGTACCTATATGAAGTATTCACACGCGATGACTCTTTGATACTGAAGAATCTCTCCGGAAGGATGGTGCATTACCGGGTGCTATTCATCCATACCATAACTTTGTAATACCAACGTCGATGGCCCCGATTATTTTAGAATACTTACCATTGGAAAGTATTGTTAACCTACGAGCACTCCTTTGCCGTATACTACTGAAATCTGTTGTTTTAGGGGAAAAATCTGTTAATTTCTCTTTAAGTGATATAGATTTAAGCATAATTTCTCCAACAAATTTTAGTTTCGGTTTGATGATTAATATAATTGTCTAGTATTATTGATGTGTTAATCTCTTCAATATTTCACACATGAAATACCTTCCCACGCCCGGGGCTTGTGCATGTCTTCAAGACAATTTAAACTATTATTTTACAAGTGATACGATCTTCCGACGTAATCAATAGCCGTAGCAAAATTACCAAATCTTTTACAAAGTTTATTGTATGACCTGGTCCAAGTCAAAATTAAGGTTTATAACGTAAACATTTTACGTTACCATTGCCATTAACGGAACTATAATTGTAAAAAAGCTTCATTCTTCACTCATAGTTTAGTAATCGCGGAAAAAGTACTAGGTGCCACTATTGGGCTGTACCAATCAACAGCATATACTTAATAGCAATTAAAATGCACCATTTTTAATCAATTAATATTATCGCTTCCAGGTCTGCAATTAAAATTCAAATAATTGCATGTATGTACCTACTAAATCATGAGGGTAATTAAGTAGGTATGTACAGTAGTTCACTTTAAGAGCCCAAAATCAAAATCAAAAATATTTGGGGGCCCTTTCCCTTACGCTTAATTTAACCACTATTTCTAATGATAACCATCTTAAAAATATATAAATGAAAGTTCACTAGGAATACGCCCTAGAAGATTCGGATTTTTTTATTGAAGATAACACCCTCATATCGACCTTCTGACGTTACTGGACTCTGAGCTTAAAAAAAACTTGATGGCTAGGGCTAGCTGCAGGAATTGATCAATTTTAGCAAATTTATTTCTTCGCTATTCACCTTTTTTTTTCTTTTCTCTTGGAGGTTCTATGGTATTTTCGTCCATTCTGAGCTGTCTGATTTCAAAATTTCAAACGACTAGTACTCTTGGCGTATCTACAGACGCTGCTCATTTAGTTTGATCAGTGATTTCACTTCTTTGTGTATGAATGCAGAGGTAAATGCTGGAGTGTTAAAATTACTTAGCGGCATTCATCTCGAAATACAACTTCAGTCTAAGGTTACCGTATCCAGGACCTTCAGCTACTTTCTGGACTGCAGGAGGTCCTGCTAGTTAAAAGTATTTCATGTACTTTATGTAAGAGACTTCGGAATGTTATTTTTCACAAATGGGAAATGAGTGGAATTGCTTTTAAATCTATTTGAGCTGGTTACTTTTGAAGATATCAAATTTCGTATTAATAATAATAATAATATTGACATTTATTTGTCCAACTGACTTTATATAGAAAACTTGGGATACCTCAAGAACATGGCATTAAATGCATTCTGTCTAAATTTGTAACTCTCTGGAACTCTTTTGGCATTTGATTCACTAATGAAGTCACACAAAGTATACACGAAATAGCTTTTTTACGAATGTTTCGTCTCTTACTTTAGTAACGCGAAATATGTAAATAATTAACACAAAAGTAGCATTGAAGAAATTCGGGATTTTTTCAGAATTTTTTTATGAACTAATCTTTTTTGTACATTTTTGCCGGGGACCCTTTTAAGTCGGGGCTCGTCCTCATTGCGTACCTTTGAGACATTTTAGTTACGCCACTGGGTATGTGTTAAAAAGCAGATTCAACTTGTAGGTACTCGTATATTACTTTTAAGTTACGGAATAACTATAAACTTCTTATTAATTTCATAGTACGAGGGTCCTGCCGCAGTGCGTCGGTCTTTCCTAGTTCATATCTGGTAAAAAATGTCATAAAACCTTTTATGAATATGTCAACCATAGATGGTTGCGCATCTACATAAATTATTTTTGAATGTACGGGATGTCCCATTTTATTGTTTCGATGTCATTTTTTAACTTCTGCATGGAAACCTATTCACTTTATGTGAACACTTTGGTAAAGAGAAACTTGGATTTAGTGATACAGGGTGTTCACAAAAAAATTTCAAACTTCAAAGTGTCATAACTATTTTTTTTTCAAATGGAACTCTATTCGATAGTCTTTTGTGTGCTCTTTAATTGTTATAAGAAGTGTCGTGCACCGTATTTTCTAGATTATTTCTCCCAAAAATAGTTACACATTGATTAATTACATCATAAACCTGTGTAGACCGTGATAATAAAAAAACAAAACAATGCCAGAAAGTGTCACACATAAATTATCTGCTGCAAGTACTCCCTATTTCGTACTAAAATAAAAATTAAAAAGGCGAATTTCGAAAAAGGTCTTTTTAAATAATCTTATTTTACTACGAAATAAAGATTATACTTGCAGTAAATCATAAATTTATGGCACTTGCGATATACTGTCTGGCATTCTTTGGTTTTTTATTATCACGGCCTACTCCTATTTATTAATGTAATTAATTAATTAATGTGTAAACTGTGTAACTATTTTTGTGAAAAATATTAAATAACTTAAAAATTACGGGGTTTAGGAACAGGACACCCCTTCTAGAAATTGAAAAGCACACAAAAAACTATCGAATAGAGAAGTGATAGTTCCATTTTAAAAAAAAAATAGTTATGACTGAAATTTTCTATTTTTTTAACACCCTGTATCACTAAATTCAACCTTCTCATTACCATGCCTTTCATTCAGATTAAAATCAAGGTCGCTACTATTTATCAAAGTGGGCCTTGCTTATAAAATTAATAATTTGGTAACATTGACATTTCCATGCAGAAGTTAAAAAATGACATCGAAACAATTAAAATATACAGGGTGTTCCATTTAAAAATCAGTTGGCTATTGATACCGTAAAAATGGGACACCCTGTGTTATAGTGGCACCCTGTATTTGGCCGAATACGTATAATGTTCACTTAGAAATTGTGAAGGCCAGTTCCCCCTCCGGGAAACGTTCGTACTTTACGCTTTCCTTTTAAGCTTGGGCCAGCGTTGCGGAAGGTTGTTATTTGTGCGTTAATTTATGCAAGTAAGTTTTTAAATTTATATTTGTTATTTACAAGCTATTATAACTGCTATTATATTGTTAATCATAAAGTTCTTGTAAAATTGCTAGCATATTTATGTGTTATTCTTTACAAACAAGTGTTTCTCCTAATTTGCTCAGATTGATTTAGTTACTTTATAATAAACACATTTTTAGGGCATTTTTTAAGAATTAAAAAAAATGTGTTATTGTTTGCGTTTTGTCCGTCCGTCCGTCCGGACACACTTCTGCAGTAGGTAACTTATACCTTGAAGGTGTGCCAGACGGCCATCAAATTTCGCTGCCTAAAAGGGGGGCCACCCCCCACGAATTATTTCCTGAGATGCTGTTTTTGAAAGTAAAACGTGCATAACTTTTACATACGACATCCAATTGGTCTCAGATTTTGCATACGCATGCCTTTAGTGGTGCCAAGTTGAACTTTAGAAAATGGGGGGGGGGGGGTAAACACTACCCTTTATGGTATTCTAATGAAAGGTCTCATCGAAAGAAACCTCAAGAATGGATTGTCGGAAGAGGTACTCTCAAAGGGCGATTGAGACGTCTTCAACAAATATATCCATTGGTGATGTCAAAACAAAAGCTATTTCAGTTAAAAAAATGCGCTTTATCTGTACAAGAGTTGTGCACAGTGTATACACACCCAGTATAAGGTGATATGATGTTTTCGGAAATTTGGAAATTTCTCTAGTGCGCAAAAGGGGATATGCCCGTATCTGTTGAACCCTTTACAAAAAAACGTTGTCATGCCTGGTTTCATCCTCCTATGTGTCATGGTTGTTAAAAAAAAATTAAAGAAGAATCTCAAATCTCAAGAGTAGCTCTCCAACATTTTAGAAAAAAATCGTTTTGAGGTCCCCACCTAACAACATAGTTATCTGGTTCACGCTGTATATAGCTAACAGTTGCGATCTACATTTATTTGAGATCGTTTATAATTTTATTCTGCTGTCTGTCTGTCCGTATGTCTGTCCGTGTGCACGATAAAAAAATTGCGCATGCGCAACCCAACTTATTTTGTATTTGCGCAATCCCAATTTTTTTTTTGTTAAGATATTTAAATAAAATTTTGAACGTAGGCACCTCGAATAAAAGTAAAACTAATATCGATTCAAAAAATTTGTTTTACACGCTACGCTGATCTGGTGGGGCAGAATCAATCCCTTAAGGTGTATTGTAAAAATGATGTATGTACGAAGATCTCGAAGATGGTCCGGTATTCAGTTGCATCGAATTTTTAATTTTATTTACCCAAAATCGCCCTGAAACCTTCCTTTTGATGCCTACTTTCTTTTAGAAAATTTTAGTTTCCATGACAGAGGCAGAGTCTCAATCTCTTACTTTTAGGGATTCGACCGTTGGGATTCAAGTTTTCAAACAATTTTTAAGTGAGCAAGTGCCACAATTCACTCGCGTCTCAAATTTGCCAGTTTTGAAAGCAACCCTCAAACTTCAATCTTTCCAAATGAAAGCCTCAAATTTCAATCTCAAGGTTAAAAGGTTTCTTCTTGACGTTTAAATAAAAACTCAAACTTTTAACTTTACTTTTAGGTAGATTCAAGGATCAAATTTTAAAATGAAAGTGTACAGATTCATTTTCAAAATTTGAAGCCAAGTGGCAAACATTAATCGGGATTCCTTAAGCTACGAGTGTCGATTCAGAAGTTAAAAATTATCCATTATTTAGAAATGCATAATTAAAAACTAATTAAGAGTTAGCTATATTGCTGAATGAAAATTCTCCAAATTGAGTTTAGTGATACTGCTGTAATTGTGTATGTTAGGGTAGCACAAGAGACCCGTTTACATAGGTAGATAATTATGACATAACTTGCACTAAACATTGAGCTTTGCCTGTTGAAATTCTACTGTCAATACTTTTAAATAGATACAATATTATTAAATTATATTATTATATATAAGTAAATTCGACAATTAAGCGTAGATGTTATAAAGTAAACGATCCAAGCATCCCTTTTTCAATGTTGACCGAGGAGCTCCGTTCCCAGGCCTTCCCCAAAAGTTGTCCAGCGACTCAAAATGTCGCCGCACGTTTCCAACATCAATTTCCTTCAGTTCCTGAAACTCTCCTCATTATTTGTGTATTTGGCATACTTACTGCAACTTAAATTATTCTCAAAATAGCGATTGCGTGCTTTCCTATATTAGAGCATTAATAGTAATTTATGGACCTTCTGTTTGATCAATAAAATGGCAATATCTATATTAACAATATTAAATTGGCATAGGTTACCTGCACGTATTGCCTTTTTACCTCCATTTGATTCGTTAAGTTTTGCAAGTAGTCGGAACCTGTGTGTTTTTTCCTAGCAAGAGAAGCGTAAGATATGATCTGGGAAATTTACGCAACTTACGTTTCGTTATTGCCTCTTGTAACGTCAGTTGTGCCCAGATGCATCTTCTTGGGGACAACCCTCTGCTTGGCCAAGAGCGACACCAACTCTTCGCCATTAACCTTTTCCCGCTTTAATGGTGAGAGTCGGCGCTTGTTTAAAGCTGACTCGATTCGTTCGTTTAAAAAACGATCGTTACGTGACTTGTCGCCTTCCAAACGAACCCCCTCGGAGTTAACAGCCTTTTTAAAGTTCTCGTACTCTTTCAATATACCCTCGTGATGATTATCAGGTTTGCTCGCCAACGACTTCAATGTGTTCTCGGTCGACCAACCCTAAAACAGTGGAGGGTCTTAGACAATCTATGACGAGTTGGGGTTTCGTGGGTGTAAGCCAATAGCTCACCAATGACTTTAAAAAATTAAATCCTACACTCCGCGGTGGTCTCCAGTTAGTTCCACCCGGACCTGGCCTACCCCACGGAGGAGTTCTCAAAAACTTGAAACAGTTCTTTGTAGGACACTTTAATTTAATGAAAGCAAATCTCACCGATCTTCGATAAAACTCCGTTTCGTTTTCCTTCTCCCATTTTTCACGCATTTTCCTCTCCGCTACCTGGGCATCTGAAATGTGCGCGACAGTTTTATTGCACCTTGAGATAGTAACGAACCTAGCTGCTTCCGATATTGGGTACACTGTTCTTTACTAGTTTTATAACGTATTGTGTTATCGACGCACTTTCTTAAATCCTCGTTCCACTGAAAGCGAATTATTGGATGCTCTTTCGTGCGAATCTGCGGGCGACCTACTACTGATCGCCCCAGACCTAAAGGGCGCACTGATTCGCTGGGAATTATTTCATCCAACTTTAAATTTCTATAGCCTCTGGGTTGCGGTTTCTTACCCCACGGCCAATACCTTTCCAACATTTCTCTCATCTGCACTTTATTATTAACCCTTTTAGTTTAGACTGAAAAATTACCTTGATCTGTTCTTCCAGCTTCACTTTCTCATCCGCTTCCCTTTTCTTATTCCAATGGGCAATACCTTCTTGAACCAGATTATTATTCACTGTTGGATATTCACTTAATGCCATTTTAATTTAATATATTCGTGCAAAATTTCAACGGGAGAGGCAGGTACGGATTTCGTGACGAACTCTGTCTTACTAAATATATTTTAAAACTCTAAATAAAGAACGTGCACAATCGCAATAAGATGACTTCTGGAATTTTGATATATAAAATCGAATCAATACAGATACGGTACGATGTCACTATTTATTAATTCAACTGCACGCAAATTGGTGATCTTTTTTTGCAATTGTTGTACCTAGTGCTTATTTTATATTTTTATATAAAGCACATAGGTACTACCTACCCACCAGTCTCATTTCCTACTTATTGAATGCATATATTAAAACAAAATTCTGAAGAGAAAAACTACTTTTAGTATGTGTAGGTACCTAATGTTAAAAGATTGACAACCAGTGGTGAGAAAAAGGTGCTGGAGCCTGGTGTAAAGTTTCAATGTAGAAGGTGTCAGACTGTTAATGGAGTTCGTGAATGTCCTTTGGGAAAAATTGCAATAAATGTGGACAATTAAATCATTTTGTCTTAAAACGGACTATATTATTGCACGCAAAGTAGGTGGTAAGGTGGGTAAGTTTATTACTAAAGGATGATTTTGACATAAAAACTTGAATATCGACAAACCCCTTGGAGCAAAGGGTCAACTATGGGGTATCGTTGTACTCCAAATTCGACGTTATAGTGGAACGCGCCAAATTTAAAGAATTCTTTTCAACATTACACCAATTGTACGTAACTTAACCTAGAGAGGTCGTTGCGCAAAACTAAACGTTCAAACTCGAAATCTGTGTGTAAGATAACCCCTTACTTTCGTTCACCTATCGATTATGGGGCCATTGTATTCCTAAGTGTTGATTTCGCTGCACGAACCATAAAATAACTACTGTAGTTTCGCCTAATTATTTTTAGGTAAAAATTTTAATGTAAGGTCGTTAAGTAAGCGTCGTCACTTGTCAATGTCCTTATGTAATTAGTGTGTTTATTCGTTAAGCGTTTCTCAACATAAACTACAACCAGCATACGTGGGTTTTATTTTCCCCCCCATTGCCGACGAACCGAAACCAGCCCTGCACCCATAAGGGTGTTCCGCTACAACGTAGAATCCGAAAATGTAGACAAAATAGGGGGCCCCTATTTAAAATAACAAAGTTGATGGCTACTTCAGGTATTTGCGGAAGTGGAGCCATCTTGAAAATATTTTAGTTCAATTCATCATGTGCCAAAACCCTTAAAGGACTTGTCAGTTTAGTTTCATTTTCAAAGGTTCTCCATATCTTTCTAACTGGCGCTCGTCAAGAATGACCCTGTATATGAAAGCCATACATAAACATTTGTTGGGAAAGACAAATAAATACAATAATTTGAATAATTATTAATCCCAAACATTGATGATCCACCAATACAATACAAAACAAGGTTAATCACTCGTGGATTAAAACAATTCGTACTTTTTCGATCAGACTTCTCAATCAAAAGTTATAGACTAGAAACCAATTTCGAAAGAAAATTCAAAGGGCTGTAACTTTTGAACTAGTAGCCCAATCTTGGAACTGTTTGAAATTATGGATTCTACAGGCCACATTCTATAAGAAAATTTTTTTCCGGGTCGATCTGAGACAATTTTTTTTTCGGGGCTCAAAAAAAGGCAGTGTATAACCTTCCTTTTTTACCAAAAATCGACTACACCAAAATTTCTCGGGAAAACACTTTTTCTTATTAATTTTGGTGCGTAGAATCCAAAACAATTCGCACTTTTTCGATCAGATTTCTCAATCAAAAGTTATAGACTAGAAACCAATTTCGAAAGAAAATTCAAAGGGCTGTAACTTTTGAACTAGCAGCCCAATCTTGGAACTGTTTGAAATTATGGATTCTACAGGCCACATTCTATAAGAACATTTTTTTTCCGGGTCGATCGGAGACATTTTTTTTCTCGGGCCTCAAAAAAAGGCAGTGTACAACCTTCCTTTTTTACCAAAATTTGACTGCACCAAAATTTCTCGGGAAAACACTTTTTCTTATTAATTTTGGTGCGTAGAATCCAAAACAATTCGTACTTTTTCGATCAGACTTCTCAATCAAAAGTTATAGACTAGAAACCAATTTCGAAAAAAAATTCAAAGGGCTGTAACTTTTGAACTAGTAGCCCAATCTTGGAACTGTTTGAAATTATGGATTCTACAGGCCACATTCTATAAGAAAATTTTTTTCCGGGTCGATCTGAGACAATTTTTTTTTCGGGGCTCAAAAAAAGGCAGTGTATAACCTTCCTTTTTTACCAAAAATCGACTGCACCAAAATTTCTCGGGAAAACACTTTTTCTTATTAATTTTGGTGCGTAGAATCCAAAACAATTCGTACTTTTTCGATCAGACTTCTCAATCAAAAGTTATAGACTAGAAACCAATTTCGAAAGAAAATTCAAAGGGCTGTAACTTTTGAACTAGCAGCTCAATCTTGGAACTGTTTGAAATTATGGATTCTACAGGCCACATTCTATAAGAAAAATTTTTTGCCGGGTCGATCTGACAAAATTTTTTTTGAGTGCCTAAAAAAAAGACAGTGTACAACCTTCCTTTTTTACCAAAAATCGACTGCACCAAAATGTCTCGGGAAAACACTTTTTCTGATTAATTTTGGTGCGTAGAAACCAAAACGCATCGTACTTTTTCGATCAGACTTCTCAATCAAAAGTTATAGACTAGAAACCAATTTCGAAAGAAAATTCAAAGGGCTGTAACTTTTGAACTAGTAGCCCAATCTTGGAACTGTTTGAAATTATGGATTCTACAGGCCACATTCTATAAGAAAAATTTTTTTCCGGATCGATCTGAGACAATTTTTTTTGAGTGCCTAAAAAAAAGGCAGTGTACAACCTTCCTTTTTTACCAAAAATCGACTGCACCAAAATGTCTCGGGAAAACACTTTTTCTTATTAATTTTGGTGCGTAGAATCCAAAACAATTCGTACTTTTTCGATTAGACTTCTCAATCAAAAGTTATAGACTAATAAACAATTTCGAAAAAAAATTCAAAGGGCTGTAACTTTTGAACTAGCAGCCCAATCTTGGAACTGTTTGAAATTATGGATTCTACAGGCCACATTCTATAAGAAAAATTTTTTCCGGGTCGATCTGAGACAATTTTTTTTGAGTGCCTCAAAAAAAGGCAGTGTACAACCTTCCTTTTTTACCAAAAATCGACTGCACCAAAATTTCTCGGGAAAACACTTTTTCTGATTAATTTTGGTGCGTAGAATCCAAAACAATTCGTACTTTTTCGATCAGAATTCTCAATAAAAAGTTATAGACTAGAAACCAATTTCGAAAGAAAATTCAAAGGGCTGTAACTTTTGAACTAGCAGCCCTATCTTGGAACTGTTTGAAATTATGGATTCTACAGGCCACATTCTATAAGAAAATATTTTTTTCCGGTCGATCTGAGACAATTATTTTTGAGTGCCTCAAAAAAAGGCAGTGTACAACCTTCCCTTTTTACCAAAAATCGACTGCACCAAAATTTCTCGGGAAAACACTTTTTCTTATTAATTTTGGTTCGTAGAATCCAAATTTTCTAAAGGGAGGGGCTTGAGGGGGACATTTTTATGGAACAGTCTCGTGAGAGGTATAAGTTCCTATATCGACAAACACGCGCCTCTAACTTGTTTGAGGCACAATAAAAATTAATATTCATTCACAGCCACCGTCTCTAAAGGAATAATAATTGCGACGTTGCTATTAATCGCATAAATTCAAATGAAATTCTAAAAGAATTTGCGTACGTGGCGACATCTCAACTAGACTTCTAAAACTATAATTGACAGAAAGTGTATCGATTGCCAAGGAGATGGCGCACTAGTACTTATTGTATTTAAACTATCTAATCAAAAACCGGGCCTTTAAACTATAATTGCTCTACAAGATCTTGCAAGACTCCGTACATTTTGAACTGCCGTTTAAGTTGGCTAATTGTAGTATATACAACATATGTCACACGTGTATTTTGTGTTGCCTACTTTCCAATTTGAATTTTTAATGCAAAATAGTGGCTGAACTCCTATTGGACAATAAAGTCACTGTAAAAAAGATCCCCCCCCCCCCCCCCTCCGTTTTATTGAGTACGGGGTGCAGGAGTGGCGGAACCTGTGCTCTGATCCCACTCCGAGCTTCTCACGGGCCCAAAGAAGCTTCACTTCAAAAAAATTCCTATTTCATAAAATAAACACTTTATTCAGATTACTTAAAATACACATTTGCCTAAAACAAATAAATGCTGTGTTTTTTATCACATGAAACAGTTTACAAATATGTACTACTCAGAGCTTTGAGTAACATTGGAAAACTTGGCACTAGTAATTATTTAATCCTAAAAGATCAATCGACTATATTCGTAGAGCTGCTATACGCACTGCTGTCAGAATCGTTTATTGGTCGTGGAACCGGAACTTGTTTTACGGTTAAGCTATAGTCTTCGTCTTCTGAAAAGAATCAAATAACAATTGCATTATGTGGCTAGTAGAACAAACCCGAGTCGTAATAATCAGATTCTCGAGGCGAAAATTTGCAACCGCGCGCCAGGTACGGTTTTAAGATGTCCTTCGATGCTAAAATTAAACCCATAAATGGCGGAGAGGGTGACATTGGTCGTGATAAATATTCTGGGTGGAATTGCACGGCGATGTAATAGGGGTGGTTTTCCAATTCTAGTATTTCCATACGTTGTCCTTCTGTGTCAATACCTAAAGTTGGTACTCAGTTAGGATTGTTAAAGGAGTGTTTCGAGTATCGTATACCGACAAATTCGAGGCCAGCCTTTTCTAAGTCGGGAATGTACTTTGAGTTCACTTCGTATCGATGTCGGTGACGTTCTTCAATTTTGTCGCTGCTAAAGTACAGGCGCTCTAAAGAAAACGGTTACAACAAGATTTCCTAGAAGTTCAAGCTTACTTATTATGCTATTATTTGCGGAATCCTTGAAGATGGTAGTTCGTTTGCCTAAGCGCATAGTGCCACCCATCTCGCCCGTATTATGCTCGGGCATGTCAATGATAAGTGGATGTAACGTGTCGGGTACGCATTCCGTCGAATGTGCTTCACGTAAATTTAAAACATTCCTAGCGAATTCTATCACAGCCGCTTGAAAGCCTAAACAAATTCCCAAAAAGGGTTTACCATTCTCTCTGCACCATCGACTTGCTTCTATTTTTCCCTCGATGCCACGTTTACCAAACCCACCTGGTACAATAACACCCCTAAAAATGAAAGCAGCCGCTGTAATTGTGTCCTGTGATATCAAATCAGTGAGCACATTTGACAAACGTGTAAAAATATGTATCTAGCAAGCCATCTCGACTACTACAGGTATTAGTAATATTAGGCTAGTCATTGGGGATCAAAAATAGGGCTTAGGTACCTGAAAATAAGTCCGGAGGTTCTGAAACTTTGCAGGTTGCACAATCCGAGACATGTAGCCGGCGCCGCCATCTTGCCAAGATGGCGCCCAAAAACGGTCTTTTGGAAATATCTTCAAAACTATGCGTTTTTCGAAAAAGAGGACAAAAGTGAAGAGGCAGAAATTTTACAAGAAATGTTCTTAGCATATTTTTGCTAAAGTGAGCCGTTTAGGCTCAAGAGCTGATTGAATGACAACATATTCTGTTAATTTCTATAAACTGCCCCTATCTCCATATACTTATGCGTATAAATTATAAAATCTACGCCATTATTGTTGGGGAAAGCAGATGTTCAATGATTTGCGGGGTCTGCAATGGAAAGACTTGTGAAAATATCAGTCAAGTGTGACACTAGACGAATCCAATGAATAAGACTTCCGTTCACTGCTTGATGATTCTTTATCGACTACAGAAAGAGAGTCCGACTACTTGAAGGAAATCGACATCGATTCTGAAGCTGAGGTAGCCATTTTTCCCATTGAAGATATGGAATTCAACGAGCAAGGTCCGTCTGGCTTTTGCCAAAGATAATTTTAGTACCTAAGTGGATTAGGCCTACAGGGGAAACCACGTTAAAAAAAACGCGCCGTGTACTTTACCTCTTGGGTGGTGTGGAAAAGAAAGAAAAAAGTATAGCATTTTAAATCGAAATTAATTGACCATAAATTATTAACATGCATTAATTAATGAATTAATCGATTAATTGAATAAAAGATATGCCATCATTTCGTGATAAATATTTACTAGGAACATATGTTATAGGAAACTTCCTCCTCTTTAATTTTGCGCTCTATATAGGTTTTTCGAAAAACGCTTAGTTTTGGAGATATTTGCAAAAAACCGTTTTTGGGCGCCATCTTGACAAGATGGCAGCGCCAGCGGCATGTCTCGGATTGTGCATTTTGTGAATTTTAGTTATAGCTACCTGGTACCTGAGAATTTGCGGTCGACCCAAGCTAGGGGGTATGCGAGGGGGTATGTGTACGTTAAAAGTGCGCACTAATACTACTGTATTGTACAGGGTGAGTCAACGATTGCGCGGAGTAACTTAATGTCTTGAAGATAAGATTTTTAGATAGCGTGCTTTTGTATTAAGATATGGTTGAATATTCTCCACATTAAAAAAATATTTGGAAGAGGGTGCGCTCACAACAAAATATTACATTTTTCTAAATGGAACCCCCTGTATTTGAATGCATTTTTTAATTCTACGTGTAATTTTACGACTTTTTTATTATAATGGTTAATATCCGAAAAACTAATTCGATTTGTAAGAAAAATTTTACATTTACAAGCGTCAATTTATTGTGAAAATGATCACAGGCTCCATATCTTTTATCTTGTATAAAGTAAAACTGAAATAAATACATCTACTATGAAACATTAAAAAAATAGCTTACAGGGTGTTTTTTTGAGGTCCAAAGTTGCAAAACTTCATATTAAACAATCTTTTTTTTATATGTAACACCCTGTATATTTTTCGAGCATCTTTAACTCCTTCAAAAACGTTCAACTTTTGATAATAGTGTCCTATAATACCTATCTCTGATAGTTTTCGAAATATCTTGGTTTTCCTGGATTTTACATTGTATAATCTTAAATAAGATATATGTAATTTACATAATAACGAGGTGGCCATGCAAAAAAAAAGGCAATCATATCGATTAATTCCTTTTTCGAATAAATAATAAGTCTAAACACTGGAAAATAAATTTGATTTAATATGACTCTTGGTTTTCCTAGTATTTATTTTTTAATCTTAAATAATTTACATAATAACGAGGTAACTATGAAAAAAAAATGAAACTAATGTCACTGACTGGATGACACTAGGAGTTAAATTTAATTTGGTTTGAGTTCAAATGTTTTTACTTTTTCTCTAGTTTTTAGACTAAAATTTTAGATTAAACAACAAAAACCAGAAAATTCAAGATATTTTGAAGCAGATAGGTATGTATAGAACTTTATTATCAAAAATTGAAGTACGTTTTTGAAGGAGCTAAGAGATGAAAATGAAATATACAGTGTTCCATTAAAAAAAAAGCAAGATTTTTATTATGAAATTTTCTAACTTTGAACCTACAAAAAAACACCCTGTAAGCTATGTTTTTAATGTTTCATAGTAGATGTATTTATTTGACTTTTACTTTATACAGGATAAAAGATATGGAATCTGCAATCAAAATTTAAGTAATAATTTTGACAATAAACCGACGCTTGCAAATTTCAAATCTTTCTTACAAATCGAATGATCTTTAAAACTACTAGTTTTTCATATATTAACCAATTACTTTGTGAGTGCACCCTGTATAATTCCAAATATTTTTAAACTGTGGAGAATATTCAACCATACCATAATACAAAAACACTCTATCGAAGAATCTTATCTTCAAGGCATTAAGTTACTGCGCGCAATCGTTGACTCACCCTGTACATATTTTGTCCGTCAGAAAATAAGTAAGGTCACGGAACCCTGAGATCTTGGACTATTATGAAAACTAATTAGCTACAAACAAAAAATGGCCAGATAACAGTTAAAGGAGCTTTAGATTTTCTGTGAAGCTAAAGCAACAATATTGAAATTAATAATTAATTTGACAGCCAGATCTTCATTTGTTTCAAGAAGTTATTTTGGTTGCATAAAATTAGGCGTCTTTAGGGAGACTTTTTATCAAGAAATCCCTATGTCTACTTCTACATGAATATCACTGTAGGTATGTGGACTGCGGTATAAACGAAGATTCGTTACAACTTAAGAAGTCTCCTGAGCAGCTGATCAAATACGTAACCAGCGAAAAATGTGTTTGTCCGGTGTCCGGAATACTTTCATTTAGTATATAATCACCTCCTTTGGTAGCTCAAATATTCAAAAACGCTATGTTGTTTGTATAAATGCGATTAACAGTAAATTGAGGTAAATGCAAATGCAATGCAATTCAGATACGGCAATTACAATTGGCAGCAAAGAGTTGTGCGTGTTACATGCTTTCACCCAATTAAAAATGTTCATTTAAATTTGCTGAGATTTTTTTGGGAGGAGCTTAACTGCATCTGTTGGGTGGACAGATAATAGGATTATTTAAATAGATAATCCTCTAGAGCTATAAATTTTTGACTTTGACTGACTTTCCAATAAGTTGCAACACTCTATAAGCATATAATACTACAACCAGTACCTACTCGCTCTTGCACAATTGCTTCCAAGCCTCATGATAAGCAACTGGATCTTCTGATAGCATCTCCTTTTCTAGATGTGATGCCTCGATAAAGACCACATTTACTTTATATCCTATGGAATTCGCGGCATGCTGTAACGCTTTTACAACTGATGCGTACGCGTCCTCCAATCTTGTATACTTCCCAACTAGAGCAATGTTGATTTCGTGCCGAATGTTATCTATTTTCGTGGCCAACTCCAACCAATGCCTCATATGTCGCCTAGGTAAAGTTTTTATTCCCAACTGTAGGCGTTCATTTAAAAACTCGATAATCCCGTGCGATTCCATCACAACGGGCACTTTGTAGATTGACGACAAATCCGGTATGCAAACCACCTGCTCCGGCGCTACGTGACAAAAGTTGGAAATCTTCTCCTTCACGCTGTGATCAATGGGATGCTCGGAACGGCACACGATGAAATCGGGCGAAAGTCCGAGTCCTCGCAACTCGCGCACTGAGGACTGTGTAGGTTTCGTTTTCGGTTCGCCGGTCGATCTCGGCTGCGGCACCAGAGAAACGTGAGCCACACAGAAGTTTTCGCGCTTTGCCCTAAATTGGAACTGCCGAAATGCCTCCACGAATGCCATACTCTCGATGTCGCCGACCGTTCCCCCAAGCTCAACGATGCACACTTGAGGAACTAATTTCGTATCCGACACCGAAACCCGTGCCACTTTTTCGACCCACTCCTGAATTGCGTCAGTAATGTGCGGTACCACTTGAACCGTTTTGCCTAAATAATCGCCTCGACGCTCCTTGTCGATCACCATCTTATAAATTTTCCCCGTAGTTATATTGTTATCCCGATGCAGGGTGATGTTTAGAAACCGTTCGTAATTTCCTAAGTCCAAATCTACTTCACCACCATCGTCGAGAACGTATACCTCGCCTAAAAACAAAGCAATTTAAATTTACCGCCGATCTTGAACGCCAAGAGATGGCGCCACAATCGCAAGCACGTTTCTTGACCAATGAAGTCTATTATTTTGCAATAGTTAATAATGGCACATGTTCAAATGATATTAATTTACCGTGTTCGTAAGGTGAAAAGGTTCCCGCGTCCAAATTTATGTACGGATCTATTTTAATAGAAGTCACTTCAATGCCGCAACTCTTAATTAATGCGCCAAATGAACTGGCAATTACGCCTTTACCCACACCGCTTATAACGCCGCCAGTAACCAGAATGTATTTCATATTAGACATGTTGGAGTCGTTGTAATGTAATTTAAAAACACAGTCAAACACCGAATTAAAATATTCACCAACAATTTTAAGAGAAAACGTTAGAACTTGAAATAGTAAAATTTTGCGAGTGCGCACTACCCCCCACGAGATCGACCAACGAATTGCGACAGATACGGTGCAGGATCTCACTGTACCTCACTTTAATCATGTACAATTTGTTAAAATAAACCAATTTGTACAGGTGGTTCCACAACGTTGGTAAATATAAGTGAAAAAATTATAAAATAAAATAGAAAAGTGTTCAACCAATTTTTCCCTCTAAAAATCCCCTTGCGCCATCTGTTGGTCAATTTAAGATTCCTGGTAATGTTGAATTATGTGTTACTAGATGTCGCAGTTACAATTTTAAATTCAAAAACCAAAATCTTAGGAAAACCAGGATAATATGAAAGATAAAAACATAGTTTTTTGTATAATAATTTGGTGGTTCTTTTTTTAAACCACACTTAGAAAAGCGCTTGCCTCCCCTGCTAGTTCACTAAATACTTACATACTTATCGCAAATGAATTGGAGTTCAAATACAATTACTAGTTGCTCATTGAACAATTTATCGTAATTGAAGGAAATTTTATTTAAAAAATACACACTATGCAAATATTAATTAAAGCCTTCTTTTCAGTGCAACATTTCTTGTGAAACTTGGTATCAATTTACTGAGAACGGGGGCCATTTTTAAACCTTTTTTGAAAATAGGACTCATTATTTAGATTGAAGATTTCATTACACAGACCTGTCTTTCTATCAAATTCGCACCTCTTACAATATCATAAAATTTATATCTAAGACAATAAATACACATCTCAAGAAGCATAAGCAAACTTTTATATTATTTATTAATTTATTGCTCCCTCTCTTGTTCTAGGCCCTCAACCGGCCCTGCAGAAGGTTTTTATACACCTTTTGGAACATATACAAAATTAAAATTAATTCATCACTTACCTTACTGCATTCAATATATTCTTCGTAGTATGTTTAACTCAATAAATATTATTTTTTTTCAAAATATACATCATAATATATACAGTTCCATTCATCTTTTCCAAAACTAATAAAGCAATTGATTTTATTTCCTGTAGTGTTAAATAAATCTGACAGAACTATGGGAATTTCTGTTATAATGAAGCCAATATTTTAACATTACTTCATTTATTTTTGTGATTTGTACACACGTTGAAACAATACTAATCAACAATTGCTATAAAATATTGGCAGAACTAATTTTATTTCGTACTAACTAAAAGACCCCTAGCTAAAAAAAGACGTACTCAATACTTCATTAAAATGAAATCAATTGTATATATAAAAGATATAAAAAATATAGTGGAACTTGACACCAATTGGAAAGTCCAAAGGCAATATGTAACAATGTCATAATATAACAGTAACAGTAATAAGCTCAATATTCAGTGCAAAGTCTCTTATTGTAACTGACCACCTTGGAACAACTTCTAGTTTCTTTTCCGTGCATTAACTAAACATTACACTTATGAATTGAACTTTCAACAGTTTCTCGAAGGCTAGCGATAACGGATCGTTGATTCACCGCGTTGATTATCGCCGTTCCGGATACGATCATATTGGCACCAGCCTACAACATCTACAATCAAACTCGACTGACCTACCGACAGAAACTTACCTCTGAGCAATCGTTTATTGTGTTTAGGCCTACACCACCGTCAACTTCGATATCTAACAACGGATAATTATGTCTCAGCCATTGCACTTTCGGCATCATATCCTTCAAAAACTTCTGACCACCGAAACCGGGCTCTACAGTCATAACTAGTATCACATCGGCTAAATCTATAAATTGACGAACATCCTCAATTCCTGATGCTGGTTTTAAAGCCAAACCCACTTTCATGCCGGCTTCCCGAATTAGTCTACAGGTCTTTGGTATCTCCTTTACCGGCTCTATATGGAATGTATACAAATTAACTCCAGCATCCGCCATCGGTTCAATCCACTGAAATTTAAAATGTGACGCTTACAGTGTAGATATTTCATACGCTACCTGCTCTGGATTGGAAACCATCATGTGCGTTTCAAAAAAGGCAGTTTTAATTTTTGTGCGCAGACATTTAACAATAGGATGACCAAAGGTTAAATTTGGTACGAAATGACCATCCATCACATCTAAATGTAAATAATCCGCACCGTTATCTAGCAATCGTTGTGATTCCTGATACAATTGCGACAAGTCCGAATTTAAAATTGAAGGTCCAATTTTACAGCGTAACGGTCCTCTTGCCATGTTGTCTACTTCGGAAATGTACATGCAATTATACCTGTTGCGAAAATAGCAACAGTAATCACAAGAGTGGAAGAAAAGGGCTTACCCTGGAGCAAATCACAATCTCTTTGGAAGAGCACTGCTAATGATATGTTAATTCTAAATAAAATTTGGGTGCAAAACGCCTCGTTGAAAACCTTCTTAAAGAATATTAAAATGATACTTTATACAACATTAAATGCATTTCTAACCCTAATACATGCCGAACGTTACGTCACTGGAAAATTGAAAAATAACCGAACAAAACGTGGCTATTCCACCGCCTGATATACAGGATCAACTAAATTTTGTGTCTTTATTGCCCAAAACGACTCAATTCAAAGATTTTGTGTAAGAATATTTAAAAAAAAACTGCAACCCTCGTGAATACCCTCACTGAGTACATTTTATGTAATTTTGCGAAAGTAATTTAGTATTTTCATTTAAAGTTCCTAGTAAATTCAGAATACACTACATTTTTCTTGTTATTGTACTTTAAAATTAAATATCAAACATTTTACTCAAAGATAATGTCAAATCGCAATTATTAGAAATGTTCGGTTTGTTTAAATGTTAGAGAATACTTGAATTTTCCAGACTGTTCTATTTCTTTGAATGAATTCTACCGATTTTCACATTCTTTAAATTGTTTAATTAGACTTCTAGCTCTTGAGGATTTTTAGTCTTCGGATATTCAAGGTCAGGAATAGGCATCTACAGGTAAATTGTATACGTTTATGAGTGTACCTTATTGTGGATGTAGGATATAGGTATGTAAAGTAGGTAACCTTATTTAATGAGCATTTGTGTGTCTGAATATGTATGTAGAGTTGGAGGAAATTGAAAAACCCGCAGAATCTGAAAAGTATATTTCGAAAAGGTTCTATATAAATCGAACGAATCGAAAGAGTTTCAGTTTAACGAAATGGAAGAATTCAAGGAACTTAAAAATCCAAAGGGTCCGAAAAATAGCGAATTTGAAAAATGTATACACCATAATGAACCTGTACAATTAAAGAAAAGGAAGAATATGAAGGATTTAAACAATCGAGAGGGTCAGAAGTAATGGAAGTGTCCGAAAAAGTGAAATTCAAAGAACACTAAAGATTCAGAAGAATTTGAACTTAATCAGATAGTAGGGCAAGTGGAAATCAGTTTTTACTTACATTATGTTACGTTCACTTCAACCCCTTTTCTGGGTCTGAAAGACTGGTGGTTTAGTTTGTTGCAATCCACCCTATATAGCGATACACATCGCTGAATGTGGCTATAGCGCACATGCATCATTTATCAAGCGGGAATTTCAAAACCTGTAAGGAATTAAAAATAGAGCCTTTTTGTGTTGGACTTTGAAATCTGTACAAATAAGTCCTCAAGATTCATTAGCACTTATCTTTAATCAAAGACGTTCATTAAAACGTAACACAGAAAATTTAACCTAGCATTATCTCAAAGAAGCACTTTAGTCGATTGGAACTTGGAATGGCACCAATAAAAGAAAGGAAAAAGCACGATATGGATATTACAAAAACGGAGCGCAAACGTTGGAAGGAAAAAAAACTGTTAAAGAGTTTGGAAAAACACAAAAAAGAGAAAATCCCAGTTCAGGAATCAGAAATTCCGCCGAAACTGAAAGAATTGTCAACCGTAAGCATAGCATTACCAGGCTCAATTTTAGAAAATGCTCAAAGTCCAGCACTACGTTCGTATTTAGCAGGACAAATAGCACGGGCCGCTTGTATTTATCGTGTAGACGAAATCATTGTTTTTGACGACGGTCTTAATCCAAACGCGAGAAAGTCTACTATAAGTTTAACGGATGGTGTCACAGAGATTCCGCACTGCTGCGTTCAACTTGCGCGAACATTACAATATTTAGAATGTCCACAATACTTACGCAAATTCTTCTTCCCTGTGCACGATGACTTACAGTATGCAGGTCTGTTAAATCCACTCGATGCTCCACATCATTTGAGGCAGAATGATGTATTTCTCTTCCGGTAAGTTGATGATTAAGTAAAACAATAAGGATAACAAAATGTTATAGAGAAGGGGTTGTGACCACCAAACCAGTAAAGGAGGGCGAAGGATCTATTGTCAATGTTGGGCTTTTGCAAGATGTGCATGTCGATAAGTTGCTAACGGCCGGATTACGTTGTACTGTTGAATTATTACCACAGAATGAGGGGCAAAAGAAGCAGAAAGGATTAGTGGTCCCTCCAAGTTCACCTTGTCGCAAAAGGGGAGTGTATTGGGGATATACTGTGCGTATAGCAACATCCTTGTCGCAGGTCTTCTCTCAATCACCATACAAAAAAGGGTAACTAATTTTTATTTGCGTTTCCCAGCTCTTAACAACATTTTTAGTTACGACTTAACTATAGGTACATCAGATAAAGGATCCCCCGTTAAAGATTTTACGTGCCCTAGATATCGCCATTTACTTGTGACATTTGGGGGTTTACAAGGCTTAGAAGCTGCATTGGAAAGTGATGACTCTTTAAAAGTGGATGAACCTCAGTTACTATTTGATCACTATTTAAACGTTGCACCTAATCAGGCGTCTCGAATTATTCGAACAGAGGAAGCTATATTAATAACACTAGCACGATTGCAGCCACTTTTAAATCCAAAACGAGATTATATACAAACTCAAACAGTCGATTAATAAATTTATTCGTATAAATAATTACAACGTAACTTCGCCACCGTCCTCAATAATTCCTTCCATCTCCTCGTCTTCCTCACTTTCTTCCTTCTTTTCCGCCAGTTTACGTTCTTTTAATCCGGCTGCCGGCGATCGGATCAAGGAAAGATCTCTTTGGACTTCTCGAATATCACGTTCGTTCTCGATCTCGCGTCCCTTTCTCAATCTTTGCATGAGATGGAGGTTTTGTCGTTTCTGCTTGATTGTTTCCACTTTCTTCATTGCTTCGATCGCCTTAGTCCACGTTTGCCTATCGTATTTAATCGGAATGTTACGACGTTTTTCGAACTCGAAGGAGGGATCGATCGCGAGCTCTTTACCGACCGTTTTCCGATGAGCTTTGGTCCAGCGAACCTTACGCGGATTTTTCTTGCGTTTAAATGCGACGTGACATTTCGGTCGGCAAAATTTGAAAATCTAAAAAGAGGTTTTGTGATAAGTTTGTAGTTGGGGCAAGGGGAGGGTCGGAACGTACCTTACAGTCATTTCGCACAAATTGTATACCGTGGCCTGGATATACACGAGATGAGCAAAAGTAACACGTGTCTATACGCATTTTTAGTAATATACGCTTTAATTATGAAATTTTGGAAAATTAAGACATAACCTTTAAAACGTCAACGTGAGTGAAAGGGTAAAGTCACGACGCATGCGTTAGCTGAATTGCAGTGGTGGCTATGGTGCCGCCTGTGATTGTTTGATCGTAGTCATTGCTTCGGTAGGGCGCTGTATTTATACAGGCACGCTCGTCCACCATTTTGGTTCTGGTGATCTTGGTAAATTTTGCAGTGTTTATGCTATGCAATATGTTTCCTTAGTCAAGAATATGTAATTTATATCTTCAAATACAACTGATTTATGCCTAAACAGAGCTGGGGAGTAATTAAGTACATTTAGACCCAGTAATTGTAACTTTTATTTTTTCCTTGTAATAAGAGCTCTAAGCATTAAATAAAAGGTAAATTCAGAGCCCTACTCCCAGTTCAATACTAATTTTAAAAAGACCAATCATCTAAACACATTGTAAGTTAATAGTAAATTGAATTTCCTGCTAAACTTTTAGAACCAAAATGGCGGACGAGTATGCGCCTTTTTGTCAATTATTACAAAATTAGTAAAAACGAACTTTATTTTTCATCATAAATTTCTTCAAAAGAATATAAACAATGGTACAGTAGGTATCATAAACGTGGAGACTTAATTTTTATTACAAGAAATTGAAAATGATACATTGGCAGCCTATATATTGCAATATAAGAAAGTGTATTCACAATTAATACTCCCTTAAACCTATATTAACGATTTGAATGATATCTGTCATCGTGTTGGTAGTAATTACCGTGTCTTCTGTAAGGTCTGTGCTTCTCTCTACGATTACTGCGATAATTTGAATCTCGCCAATTGTTAGACCGATCCATGTTGTAGTTATTACCGAAATGGTTTTGAGTGTTCGGTAACAATTGCTCGCCGAGTGACATTAATAAATTAACATCGGGCACACCGTCTGTCCCCCGATAGCCGTTATTAAGCACAACAATTGGTGGAATGTTAAGTAACGGTGCAGCTTGAACGAAATTTAAATTTTGCCGTGCATTAGCAAGTCTCGGTTTAACGTTGATTCGCTTATCGTACAGGGATATACCGTTGAGTAAGTCGATCGCGTACGGTACGGAACACAAATGCTTAAATGTGACAAAACCGTAACTAGTATACCTCCCGGTCTTATCCTTTGGAATTTTAACTTTCTCGAGTGGTGCCGCTTGAAGAAACAGTTCATACAGGATATCCTCGGTTATCTTTTCCGAAAGGTTTCCACACCACACTGTTCTCTGATCTTCGTCATTATCGTTCATTTTTACCGTATTAATGCTAGATTTTGGAAAATTTCTGATTTAAATTAATTAAATTTCTGGAAATGTTTGTTTTGACACTTGACAGCACAATAATATACAATGTTGCCAAACTGTACTATTGCTCTTTGTAGTTTTTACAAGTAATAAATCAGAAAACTCACAGTTTTCTTCGCTTATTTCTTAAATTACACCATGATTTCAGAAATTTGTAACAAAATCCCTTAGAGAAGGCAAAAGCCACTTTAATTTTTAATAAAGTGAAAACGCCGTTGGTTATGGTTAGACGGCAACATTGAAATAAATCTGAAAACGTAACCTATTCTTGCCCAAGCAAAACAAAACCTAACATTTCCGTAATTTGTATAAAGGGAAAGTAAGTGCCTAATTACAATGTAAATATACAACTCTGAGGGATAACAATTAAAAAAGTTAATCGAATGCAATTATTTTAGGATGTTAATTAAGTCACAAACGGAATATAAAGTGAAATCTCCCCCGGATGATGCCATATCGGCTGTTAAATTTGGTCCGAATACGAACCAATTTCTTTTGGTCAGCTCGTGGGATGGAAATGTTAGATTGTATGATGTTTTGGCGAATAGTTTGCGGCACAAGTATTCACATGCCGGTCCGGTGTTAGATTGTTGTTTTACTGTGCGTGATCGGTCTCAAGGTAACAATAACTAGTTTTCTTGTTTTAGGATGCCGTACATTCGTATAGTGGTGGACTGGATAGTACATTGAAGTCGCTCGACTTTAACACAACTGCAGGTATGTATTATGTAACGAAATTAATGCTTATGTTGCTTAAAGAATGAAAATTTTGACTTTTTTCTTCAAAAAATTATACCAAACTGTTTACATGGGTTCCTTGATGCATATTTTAGAAGTAGTTGTGTTACGTGGAAGTTAATTTTGAATTTAAGAAAGCAGAATTAACTGTAAATCTATCAGATAATTTGAGAGAGTCTATCTAGGAATACACAAATTTATCAATTACAGATCTTTCTGGAAAGGTAAAGGCTTACTGTACACTGTACAGCTCTTATCACCTTGACAACTTTCTTACCAACAGTGGTTGCCACGATCTCTTTGGGCCTAAAAGTTTCGTTCGGTTCTGTTTAAAGCCAAGCACAATTAAAAATTATCAAAAAATCAAAAAATAATATAATCTCCAGTGGCGAGCTCCACAATAATCCAATCACGAATTTCAGAGACCACCGTCGGAACACACAACATGCCAATTCGGTGTGTGGAATATTGTCAGGAAGTAAACGGAATACTAACCGGAAGTTGGGATAACTTCCTAAAATTGTGGGATCCCAGAGCGCCGATCTGCAGCGGTAATTACAACCAAGGCGACAAAGTGTACACCATGAGCGTCTGCGGCGAGAAACTAGTGGTGGGCACCGCCGGTCGTAAAATACTAGTTTGGGACATACGGAACATGTCCTACACGCTACAGAAACGCGAATCAAATCTCAAATATCAAACGCGAGCGATACGATGTTTCCCGAATAAGCAGGGTTTCGTGTTAAGTAGCATCGAGGGACGAGTGGCCGTCGAATATTTGGATACGAGTCCGGAGATACAAAAGAAGAAGTACGCGTTTAAGTGCCATAGAATTAAAGAAGACGGATTGGAGCGCATTTATCCAGTAAACGCGATAAGGTACGGTTATTGTTTACTACTTAAAGCCAAGGATACTATATAAGGATTGCTCGATCCCTATACTTGTAATGTTGCCCAAGTTTAAGTCATATGTGACGTCACCAACGGACCTGGCTGTCAGAATTGACAGTTATAATTTGCTAAGTTGTGAACGTATTTGAATGGACGCCAGGACGCCGATGTGCAATATTATACTGTAATAACAGCCGCGTTTGCACAAAAATCACTAACCCGGAGGTCATTTACCATAACTTCCCTAAAACCGATGGATTAATACGCAAGGAATAGATATGGTGCTGCAAGCGAGATTAATGGACAAGTGTTTCTAATTTAAATGCCTGCCTACAACACCCATTTGAACGTATTTTATGGTAATCCTAAAGGTCGATTCTCATTAGAGCAGCACCGAGCGGCGCGGCGCAGAGCAGCGCGGCGCGTCGCGAGCAGCAAATTGTAGAGGGGTATTCCCACTTAAGCACCATTTGGAAGCGTGACGAAGCAGCGTTTCTGTTTGTGTTCAGTTTAAGGGAGAATGTATTCTTACACGCTAGAAAAAGAGCCAGAATCGTCATCATCACCAGATGATTTCATAATATTTATAGCGGCACTATATCATGTACACGACGAAAAAAGAAGAAAAAGAAAGCAGACGAGTACAATTAATTTTTCTATTCTTTGTCCGTCCATAGCGAATCCACTAACACACGCAAGCTCAACACAGAAGACTAATAAATGCTTTTCACAAGCCGCAGCACCACGCTGATCTGCTTCGCTCCTCGATTCCCACTTGTCCGTCTACACGCAGAGCGGCGCGTTTCAAAGCAGCGCCGCGTATTCCAATGCTTCCCGACGCGTTTAAAATTTGCTGCGCTGCACCGCGCCGCTCTGCTCTGCCTAGGTGAAAACGGATCTACTTATTTACATGCGAACAATTGAGAGCAGCTTTTCACCGCGCCGCGCTGCTCGCTATAATGGGAATCGGCCTTAATCAAAGCATGCGCTGGTACTGGGTCCGCGAGTGACGTCACTACACGCGGCGAAAAAATTCAGTGATCGAGCAATCCTTATATTATATAGTAAGTATCCTTGACTTAAAGCTAATTTGTCCTAACTTCATGCTAATTGTAAGTGCTAAATACACAGGGAATTTTGTAAAAAATGGCCTTCTGTGAGATTGTTAATGCCTTCTTGATGAACTAATTTGATTCAATGTTCTATCTCACTCTCTTATGTGTTTTGTTACTGATCATTAGTGCTATGAATTATTAACGTATTTTCACACTTGAGCACTAACAAGCACTAATACAGGCTGTCTCACGCAAACCGTTATATTATAAATATATAAATATTATCGTGATCGTTTCACTTCCGGTTTTACCGGATGTGGATAGGAACTTTCTTATTTTAAATATATGAAAATCTACGTCGTTTGATACCACATTTTCCTATACCTAGCATCAAAGGTTATTCAAGATTTTCAAAATTTTTGACGTTTTGACAGTGTTTCTTTAGCGCCCTGTACAGGGTGGCCAACTAAGAATGCGAGGTACTGTATCTGAGAATCTATCCATCGTAGAGGCTTGCGGTAAAAAAATTTATTACTAAAACGGCCACGAGCAAAACCTGGAAAATATTTTTAAGTTTCTGAAATGGCCGCTAGGGGGCGTAACTGCTATCAAGAATCTGAAAAAGTGATTAACCTAACAAAAAAATGTCCGGTCTTTGAAGTTGACGATAATCTGAACAATTTTTGTTTGACAATTTTTCCTGTATCTCTAAAAATGAAGTGGTGGGGGGTATTCAAAGGTTTCCGTAAAGAACACCCTGTATCTTCGAAACGGCTGATCCGATTTAAACAAACTCGGGTTAGTTCAAAAGAGCTATTCTTCAGCTACAACTATTATACTATTTGAAGTTTTGTTAGTTTCACATATCACCGCTTGAGGGCTTTTTTCGACATTCCGACAGAAATGGTTAATTTTCTCAAAAAAATTAAATGCATTGGTTCGATTTTTTTTTCATGAAAAGGTAGCTAAATGATGCCTAAACAAGTTCGCGAAAACAGCATCTCGATATCTTGAGATATATATAATTATATATATATATATTTTTATATCGTGATGGGCAGCATTTCGAGCATTTACGGCGGCATTAAAAGCTTCCTTTTTTAAATCGATCCACCTTAGGGCAACAAATTATATAAGCAAAATAATTCCGGAAAAATTAGCTTAAAAAAATAAAATTTTGAGGGTATAAATTTTTTTTTGTCCTAAATTTTAGGTTAGGAACAAGATATCGAGATGCGCTTTTGGCGAGCTTGTTTAGGCATCATTTAGCTACTTTTTCATGAAAAAAAATCAAACCAACGCATTTAATTTTTTTTGAGAAAATTAACCATTTCTGTCGGAATGTCGAAAAAAGCCCTCAAGCGGCGATATGTGAAACTAACAAAACTTCAAATATTATAATATTTGTAGCTGAAGAATAACTCTTTTCAATTAACCCGAGTTTCTTAAAATCGGCTCAGTCGTTTCCAAGATACAGGGTGTTCTTTACGGAAACCTTTGAATACCCCCCACCGCTTCATTTTTAGAGAAACAGAAAAAATTGTCAAACAAAAGAGGTTCAGATTATCATCAACATCAAAGACTGGACATTTTTTTGTTAGGTTAATATGGCGGAATTCATAGAAACATCACTTTTTTAGATTCCAGATTGCAGTTACGCCCCCTAGCGGCCATTGCAGAAACTTAAAAATATTTTCCGGGTTTTTCTCGTAGCCGTTTTAGTAATAAATTTTTTACCGCAAGGCTCTATGATGGACAGGTTCCCAGATACAGTACCTCGCATTCTTATTTGGCCACCCTGTACATATAGCTCCATTGACTTGAATTTCAAAACGTCATCCAAAATCAACAATACTGATGACGTAATACTGCATACGAATGATTTAAATTTTGATCACCCTTTTACAGAGTGTTTTAAAATTAATGGTCAAGTTTAACTATAAAAGGATTTATCTGTGACGCTTACACGTTTATTTCAAGGCCTCCTAAGAAAATAGCGGTCACAATTTTAGAAAATCTTAAATAAAACGAATGCCATAACAGATAGGTATAGGGCAGGGGTCGGCAACCTATTAAAACGGAAAAGTCAAAAATTACAATTTACAAAATTTCCCAGTTTTTAAAGAGTCACAAAAAATGTTTGATTCAATATTATAGTATTTGGCCATATACAGGGTCCTGCAACAGTGCGTCGGTTTTTCCTACATAGCTGATACCTCGTAAAAAATATTGGTGGTTGCAGATCTACAGAAATTATTTTTGAATGTACAGGCTGTCCCATTTTTACGATGTCAATAAATAACTGATCTTTTTAAATAGAACATCCTGCATATTTTTATTTGTTTCAATGCCATTTGCCTACTCTTTTTCAAATGGAACTACCACTATTTTATTTCGCTATTCGATTGTCTTTTGTGTTCTCTTCAATTTTTATAAGGGGTGCCCTGTGCCTAACCCCGCAGTTTTTATGTTATTCAATATTTTTCACAAAAGTAGGAGTAGGCTCCTATAATTAAAAAAAACAAAAGAATACCAGAAAGTAAACAAGTGTCACAAATTAGATAATTATTTGTTGCAAGTGTACTTTTGATTTCGTAAACAAATAAGATTAATTAAAACGGCGAATTTCGAACAAATGAACTACTCTCTTTAGATAAATACGGAGAGCCACATTATATCAAAAGAGAGGTTGCCGACCCCTGGTATAGGGAATGTAATAATTGATCGATGCAGAATGTTTTTCCACATTTGAAAGTGCAAAAAAATAAAGCAGGTTTCCTTAATAAAAAATCAACTTGAAGTTTAATTAAACTTGACCATTAATTTTAAAACGCCCTGTATAAGGGCGATCAAAATTTAAATCATTCGCATGTAGCATCACGCCAGTATTGTTGATTTTGGAAGATTTGTTGAAATTCAAGTCGACGGAGCCATAGGTACAGGATGCTAAAGAAAAGCAGTCAAATGTCAAAAATTTTAAAAAATCTTGAATAACTTGAAAACCTTTGATGCTGTGTTCGTATGTAATTTTTCAGATTTAAATTATTAATGAAATGAAATTAGTGAAACATCCTGTATAGTATAGTGCAGGGCTGTTGAGCTATTTACTTTGCGAAAATTTACCTTTACTGTTTCAGCTTTCATCCGGCATACAATACATTTGCGACTGGAGGCTCGGACGGTTACGTTAACATTTGGGACGGATTCAATAAGAAACGTTTGTGCCAATTTCACCAGTACCACACATCCATTACATCTTTAAGTTTCAGTCATAACGGTATTCACATTTCAAAGTAGAGCATCACGTTTTAATTTGTGTTTGTAGGTTCAATCTTGGCAATTGCCTGCTCCTACTTCTTAGAGGAAGATAATCCCGTTAGTCCTTTACCGGAAGATGCGATCTACATTCGGACAGTTACAGATCAAGAAACAAAGCCGAAACAAAGTAACTCATAAGTTCTAATTTATTTTTACACTTACGAAGGAATCACATTTCTTAAACTAATGGTATTTAATTGTCTTATTAAATTAAACACTGAGATCGTTGCAATTATTGAGCTTGTTACACGTACACTAGAAATGGAATTGCATGCATCGGCGTCATTACAACTTTGCACACAACCTCTGACGTATCTGCAAAACAATTGTGATAAACTAAATCACGATTACTTCATCTCACCGATCGTCGTAGTAAAAACCTCCACAGTGCGACATTCGCACAATCTCTGTGTCGGTGGTCAGTGTTCCGCTGTCTAACGCACAACCACGTACCACAATTGTATCCCCGTTGTCATCTAAAATTGTACTTGCAAGTGTTCATCTTCCGAATCTACCTACCGAAAGTTCCAGCAATTTTTACACACGACGTTGCTGGAAATAAACCGTCCCTGCCCTTTTTACCTCCCATACACGGCGATTGGTAAATGTCTAAGGTGTAGTTGTTATGAAAGGGGTCTTCGCACGGCTTGTAGTCGTTATTTAACGAAACACATTTAAAACAATCGATCGATTCACCTGCAAGTTGTTTATCATTTAGTTGTCTCGCTAATTTATTTACCTGCGGGAAATTTAATTATAACAAAAATTAATGCCAGTCCTAATTTTAATATCATTGCAGTGGTGTGAAGAAAATATTGATTTGTTTTTCTGAAATAATCAATAATGGGAATTTAAGCGTGTCACCTACTTTTCAATGTACTAGCAAATCACTTCTTTGTTTTTACTATGAAGGTAAGATTTTATAGAGCAACACCAATTACGAAATTTGTGTTTATCGTATAACTAATAAATCCTACCACCAACTTTTTGAGTAAATTGGAAAGTAGGAATAATATAAGAGGACATAAAGGTTTCGGTTTTACGAAATAATAGCGGTTCTGAATTGTTTCTGCTTCATGACGACTCAATTTTAATGGTGGTTGCTATGTTATCGCCCACCATTTCTTGAGTAGCCAGAAAGCTATTACACCAGTAAAGAAAAGATTTAAAAACAAACTGCCGCATGTTTCCTGGGCTAGCAGTGGCAAACTCGTAAAAAGAAACCGAAACGAAAATTGTATTTCGGTTTTTTCGCTGCGAGCCAGATCCTTGAGTCATGCTAAATTTCCCTAAAGTTCCCACCAAGTCACTGTTCCTCTCAGATTTCTCTGTAAGTCCCTTCCCTCGACTTGTTCTGCTTCCTGTAACGAAGCACTCGTTTTCCACCTTGACGTTTATCCCATGTTTTCAGTATAAAGCCAGTTGGACTAATAAATATTATTATTATTATTATTATCAATTTTGGTGACTACTCTGTATATGGACACCCGGTATTTAGAAGCATTTTAAGTTGGGCGAAGTGTTGAAAGCATTTGTGTTGGTTCTAGGAGTAATTAATTTAATTTGTAGAGTTGTGCCGTTACCGTAAAAAAAAGCTGTAATTAATCCGCCGTTTACAACCGTTCCCGTCAAGATATTTTTAATATCTTTGTTGCGTCCGATAGCTCATGTCAGAAGACGAGGGAAATAAATATTTTAGAATTTCGGCTCTGTTAACCCATTATTAGCAAGGTTTTGTGTGCTATGGTAATATCGCTAATTGGTGTTTTGTTGCTTTCATTTAGCAGTATAGTTGGCCGCTTGCCATTTAAAATTCTGGAGCTCTCATTGAATTAGGCCAAGACTTCAGAGACTGATCCGCCAAACCATTCCTCAAATCGACCGGGAAAAAACATTTTCTTATGAAGATTGGGCTAGTAGATCAACAGTTACAGCCCCTTGAATTTTTTTTCGAAGTTGGTTTTTTGTCCATAACTTTTGATTGAGAGGTCTAATCGAAAAAGTACGAATCCTTTTGGATTCTACGCACCAAAATTAATAAGAAAAAGTTTTTTCCCGAGAAATTTTGGTGCAGTCGATTTTTGGTAAAAAAGGAAGGTTATACACTGCCTTTTTTTTGGCTCGAACAAAAAATTGTCTCAGATCGACCGGAAAAAAATATTTTCTTATAGAATGTGGCCTGTAGAATCCATAATTTCAAACAGTTCCAAGATCGGACTACTAGATCAAAAGTTACAGCCCTTTGAATTTTTTGTCGAAATTGGTTTTTTGCCCATAACTTTTGATTGAGACGTCTAATCGAAAAAGTACGAATCGTTTTGGATTCTACGCACCAAAATTAATAAGAAAAAGTTGTTTTCCCGAGAAATTTTGGTGCAGTCGATTTTTGGTAAAAAAGGAAGGTTATACACTGCCTTTTTTTGGCCCGAAAAAAAATTGTCTCAGATCGACCGGAAAAAAATATTTTCTTATAGAATGTGGCCTGTAGAATCCATAATTTCAAACAGTTCCAAGATCGGCTACTAGATCAAAAGTTACAGCCCTTTGAATTTTTTGTCGAAATTGGTTTTTTGCCCATAACTTTTGATTGAGACGTCTAATCGAAAAAGTACGAATTGTTTTGGATTCTACGCACCAAAATTAATAAGAAAAAGTTTTTTCCCAAGAAATTTTGGTGTAGTCGATTTTTGGTAAAAAAGGAAGGTTATACACTGCTTTTTTTTTCCGAAAAAAAATTGTCTCAGATCGACCGGGAAAAAAAATTTTCTTATAGAATGTGGCCTGTAGAATCCATAATTTCAAACAGTTCCAAGATTGGGCTACTAGATCAAAAGTTACAGCCCTTTGAATTTTTTGTCGAAATTGGTTTTTTGCCCATAACTTTTGATTGAGACGTCTAATCGAAAAAGTACGAATCGTTTTGGATTCTACGCACCAAAATTAATAAGAAAAAGTTTTTTCCCGAGAAATTTTGGTGCAGTCGATTTTTGGTAAAAAAGGAAGGTTATACACTGCCTTTTTTTTTGGCTCGAACAAAAAATTGTCTCAGATCGACCGGAAAAAATATTTTCTTATAGAATGTGGCCTGTAGAATCCATAATTTCAAACAGTTCCAAGATTGGGCTACTAGTTCAAAAGTTACAGCCCTTTGAATTTTTTTCGAAATTGATTTTTTGCCCATAACTTTTGACTGGGAGGTCTAATCGAAAAAGTACGAAACCTTTTGGATTCTACGCACCAAAATTTATAAGAAAAATTGTTTTCCCGACCAATTCTGGAGAGCACATTGAAGGACTAACCAAAAGCAACTAAAAATATTCCAAAACGGTTTACAAAGCTCCAACAGGCTTTGTATAGAACATAAAAATTCTTTTAAAAAGTGCTGGGAAGTCCTCCCACAAAGTTTTTGAGAAGAGCTCCAAAAAGAAAAACTACAGGAAAGCCTGAGAAAGTGAAAAAAATTCAAAATATAGAATAATCTCTTTATTCATACATCACATCAAGATTTTTGTGATTAATGCGTCTGTGGGAATTTAAATTACCGGTCGTCGTAAATCCTTTACCACAATCACTGCACTCGTAGGGTTTTTCACCGGTATGTGTCCGTAAGTGAACAGTCAGATGTATATTTTTAGCGAAAGATTTTTTACAGACCGCACACGTATATGGTTTTTCTCCTGTATGTTTCCGCATATGTATACGTAGGTGACGCGGGTGCACGAATGTCATATCGCAACTGGTACATGCGTGGGGCTTTTCTTTGGTGTGGGTACTTTTGATGTGTGTTTTCAAGTTACTCTGTGTCGTATACGTTTTGCCACATGCACTACAGATATACGAATAAACGCCTGTAAAGAAGTTCTGTATTGGAGCTTTAGACGGAGTCAAGTCTTACCTGAATGGGTTTTTTGGTGTAGTTTTAAACTGTAGCTTTTGGCGAAGGATTTGTGGCATGTGGAACATTCAAATGGACGTTCTAGTGAATGAGTTAACAAATGCTCTTTCATCCGAGACACTTGGCAGAAAACTTTACCGCAGACGTTACACAAACTCTGTTTTTCGTTGATGTGTTTCAGGTGCAGCGATTCTTTTGTGCTAGTTTTGTTGCACACTTTGCATACGAAAATTTTTGGCGTGTGAGATTCTAAGTGTTCATTCAATTGTGATTCTGTGGTGAAAATATCTGTACATTTATCACAACCGTAGGACTGCTCTTTCTTAAAACCTTGGATCGTTGGTAAGATTTCACTTATATTTTGTTCAGCAATGGCGTTTTCAGAGTATAACGTGAAAGACGGTGTAAGACCGTCTTCGTTACAACTTGTACAGTAATGAGTATACGAATCTATATCAAGATATCTCTTACATTTTAAATTTTGCTGACCCGCATTTGGACAAACCTTCATGTTGTGAATAGCATAAACAACATGTGAAAGATCGGAAATGCCGGTAATCGCATTGTTCAGTTTTGGAATGTCGATTACTTCATTTTCTATAAAAAACGTTGGCTCGATCGTTTTTTGGGTGACATTCATCGTTAAAAGAACTCCTCGTTCGATGGATAATTTGAGTAACGGTCTCATCTCTATCTGAACTATAATGGCGTAATGATACTGGGGATCTATGTGAATATTCCACAGGGTTGAAGGTAAAACCAGTAAGGGTAACCCTTTACAAAATTCTTTGAAATCAGGAAATTCTCTGTAATTCATTTTCTATTTGTTTTTTGAAAATTTTTGAGGTTAAGAATTAAAAGCACCATATACACTAGATAAAATATAATATAGGTAATGTTTGTTGATTGAATCTGGCTTTGCTGCACGTGTGTATGATGGGTTGCCTATTTTTATTTGCAAATAGTTTTTTATTTATTAAACTTGAGTCTAATTATGCTCTCTATCCCCATTCCCTATCTTTGAAGAAGTTTAATACTTTCCAGTAGCTTTAACGCTGACTCTGAAGAAGTTAAGATGTGCACGATGGCCAGAGCATTGAATAAAAAATGCCCAGAGCCAAAAGTCCATCGACATCTTTCTCGACCCACTGGTATAAAACTAACATTTTGCAGAAGGTATTTCAATTTATTACAAAAATACAGTTTTCGAATAATTAATTCCTTAGTAACAAAGGTTTCTGCACCGATTAATCATCTCCATCTCCCGATCCTTCCGAAGAAACTTCTTCATAATCCAATTCCAGAGCGGCTAAATCTTCACGAGCTTCGTTAAATTCACCTTCTTCCATGCCCTCTCCAACGTACCAATGTACAAAAGCCCTCTTAGCGTACATGAGATCGAACTTTTTGTTTAGCTTATTCCACGCAGATGCAATCGCTGTTGTATTTGATAACATACAAGCCGCTCTTTGGACGCGAGCCAAATCACCTCCAGGTACTACGGTAGGAGGTTGATAGTTAATTCCGACTTTGAAACCAGTCGGGCACCAGTCGACGAATCGGACGTTACTTTTCGCCTTCATTTGCGCGATTGATGCATTAACATCCTTCGGTACCACGTCTCCACGGTAAAGCAAACAGCAAGCCATGTATTTTCCCTGGCGTGGATCACATTTTACCATTTGGTTACTGGGCTCAAATAATTCTGCCGTGATTTCGGACACGGACATTCCTTCATGGTACGCTTTTTCGGAGGACACAACCGGCGCATAAGACGCCAAAGGGAAGTGAATTCGGGGATACGGTACCAGGTTGGTTTGGAATTCTGTTAGATCAACATTTAGAGCTCCATCGAATCTGAGAGAGGCTGTAATCGACGAAACGACTTGGCTGATTAGTCTGTTCAAATTCACGTAGTCGGGTCGTTCGATGCTTAGTCGCTTCCTGCAAATGTCGTAGATTGCTTCATTGTCAACCATGAAAGCGCAATCGGAGTGGTTTAAAGTCGTATGCGTCGTCAAGATTGCATTATACGGTTCTACTACGGCAGTACAAATCTGTCGAGAGTTAATTGAGAAGTCATTAGTAAGGAAAGTATACTTACTTGAGGTGCTGGATAGATCACGAACTCCAGTTTGCTTTTCTTCCCAAAATCTTGCGATAATTTTTGCATGAGCAACGAAGTGAACCCAGATCCGGTACCGCCACCAAACGAATGGAATACAAAGAAACCTTGAAGACCGCAACACTGCTCGGAGAGTTTGTACAACCGCTCCATTACAACCTCGATCATCTCTTTACCAATGGTGTAATGGCCTCTGGCGTAGTTATTAGCCGCGTCTTCTTTCCCAGTTATCAACTGCTCAGGATGGTATAAATGCTTATATTTTCCAGTTCTAATCTCATCAACGACCGAAGGTTCCAAGTCGATCATGACAATCCGCGGAACCATTTTGCCATTTTCTACCTCCGAGAAGAACGTACCGTAGCAGTTATCGGCGGAAGTCATCGATTCCTCGCTACTGGGCAGAGTACCATCCGGCGATATCCCGTGTTCCAAACAATATAACTCCCAAGTAGCGTTTCCAATTTGAACTCCAGCCTGGCCAACGTGAACAGAAATACACTCCCTCTACAATTTTACCTAATATTAATGCGGGAATCAAACCTTAACGTTTGCCATACCATTTTGAACAAGAATTTTAGATCGAATTGAAAAATAAAAGCCGGAAAAATGATTTTGATAGCTTTATTTACCAAAATAGTTTGTCATAGATACCTACTCAATTTTTTTAAAGCCATCATGATTTTAATTTTTAAGGTTTTAATATAAGCCACCGAGATTTACGGCTTAGTCGATGGCCAAAAATTAAAGACCATTTCTATCTGCTTGCGGTAGAGATCACCAGGTGCTGTTCATGTACCAACCAAACCCTTTTCCCTACAAAATTAGTCTATACTCTCTTTCGTTTTGAGTCCCAAAAGGCCCCCACTTTGTCAATTCTTCTAACTCCTTCTCTTATTCTACAGCATTCGTAGCGTTGATCTTCGTTTCTCATGATGGTTTCAATTTTTCCGTAAATCTCCTTTGCGTCCTCGTGCTCATTATCAGTGGTAGGTATATAAACCTGAATGATAAATTTCTGGGACTTTCCCCCAACTTAATTGCCATCGCCCTATCTCTTTCAAATATGACTTTTGGACAGATTTAACCATTTTTCCTACCAGTATCTTCATTAAAGTAAAATTTTGGATCTCTACAATGCACTTTCCTCTATCTTTCCCATCTAGTTTTACTTATACCATTCATATAGAGATCATTATTAATGACTTTTCGAGCTATTCCTCTTTTAGTCATGCTCTCACATTCCATATTGCTCCTCTACGTAACTTTCTCACTTCATTATATACATACATTCTTTTCTAGGATGTGCCTTCCGTTGTGGTGCGGAGCAACGATTTTGATGTGCAGTAGGTTAGAATCATTGATTTCTGTTGATAACTTATTAATAACTTCGTGTCTTTAAAAACATGGAAATCTCCTTCTCGTGTCATAGCAATATATCTATGAAACCGAGAGATATTTTGGACAGCTTTGTGCTTTGTGAAGTCATTCCTATTTTATGTTACCGATTGTTACTATGTATATTATGTAAAATAACTGTTAGTTTCAAATATTCTCGAAAAAATTCGACGCGTATTTGTGTTTCACCCTGTAACTGTTTAGTACCATAGGTTGGTAACATATGTATTTAGAATATATGGTTGGTAATAGACGCTACCGATTACCGCCAAAAATCTAAACATAACCTTATTTTTTCCAGTTTCTATTTAGAAATACATGAAATAATAATTTGTAAAATGGAAGTAGCGGAATTCGATCAACGTCTACGAGACATACAGAGGGAATATCTGGATTTCTTGAGCGATGAGGCAAGTTACTTTCGGAGTTTACCCCCTTATTAACAAAGAACTTGCAGGCCGATCAAAATAAGTACACCCAAATGGTTAAAAATCTAATAGCGGATAATGGTCGCAGATTGATCGTTAATTTAAACGATTTAAGAAAAAGGAATCCGGAACGTGCCAAGAGTTTACTTACAAACTCGATCGAGGAACAGATCGCCTTTCAACGTGCCCTCAAAGAGTACATCAGCAACGTCTTTACCGAGTACGAGAAGGACAGCGGAGATTTTTTTGTAGGTTTTGAAGGTAGTTTCGGTAACAAACATGTTACTCCAAGATCGCTGCATGCACGCTTTTTGGGGAATTTGGTGTGCATTGAAGGCATCGTAACAAAGTGTAAGTTTGCAACGTCTGTATGTGGATTTTTGAACTGTTTCGATCATAGGCTCGCTGATCAATCCAAAGGTGGTTCGAAGTGTCCACTTCTGCAGCTCCACCAAGAAAGTTACAGATCGGAAATATGCAGATTTAACTTCGTTAGAGGCATTTCCCACGAGTTCAGTGTACCCGACCCAGGTTTGTCTTGAAAACATTGTTACCAACCAACCAAAAATTATTCGGTTAGGACGAAGATGGAAACCTTCTCGAAACAGAATTTGGTTTGTCGTCGTATAAAGATCATCAATCCATTTCTATACAGGAGATGCCTGAAAAAGCGCCTGCGGGGCAGTTACCGAGATCTGTAGACATTATTTGCGATAATGACTTGGTGGACTGTTGTAAACCGGGTGATCGAATACTGGCTGTAGGCAGTTATAGATGCTTGCCCAATAAGCAGGGCAGCTTTACAAGTGGAACTTTCCGGTAGGTTTTATGCGAGGGGTAATTCACGTGACACAGAAAATGTACATCTGATCTCAAGGTTTGAAATAATGAGATTTCAGGTAAATCGCATTCCAAAATTAATAATATGAGTAATTATTGTTATTGATGTAACTTCCCTCACTAGTTGCTGTAGTAGCTTTAAATCAGTGAGGCTTAGCTCAGAAGTGCTGCATTAAAGTCATATATCCAAATGCCTTGGAAGCCACCACAAAGTAACATGGTTTTTAAATGCCATCTGCAGCTGCTTCTTGCTTTGAAATGTCAGAAAAGGAGACAGTATTATTTAGAATCTTTGTTAGTTATGGTCATGACCAAAAATTTTTAAACTTGCAAAGCGATCCCGTTACACCATAGTGCAATTTCCTGATGCACATGCTGTTCGAAACAACCCGTGTTACATATGTACTTATAAATGTGCTGTGTGAAATGGTGTGCGTTCAACTACACTACCCACAAAACACCTGTGCCCAGCTAGCTCAAAACAGCAAAAATTGAAACAAAATCCTAATGATAACTCGAAATCAATAATGTAGGACAATGCGTCTTCAAATAATCAAAAACGCTAATTACTTGAAAAAATTGGCGTACAGAGACGTACACGCTCATTTTTTTAACATATTGTAGGCTCGAGTCTAATGACCTTGAGACTCGGTTGGCAATGACTCATTTGAATAATCCTTATTAGAATTTTAAATTAATCCTCAAATTTGTTGGTCAATTTGAATAATTTCACCTAGGTAATGGTAGAAGGAAGGTGTACAAAACTATTACAAATCGGTACGAGTCCATGTGACATTTCAAGGATGAATTGCCCCTCAATACTACGTATTTATTGCAAAGGCCGAGATTAATGCGCTGTTTCTAGAGCCGTTATAATCGCCTCCAATATTTCCCAGTTGAGCAAGGAGGCGGGCCTTTCTATTTCGCGTAACGATGTGAGACTGTGTAAAAATTTGAGCACTAAAGAGGAAGACGTGTTCACCGTTTTGGCCCGTTCCATAGCCCCTTCGATTCAGGGACATGAATACATTAAAAAGGCGATATTGTGCCTTTTGTTGGGCGGCGAAGAGAAGGTCCTACCGAACGGAACTCGATTAAGAGGCGACATAAATGTGCTACTTATTGGCGATCCTAGTGTGGCCAAATCTCAGTTGTTACGTTACGTTCTCGCTACGGCCCCGCGCGCCATTCCGACTACCGGTCGCGGTTCCACCGGGGTGGGACTTACCGCTGCAGTTACCACCGATCAAGACACCGGCGAGAGGCGGTTAGAGGCCGGCGCCATGGTTTTGGCAGATAGAGGTGTCGTTTGTATTGACGAATTCGATAAAATGTCGGACATCGATCGTACGGCTATACACGAAGTAATGGAGCAGGGTCGTGTTACTATTGCCAAGGCTGGGATACATGCCAGTTTGAATGCGCGGTGTTCCGTATTGGCCGCCGCCAATCCTGTATATGGACGGGTGAGTGTTTTGTTTATGTTTGCGTTATTTTAGTGACTTTTGTAGTACGATCAATACAAAACTCCAATGGAAAATATTAATTTGCAAGACTCTTTACTGTCTCGTTTTGATCTGTTGTTTGTTATGCTAGACACAGTGGATCCAAAACTTGATGGCCAAATTTCTGAGCATGTTGTACGCGTTCATCGTTATCGGTAAGTTGTTTTGTTTTATCAAACAATATTAAATGTTATTTGTGAGAAAACTTTGTTAAATTAAAAAAAATTTAAGTTGCCACTTGCATGTAAACAATTTGCTGTGGCTAGCACAGATAACACCCCCCCCCCACACCTGCGCATGCGCGATTCTCCCCAAAAGCTTTTAGATCTTCTTTTTATGTCAAAGAATATGTGTACCAAATTTGATCCCAATTGCTTCAGTTTATGTGATTCGGGTTCCGGGAACGTGTATTTCATTGAAAAAAGTGGGAGGGGGGTCATTTTTTACGCCGTTGCAATACCTTATTAACGTGCGGATGGTAAAAAATCAAAATTGCAACCGGTTTTAAATATGGACGCTGTCCAATATTTCAAACTGAGTGTCCTAAATTATTGATTTTGAGTTATCATTAGGATTTTGTTTCAATTCTCTATTTTGAGCTAGCTGTGGGTGGTGTAGTTGACCGCACACCATTTCACACAGCAAGATGTATAAGTACAGTAACACGGGTTGTTTTGAACGGCATGTGCATAGGGAAATTGCACTGTGAATCGTTGCACTATGGTGTAACGGAGATCGCTTGGCAAGTTTAAAAATTTTTTTGCCGTTTCATTTCAATATAGGAAATTTTACATTTGTACCGCTTTACACGGAAAGTGAGGTAGAGTATGCCTGGCGATAAGCATGAACATGTCGGGGAAAGTATGTCCCTAAACGACGTCTCAGTTTACGTTTTCGAGAATTTAATGCAAATTTGGATGGTGGTCGAGGTAAATACGAAGTTCATTATCCTGAAAATTTGCTTTCAACGAGAGACCATTGTACAGGGTGGCTAAATAAGAATGCGAGGTACTGTAACTGAACCTGTCCATCGTAGAGGCTTGCGGTAAAAAAATTTATTACTAAAACGACCACGAGAAAAACCTGGAAAATATTTTTAAGTTTCTGCAATGGCCGCTAGGGGGCGTAACTGCAATCTGGAATTTAAAAAAGTGATTTTTCTGTGAATTCCGCTATATTAACCTAACAAAAAAATGTCCGGTCTTTGAAGACAACGATAATCTGAACCTTTTTCGTTTGACAATTTTTCCTGTATCTCTAAAAATGAAGTGGTGGGGGGTATTCAAAGGTTTCCGTAAAGAACACCCTGTATCTTCGAAACGACTGAGCCGATTTTAACAAACTCGGGTTAATTGAAAAGGGTTATTCTTCGGCTACAAATATTATAATATTTGAAGTTTTGTTAGTTTCACATATCGCCGCTTGGGGGTTTTTTTCGGCATTCCGACAGAAATGGTTCATTTTTTCAAAAAAATTAAATGCGTTGGTTTGATTTTTTTTTTCATGAAAAAGTAGCTAAATGATGCCTGAACAAGCTCGCAAAAACCGCATCTCGATATCTTGTTCCTAACCTAAAATTTACACCAAAGAAAATTTTATACCCTCAAAATTTTATTTTTTTAAGCTAATTTTTCAGGAATTATTTTTATTATATAATAATTTGTAGCCCTAAGGTGGATCGATTTAAAAAAGGAAGCTTTTAATGCCGCCGTAAATGCTCGAAATGCTGGCCATCACGATATAAAAAAAATATATATATATCTTCGCGAACTTGTTTAGGCATCATTTAGCTACTTTTTCATGAAAAAAAAATCGAACCAATGCATTTAATTTTTTTGAGAAAATTAACTTCTGTCGGAATGTCGAAAAAAGCCCTCAATCGGTGATATGTGAAACTAACAAAACTTCAAATAGTATAATATTTGTAGCTGAAGAATAGCTCTTTTGAACTAACCCGAGTTTCTTAAAACCGGCTCAGCCGTTTCGAAGATACAGGGTGTTCTTTGCGGAAACCTTTGAGTACCCCCCACCACTTCATTTTTAGAGATACAGGAAAAATTGTCCAACAAAAATTGTTCAGATTATCGTCAACTTCAAAGACCGGACATTTTTTGTTAGGTTAATGTAGCGGAATTCACAGAAACATCACTTTTTTAGATTCCAGATTGCAGTTACGCCCCCTAGCGGTCATTTCAGAAACTTAAAAATATTTTCCAGGTTTTTCTCGTGGCCGTTTTAGTAATAAATTTTTTTACCGCAAGCCTCTACAATGGATAGATTCTCAGATACAGTACCTCGCATTCTTAGTTGGCCACCCTGTACAAGAATTGTTCCTTTTGTATTTAATACATAGAATGAAATTCCCATGGTTAATTCATACACATTTTGGTATAGAAATCCATTGGAGCAAGATGGCGAAGTCCTACCAATGGGGTCCGGTGCAGACTGCTACAGTACCCAAAATCCGGACACCATAGAAAAGGAGAGCACCGATCAAACGATATTCGAAAAATACGATCCTCTACTACATGGGGATAGAGCGCATTGGCTACAAACGCTCAGCGTCGACTTCATGCGCAAATATATACACTTTGTCAAAATTATAAAACCCAAACTGACGAAGGAGTCCGCCGAAATTATCGCCGAGGCGTATTCGCGGTTACGTTCAGAAGATACCATGGACGCAAACGTCGCCAGAACTCAACCTGTTACCGCCCGAACGTTGGAGACGTTAATTCGTTTAGCGACGGCGCACGCGAAAGCTCGAATGTCGCTTGAAATTCAAGAGCGCGATGCGCGCGCCGCGATTGAGCTTGTCCAATATGCTTACTTCAAGGTGGTGTCTGAGAAACCAAGTCACAAGCGGTCCGTCGAGTCTGATGGTGATGAAGTAAGTGACAATGAAAGCAGCTCGCAAAGGAGGAGGAAACGAGTTCGAGTGGACAATGAAGTCATCAGTAGTCAAACATCCGATGCGAGTGGGCTTACAAATGGTACTCACGCAACGGTGGAAGCAATGGACGTTTCCACGACTACAACCATTTCTGACACAAGGTAATTTTCTTATTGAAGTGATCTTTTCGCTATTATTGTCATTTTGTTTAAGATTGTCGACATTTAAATCCAGTTTGTGTCAAATATTCAGCACTAGGAGGAGTCAGTCACTTGCACTAACAAATTTGATAGAGGGCTTAAACGAAGGGCGTGCCGAACCATTTGCAGAAGGAGAAGTACGAGCAGCAATACAGAAAATGTCCGATGACAATCAAGTTATGATGGCCGATGACACAGTATTTTTAATTTAAACATATTGCAGTGTTTAATATTCTAATTTTGATGTAATTTTTAATGTATTCTTATTAATTTTTTTGTATAGTTAATGATATTATTTTAATTTAATAATAACATAGCCCCTAAAGGAAGTGTGAAACGGCAAATGAAGTGTAGAGGATAGAGGATAAAATTTCAAAAAAATATCTCTATAAATAAGAAAGTTGACTTTGCGCATGCACAATTTAATTTGATATGTTTGTTTTTACTAGAAGTGTCTCTGGTTAAAATTTAGAGAGAGAGAGAGAGAGAAAGAAAGATCTTCATCAGTCTGCGCATGCGCGCATTTGAATTTACTATGTGCGATGTGTTTGCCTTTGCTCATGACATTGACTACGTTTATCTCGTCGCTTCCATCGGATCGAGACTGCTTATACGTTTGCCTTCTCTAGAAGTATGTGTGATTAAATTTTTAACAAAATATATGAATAAATAAGAAAGTTGATATTGTGCACATTAATCGGCAAGATTTTTCTTGGCTCAGTTTCCAGAGCTATAAGATGGCAAATTCAAAAAGAACAAACTAAATATATTGAAAACTGTAAGAGTAGTTAAGGTCCTTGCCATCTATACGTGGTGTCCAAAAGTAAACAACCGTTGGCGTACTTTAAAACATACAATGATGGCACTAAATTTTTTATGGAAATGGGCAGTTTCATATGAAACACCCTGTAGAACTAAAATGATATTTCCTAACATTTAAAAAAGTCACTTTTTATACAGTTTCTTTTTTATACATCCAGATGTTATTGAATGAACCGTTGTTTTGGTTATTGTTTATAAGTGTTGGAAGTGCTAAATAATTGTGCAGAATGGAGGTCAGTTAATTTCATTCGTAGTTTTAACGTATTTATCTGCCTCTTGTATAGATATAAATTCACATTTTGTCAATTGCATATTTTAACAATAAAAAGCTAATGGAGGAATCTTGTGGTGCTCAATACGCCTTACAAATAGCCCTGCAAACTTTAAGGGAAAGATGTCATCAATTTCAACAGAGAATTGCCGTCCTCGAAGAGGAAAACCTAAACCTAAGATGCAAAGCTAGCATTAGATCGGAGCAAGCTGATTCGTCCCTTTCCGAAGTGGATTCATTAAGACAACAAGTGTCACAATTAACGGAGCATAACTTGCAGCTAACTAGTAACGTCTTAATGGTATCCGCCGAAAATCGTCAGTTGTGGAATAGACTATCAAGGTTGACGCGCGCCAATGAAAATTTAGGCTCCAAACTGCATAAAATCAGTGACACTCTGTCGAACGTTACGTTGTCTAATTCCCAATCAACTTTAGTACGTTCAAAGACGTTCACTCAAGAGGAGCCACATGTGAAAGTTGTACCGAGGAATGTGACGGACGAAAATAATCGAATTAGTTTAGAACTGGAAGACATATCGCTAAAGTTAATGTGTAACATTGCGAAGGAAAAAAGTGAGTTAGAGTTGCAGTGTTCGCAAATGACCGAATTACAAAATAATGAATTTATAAACACATTCGCATTTGCTTATTCCGCTGAGGAAGTAGACAATACCATTTTAGATGAATTCGATCAATATTTAATGAATTTGAAGAATATTAAGCACGTTTTAACACAAGAGAAAGGGAAACTGCAGAAGAATCTAAACGATTTAAATTCATTGTCAGGTACTGGCTAAGTTACAACTGCATTGTAAAGTTTATACGCCTTTTTTAGTTTATTACCAGTCTACTTCGGTTAAACCTCCAATCGATAAGGTGTCAACGTTTGTACAAACAAATGCACAGGAATTGGTGGACGAAGTGGCTGCTTCTGCAGTCACTAATGAAGCGAGCAAGATGGACACTTGTACAAAAATATGCCCGATGTGTAGTAAAGTATTTAAGGGTAATGTTACTTTTAGAGAATTTCAAGATCATGTCGAAAACCATTTTACTTCTGATACAGAGACATTTGATGTAATTTGAGTGGAAATTTACTCATAATGATCCGCAAAAACCTTGTGATATGACAAATTTCTCAAATGTGTCAGGTTATTCCATATGCAAGTCTATTTATGATTATATTTTAATAAATATTTTTGTTATTACGATTGTAGTTTCTTGTTTGTCATATTAACATGAGCAAGTGTATAAACCTTCCTTTTTTACCAAAAATCGACTACACCAAAATTTATTAATTTTGGGGCGTAGAATCCAAAACAATTCGTACTTTTTCGATTAGACTTCTCAATCAAAAGTCTCAGACCAAAATTAATAAGAAAATGTTTTTTCCCAAGAAATTTTGGTGCAGTCGATTTTTGGTAAAAAAGGAAGGTTATAACTGCCTTTTTTTTTGGCTCGAACAAAAAATTGTCTCAAATCAACCGGAAAAAAATATTTTCTTATAGAATGTGGCCTGTAGAATCCATAATTTCAAACAGTTCCAAGATCGGGCTACTAGATCAAAAGTTACAGCTCTTTGAATTTTTTAAATGGGTTTTTTGCCCATAACTTTTGATTGAGAAGTCTAATCGAAAAAGTACGAATCGTTTTGGATTCTACGCACCAAAATTAATAAGAAAAAGTTTTTTCCCTAGAAATATTGGTGCAGTCGATTTTTGGGAAAAAAGGAAGGTTATAGACTGCATTTTTTTTTGACTTGAACAACAAATTGTCTCAGATCGACCGGAAAAAAATATTTTCTTATACAATGTGGCCTGTAGAATCCATAATTTCAAACAGTTCAAAGATCGGGCTACTAGATCAAAAGTTACAGCCCTTTGAATTTTTTGAATGGGTTTTTTGCCCATAACTTTTGATTGAGACGTCTAATCGAAAAAGTACGAATCGTTTTGGATTCTACGCACCAAAATTAATAAGAAAAAGTTTTATCCCGAGAAATTTTGGTGCAGTCGATTTTTGGTAAAAAAGGAAGGTTATACACTGCCTTTACCGGGCCTATAAAGTACAATTGCTCTACAGATCTTGCAAGACTCCGTACATTTTGAACTGCCATTTAAGGAATAATAAATGCGACGTTGCTATTAACCGCATAAATTCAAATGAAATTTTAAAAGAAATAACGTACGTGGCGACATCTCAACTACACTTATAAAACTATAATTGATAGAAAGTGTATCAATTGCCATGGAGATGGCGCACTAGTACTTATTGTATTTAATCTATCTATTCAAAAACCGGGCCTTTAAACTATAATTGCTCTACAGATCTTGCAAGACTCCGTACATATTGAACTGCCATTTAAGGAATAATAAGTGCGACGTTGCTATTAATCGCATAAATTCAAAAGAAATCTTAAATGAAGTTGGCGACATCTCAACTAGACTAGAATCCATAATTTCAAACAGTTCCAAGATCGGGCTACTAGATCAAAAGTTACAGCCCTTTGAATTTTTTGAATGTGTTTTTTGCCCTTAACTTTTGATTGAGACGTCTAATCGAAAAAGTACGAATCGTTTTGGAATCCAAACAATTCGTACTTTTTCAATGAGACTTCTCAATAAAAATTTATAGACTAGAAACCAATTTCGAAAAAAAATTCAAGGGGTTGTAACCCTGCATACAAAGATGTTATAGTGCAGTCCTCCCTTTTTCGATTTTTTTTATGTGGCCCTTAGCGTATTTTCGTATACTGGTTTTATATCCCTATGCTATAAGAACTGGAAGGGTCTTTTCTGACGGATTTCTGGAAAATAGCAAAACTTATATACTTGGCTATGTACAAATTCAGTCCGATGTTTTGTGTTATACATAACGGCAATGATGTAAGGTCGCTCCCAAACTGAGAATTCCATCTTTAGCTACATTTCCATGGGACATCAACTAACATCTCGCCCATTCAGGTGTGCTGTTTTTTATTAACAACTTAGAATGTACAGTCACTGATGGAATTAATGATGTACGACCAGTACACGTCCATATTACCAGTTTCAGACGTTCTTGCTACACTGAAAACTGTATTTCTACTTTCTTATCGAGTGTATTGTAGCTGTTGGACCTCGCTAAATTTTGCGTGTGGAAATTCTATAGGAATTAATGAACCATTTGAAATAGGCGCTTTTTTATTAACGCGTATTCGTGAACCTTATTATACCCCGCTAGGTATGCAATTTACATAAAATTAAGGTAAATTCGATGTTAAGTATAAGGAATATTAATGTCTTATAGTACTTAATAAATAATTCACAATTGTGTAGGTACTTAGTGGCCTTCGTCTATCACTAGCAAAAATGCCGTTGAACTTAATTTCCAAAAATACTCATTCGGTCCGCTTACTCAATGGGTATGGCCCAAGGATGTTCAAAATGTCCATATTGAATTGCGCTTAGTCTGTTTCGTAGAGTTTCATATAGGGGTTTCGAGTGTTGCGTTGTGGGTATCTGTATTGAGGATCCTAAATAGTCTATCGACGAAATCGGACTGACTACGCACGCCGTCCCCGAACCGAAGAGCTCTAGTAACTGAGGAGGAATTTGTTAAAGAAGTTCGTTGAACACTTCTTGGGCACTTACCCTGTTTTCTTGTTGGAGCCTAACCACTTCGTTCATGGTGATAGTTCGTTGCTGAATTTGCATATTTCCGAGTTCCTGTGCCAGTTCAATAATCGATTGCCGAGTAACGCCTGGTAATATTAACCCGTTAAGAGGTGGAGTTGCCAGTACTTTTTCTGAAAGATATCGTTATCTTATACTGCGTCATAGAATCTTTTCTTATCAAAACAACGCATTCGTAAATATTTGTACCTATGTTTTTTTAATAACTGACGTAGATGTGGGAAAAAGATAATGAGTGTTGTACACACCTCCTTGTTCATTGACGTAAAGCATAAATATATTCATGGTGCCAACTTCGGTAATCTGGTGATCTTCTCCGTACAACCATAACACTTGTTGACAGCCCTTTCTGACCGCTTTACTTTGTACTCTAATTGTAGGACCGTAATTGGAACCCATCTTTCGGTCACCGCAACCCCCTGGCCAAGCTCGCGTGTAGGTAGGATCGGCCAGTAGAGACACAGACTCGTTACCTTTATCGAAATACGCACCGACCGGACATAAAATCGTGTAGAGAAGTGCCGAATTAGATTTTGCAACTCCCAAAGTTCCCTGTAACCCAATTACAAAAGATAATTCGTAAGTTATCACTATTTATCTTAGATTAGGCCAACTTACATCAATTCCAATGAGCGTAGGTCTTATGTACAGGCTCGAGGCTTCCGAATGAGGAACCCACTCTTGATCAACTTGTATCAATCGATTCATGCACTTAATTAACTCCATGCCATCGAATGTGGGAAGTCCGGTACCTTTCGCCGATAAGTTCATGCGATTCATGTTTAGGTCGGGCCGGAAAACTCGTATTTTTCCATCTACGCCCCTGTACGCCTTCAAGCCTTCGAACAGCTGCAATCACGGTTGTTTTTGGGGACGGCGAATTAGGTTTGATTTAATTTACCTCGATGGCGTAATGGAGAACTTTAGCAGCCGGGTGCAGGGAGATGTTTTCGAAGGGAATTATCGCGGGCTTTTGCCAACCACCAAGAGCTTCGTGGTAGAAAATCTTCAGCATGTGATCGGTAAAAACTTGCCCAAACTTCAGTTCGCTTACGTCTGGTTTTGAACGCAACTGATTTGGTTCGGCCAATGTTGTTGTTAACTCGGAGAACTGAAATTTTTGGTCCAACGGTAAACATGGCACGGATACGTAACGGTAATTGTGCAAATTGCAGATGCCCTCAATGATAACAACTGAGTAAACGTTTATAAATATTCTTAGATACAAAATAAGTTTATCTCTGACAACTCACTGGTGAGGGGCTTGTGTGGAATGGAGAATTTTGGTACCTACTGCGCTCAAAATTAATAAACTAAGGACGCACCTTAAATGTGAATTCGCTTTCATCTTCGTATTGCTTATACTCCTCCGGGCCCAAAGCCTGTTTGGTTTGTAGGTGACAGCTTCTAACGGCCTGCTTGAACTTAAGTTGGCGACTCAAAATCCACCTACAAGCACACTGTAAGAACGTGGGAATTGTAATTAAATCTGTCAATACAATTAGCGAACTTATTTCTAAAGTGGAAGACATTTTTGTTGTTATGTAGCAACAGTTTATCTCGGCGAAGTGTTTCGAAATTTGTACATTTTTTCAAAGTTGACAGTTTATCATCTCTTCCAGATTATTCCAGTTTTAGACCGATAATTACGAAATTTTTCATCGTAGGAAAAGCGATAAGAGAAAAAAACGCAATTGAATCAAAAGTAACAAGCCATACAAAAGTTATCGTTGTGTGCAAATGAACCCCATAATTTGCATATATTTGCCTCATATTTCTTATATGCGCACCTACAAACTATACTACAATTGGTGAAGAACAAAATACATTTTGAATTGCGACCTAAGAGTTTTTGTACTTAAAGAAAGTGTGTAAGTCAATTTACCTGTGCGGTATTGATAGCCATCGTCACTGTTAGGTGGCACTAATCAGAGGCAGGTAATAACCAATTGATCGCGTCAATCTTAACACTATAAGCCTGACAGCGCCACCGCTTTAATACGACGCTCCCGATAAACTAAGTCTTAATTACGAGCTGAATTACTTTAATATATCACTTTTATCAGTTAAGAGACTGTATTCGTATTTTCAGAAATGTTTATCGCGCTGGTATAGTGGGGCAATATAAAGATACTAATTCTGACGCAACTATGCGCGATAATGCCTCATTTGAATTTACTATTACTTGATGGGCATATTATTTCTTTTCTGCTGGCGTAAATCAGCGGATTTCTTCTTGCGAAATTTCTTAAAGTCGGATGTGCCAGGTGCGTCATTTTTGCCACTTCACAAACTGAGTAGCTATTTCCTCACTTGCGATTCAAGGGTATTAGGTATAATGAATTATTAGCGCATACTGTCATATTATTTAAAAAATTTCCGATATACCTGTAGAACTAAAATTACTTCTTTTCCCGCACTGCAACTGCTCTTTCAATGATGATGGGTCGTTTTGTATCCATGGATCAGAGTTTAATTTTCTCTCTATAAAGCAAAGCTTTCATTCCATAAAAATAGTATATTAAGAAACAAGTGTATAATCAAGTCTTGAAAGCACACGTAACGAGTTCAAGGCCACGACGCGCAGCGGAGTGCCTTTAAACGTTGCAAGTGCTTTAAAGAACAATTATACACGCGTTTCTTATAGTATTTTTTCTTATACCTGCAATATAATTTAAAAATAAGGGAAATAAAATGAAATCATATTGACGTTATACCATTCAATTTATAACTATCGTTATACTCGAATATATTTCTAATTATGTGTGCTGATTATTTGTCATTCCATGATTGCCATGGAAATGTCACTTGACGTTCGCGTATAATAAAAATCACCGTTTTTGTAAATAAAATGACTTCGGTTGAAGAAACCGAACATAGGGAATTAACATGGCAAAAAGGTTTTTTGACTGTTGCTCCCCATGTTAACTTAGCGGGTTTGTAATGACACCAATCGAAAGAAGATTTTTTTTCTCATCTAATGATATACGAATTAGTTCATTTTCAGGTGTATGGAGAGCAACGATCTGCAAAAAAACGTTTTCCCATGTTAATTGCCTATGTGTTCGGTTTTAAAATATTCACCCGGTATACTACTCCTTAGGAATTAGAAAAACTGCAGGAAAACCTAATTCGGAGTAGCCGGCAGAATGTTCGAAACTGATCTAGGGAAATTCTCATCTCTCCCACAGATGAAAAATTCCTACCTCCAGTGGCGGCGCGAGTTGGTGGCAAGTTGGCTTTTGCCAACCATGTGCGCAAAAAAGGCGCCAGAAAAGGCGCTTAAAAGGACAGGTACAATTGCATAAATATTAGAAAAATGATTAAAAAAACAAAAAATTATTTGTATAGCAATTTTACATTACGAGACGAGTTTTTTGGGGGTAAGGGCCAACAATTATTTGGGGAGGCAACAAGCAAAGTTCTCATCCCAGAATCTCAGTAGGCGCCTATTCGAGTAGCTGCGCTCGCGCCGCCACTGCCTACCTCAACCTCCGGATTTGTAGCCTAACGCTCTACCACTGAGCTACAAAGCCGTCATCTTGAAAAAAGGGGTACAAACGGTTTTTAGGGTTTATCTGACATAAACTATTGATCTCACAAAAAATTTATTCAATCAGTTTTTAATAGAATAAAATTCTGTACAACTTTGGTCTAGTAATTTTTAGCCGTAGAACCAAAATAACAAAGCGATAAACGAAAATTGATAAACATTTGGTAAACAATTTTCAATTAGTTGTAACTTTTTTTCTGGTAATTTTACAAAAAATGACATTAGACCAATTTTATAGGGGGGGTTTTCAATGAACAATTTTCATTACAAACTTTTTCAGTTTTATTTATTTATTATGGTTTTACAGCGATGCGGCTCAGGATTTAGTTCAATATTAAATAGTTGAGGGAAATGCAGCTGACAAGTTAAAAAGTAATCGTAAACGATTTACATAAAGCGCATTTCCACTTGCATTTATTTCCCATTTGTAAGATGCAACTTCTGTTAAAATCGTAAAAATCCGACCACAAATATGAAAGATAGCGTTGCACATGAGCAATTCATTTTTGACATGCTATTTCAATTTCAGTTTATAAGAAGAATTTCATTTCAATGCTTTTCTAAATAAGAAAGTTGGAACTGCGCATCCGCAAACCTAAATTTTGAAACTAATGTAAGATTTTCCTTTATTCTAAGCACCTATGTATCAAATTTCATTTAAATTCTTCCAAAAATAAAAAAAAGTTGGCACTGCGCATGCGTAAAACCAAATTTTGAAATTGGCGTTTGATTTTCATTTATTCAAAGTGCCTATGTATCAAATTTCATTCAAATATTTTTATAAGAAAAAAGTTTGCAATTCGGTTTATAAATGGTCGAGATGCGAAAAGGGCACTGTGAATTTTGAATCGATTCGTCTCAACTTTTGGCATTGCGTATTATATGGCTAAGGCTATGCCCATATTGAATTTCATGTAATTCAGTTCATAACTAACGGAGATGTAAAAGCGATCGGACATTTCTAAACAAAATTATCGTTCACACGGACAGATAGAGAGACAGACAGGCACAGGAACAGACGGACAGACCAACAGACAGACGACAGACAATACAATAGTATTTTACATTATTAGGCAGGTAAGTGAGTTTTTACTGGCGATAGGAGAAGTTGACTAGCGAGCCGTTAGGCGAGCTTGTCATCTCCTAGAGCCAGTAAAAACTATTACCTGGCGTATAATGTACAATATTTTATTTGTTACTCATTTAACGTAAATAATTAGTTCTTAAATTAATCTTGAAGAAATGTCTAAAATATCATGTTATCCATGTAACAGAGACTTCGCATTAATTCTGGCCAATGAAATTACTAGATTACTAACTTGTAAAATTTTTACAGGTCTGCTGTCAGTTTTACAAGTCAGTAGCGTTTAAACATGACATTTACCCGTTTGCGTTTTGTCTTGTTAATCAACGTTTACAACTGAGTAACAAATAAAATTATAAATGATCTCTAGGATGGTTAATAAACGGCAAAAGTGTAAAATTATGGAACATGTAAAAAACGGTTTGTTGGTTTTTTTACAATAACTTTTTTAGCAATAAACGCAGAAAAAATTCCTTCCTTGGTGCAAGCCTCGACACCATAACGAACCAAATAGCGAAAAAAGTAGAACAATAGCTCTTAAGATAAAGAAGTAGTAGCGTCGCAAAACGAGCGAACGGACGGACGGACGGACAAAGTGGCCACAATAGCGCATTTTTTTTATTTTTGTGGAAATGCGCTAAAAACTACCTGTTGATTAAAAAAAAAAGCGTATGATTTCTAATATAAATGCTATTTTCTAACGAAGTGGGTGTATTGAATTCAAATCAAACTAGTGAATTATAATGACCCAAAATTTATGATGATTTGGCGACAACTCTGTTGCTAACAGTACAAATATACCAACGTTACTATGGTCAATTATACACCCTGGCGGTTCATTAACATTGTAAATTGGGCTACTTTGTATTTCAATGTTTTATTTTCGCTCATTGCACTAAAATTGTTTATTACTTGTTATTTGTCCCGTAATTATATTATTGTATGAGAAGGTAATGTACATATTAAACTGTTTGTTTCTTATGTACGAGGACAAAAGGCAGATAAAGATCGACAAAACATACTTTTTCGCACCCATTGTTCTGTCTGTATACTGTGCTGAAAATATCGATAAGGGCAGTGTTTTCCAAACTTGGGGGCACGTCCCCCTCGAAATGCGCAGGGAGCTGTTAAGGGGAGTGCGAGATCCCTGATGTATTTGAGACCAATATTTGCCTTTAAAATACTTTATTATGTGGTATTTCAATGCAATTATTCAATTCGCCAAAGTCGCCTTTTTATTCCCATGAAAGCACCGATGTTCTACAATGTTGCCAGATGCACGTGCGATTTGTTTATTGATTCATTGATGACATTTGCTTGCTCAACTACTGGTTTTACCCCAATTACAGTTGAGCAGTACCTACATACATTTACATTTAAGTGAGTAAATGAAGTATAACTCAAATATAACAAAGTACACAAGAAATAAACTAATAATTAGTAATTAAGTAGTTACTAGCTACAGAGGACCCAAGAAACAAAAAAGAACTAGGAATAAAATATAAATTTATGATGGTGCTATAAAAGAAGAGATCTCGAGACTCGAATGAACTAAAAACAACCTCGAAAATGTCAAATTTTGGGTTTTTTGGCCATAGCTTCGCTATTTGCTATAGCTTCACTATGCGTGCCTATGTGGAACACCTCAACGCTCATTTCCAAACATGCAGAGAAGAGCAATAGTTATTTGTACAACTAGAGAGATTTACACATAATTTTTTTCTGAAACTATAACCAAAAAAATTATCGTATGCAATAATGAAGTTTGACACTTAGCAATCTAGATACCAGTATGTTTCAATTATTTTAAATGTCATTATTAAGATTAACGTAGCAATTGTTTTTTACTTTCCTCACTAGAGAGGAAAATCGCATTTTCTTCACCCTTTTTAGAGACGAAAGTATTTTCTCATTAAATCCCAGTAAATGGCTTCCAAAAATCTATGTAAATAGCGTCATTAAAGGCTTTCTAAGACCGCCCAGCGGATCAATTTTGTAAAAGCAAAACTGGAAAATGTTCTAAAAAGAGGTGTGGCAAAAAATGGTTAACTTAGGTACCTAGTTCTCCTACGGGAACGGGAAAAAAACGGGTTTTTACGTTTTACAGTCGAAACTGCGGAAGAGCGTAGATTTCTACTCTGGAATTCCCACGGGACCGGAGGAAAAATGAATTAATTAAGGGTAAGAAGTCGCGGGAGTTCGTTATAATCATATGAACTTACCTGACGTAGGTGGCATCTAACATTAGCGAAGGTCCGTTTTCAAAATATTGACATTGTGCAATGAATGTAATGAACTCCACCTAAATGTCTTTGATTTGGACATCACACCTTATCACTTACATAATCACCGACATTTGATTCCGAATTATGGTAGTTAAGTATGAAGCGATGCCGATAATGAAATATCATACAGTTATCTTAGTGTGTAACACCGTTATCGTAAAACATGCGCGCAATTTTTCGGCGTTATGTAATTTTGTCTCCAATTACTACGCTAAGTACAACACTTTTATGGCTGTAATAGAAACTATCCGGGAAATCTTATCAGAGAAATTTATGTAACAAACTATTGTCTTTTGCACCTGGCACTTGCAGGTCATGAAGAACCTTCGGAGGTGTAGGTATTTTTTTGGTGGTTCGTTCTAAAAGGCTGTGCGAAAGTTTTAAAATTTCCTTGGTGTTCCAGATGAAAGATGCCTTTAAATAAATTACCTATAAAGATTTTTATGCTCCCAGATCGTTTTCTGGGTAGAATTTCTCCCTAAATATCTGTAATTTTACCCTGAAACAATGTTTCTCAAACTGAGTTGAATATTAAAATAGCGTTTATGCAGTCATTCAAAACGTTTAGCCAAGACCATAATAGCAAGAGCATTATTCCTAGGGCTAAGATTTTAATGACGTTAAAAATCGGCGAAAATGCAAAATAAAAAATGCAATTATGACTTAAAAACTAGGGGGAAACAAGTACCATTTTTGGTGTACACCAAAAATTCAAATTCAAAATAATTCACGTTAATTCAAATTTATTCACGTTAATTCAAATTAATTTACGTTCATTCAAATTGAATCACGTTAATTGACATTAATTCTCGTTAATTCTAATTAATTCACGTTAATTCTAATTAATTCAGGTTAGTTCAAATTAACACAGGGGGGTATACACCAAACATTCAAAGTTGTTTCCATTTAGAATTTTTCCAAGGCAAATTTTTACCAGGACTAGAGTTTGGGAGTAAAATATTTCAACGGCGGATTTTTTCTGGGGACAAATTTTTTACACAAGTATACCAGGGAAACATTTTCCAAGAGCAATTTTATCAATCTTAAATTTTCAAGACGGAAATTTTTCCATAGAGAATTTCCCCAGGGCGAATTTTTTGGAGACGAGATTTTAAGTGCCAAATATCTCAAGGCCTATTTTGTTGGAGGCTAAATTTTCCGTATGCGAATTTTCTGGAAATGAATTTTTCCCCGACAAATATTCCCAAGACGAATTTTGAGGGGACAATTTTTGTGGGTCAAATATTTCAAGGGCGATTTTTGTACGTTTCTGGAGACAAGTTTTCCACGCAACTTTCTTGGGCGAGTTTTTGAAGCGAGTATTCCAGGGCAAATTTTTCTTTGACGATTTTTTGGGGACCCAAATATTCGACAGATGATTTTTTCAACATTTTCTGTAGACGAATTTCCTTTTCTGGACGAATCTTTCAAGGGCAATTTTCGGAGCCTACATTTTCCGTAGGTAAATTTTTTTTTGGGAGTCAAATATTCCAAGGACGACTTTATTCGGTAGGCGAATTTTTTAGGAAAGAAGATTTCCGGGAAGAACCCTCCCGAAAATTGTTGGGGGTGAGGGCCGGTCCGTGTGGCGCAGTTCAGTTAAAGCTGAACTGTGGTGCTAAGGGTCCCTGGTTCGAATCCGGGTTCGGGTATGGGTATTTGTAAATGTATAGTAGGTTGGGTTGGTAGAGCAGCCTTGGCTGAAACCCCGCCCACTAATAAATAACGGCAAAATAAAATTTAAGAAAAATATTTCACGCAAATATTACGAGAGGAAAATTCCTGGAGGCGAATATTCCCTGTATGAATTTACGGGTTGAATCTTGCACGGAGGCAATTTTTTCATAGCGAATTTGTCTCGTATGTTTTTTTCGGAGGACAAGTCTTTGTGGGTCAAATATTCCAACGGAGCTTTTTTCGAGACTAAATTTTCTGGAGGCAAATTTTTCACGCAAGTATTTCAGGGAAAAGTTTTCCAAGTACGATTTTTTCGTGTTTAAATTTTCAGGACAAGAATTCCATAGCGAATTTTTCCAGGGTGAGACGTGTTTTTAATGTCAAATATTCCAAGGGCGATTTTTTCGGGGCTAAATTTCCAGGACAAAAATTTGTTATACAATTATTCCAGGAAAGAATTTTTCGGTGCGCATATCCCCAAGCCTACATTTTCCGGAAGCGAATTTTTCCATAGGGAATTTTCCCAGAAGAAATTTCCCGGGAACAAATCTTCGAAGATCAAATACAATAGTGATTTTTGCGAGGCTACACTTTCAGGATGAGAATTTTTCTATAGCGAATATCTCCAGTGAGAAACGTTTCCGGGAACGAGCCTTTAAGGATGAAACATTCCAAGGGCGATTTCGGTCCATTCGTTTTTGAGATATCGTGATGCTAACAGACGGACAGACACCGCAAAAAATTATAAACTCGTTTATAAAACTTTAACCAAAGAGTACCTAACTAATAATTCTTTGCTTTAACAATCGTTTATAAGCTCGCGAAGGAAAATACCGTAAAACAGCGCTATTCCTCAAAAATGCAAAAAATTCAAAGCCAAACACTTAAACACCCCAAAAAATGCTGGAAACACCATAAAAATGAGCAAAAAATGCACCATTCCTCAAAAATGGCACAAAATGCACCAACAATAGTCATTTGATTCAATTTATCGTGACACACGTTTATACAGGGTGAGTTTTTGTCATTTTAAGCATTGGGATCTCGGGAACCATAAGACAGAGATTCGGTTAAATGAAGAAAGAGTTTAACAGCTCATATTCAAGATATGCTTTTGTTTTTTGAAAAAAATCCACAGTTTAGAATCCATAATTTCAAACAGTTCCCAGATCGGGCTACTAGATCAAAAGTTATAGCCCTTTGAATTTTTTGTCGAAATTGGTTTTTTGCCCATAACTTTTGATTGAGACGTCTAATCGAAAAAGTACGAATCATTTTGGGTTCTACGCACCAAAATTAATAAGAAAAAGTTTTTCCCGAGAAATTTTGGTGCAGTCGATTTTTGGGAAAAAAGTAAGGTTATAATAACACTGCCTTTTTTTTGGCTCAAACAAAAAATTGTCTCAGATCGACCGGAAAAAAATATTTTCTTATAGAATGTGGCCTGTAGAATCCATAATTTCAAACAGTTCCAAGATCGGGCTACTAGATCAAAAGTTACAGCTCTTTGAATTTTTTGAATGGGTTTTTTACCCATAACTTTTGATTGAGACGTCTAATCGAAAAAGTACGAAATCGTTTTGGATTCTACGCACCAAAATTAATAAGAAAAAGTTTTTTCCCGAGAAATTTTGGTGCAGTCGATTTTTGGTAAAAAAGGAAGGTTATACACTGCCTTTTTTTTGGTTCGAACAAAAAATTGTCTCAGATCGACCGGTAACAAATATTTTTTTATAGAATGTGGCCTGTAGAATCCATAATTTCAAACAGTTCCCAAATCGGGCTACTAGATCAAAAGTTACAGCCCTTTCTCAACCAAGAAAGTCATATGCACTATATACAGGAGTCCACTGATTGGTACGGATAGTACCACCTTCCTTTTGAGGGGGTCTGCTTGCACGGTAAAAAGATGCTCTGGGTACAAGCATGGTATGTAAGTACTGTGTCGGCGGCTTGTAGCTCCCTTGGTCTCAAGTTGTTAAAGCAGTGACCTATCAGGCAAGCTAGGGTGGCCTACTAACAGAAGCCGCCGTAACGAGATAAAGGTAAATCGGGGGGCTGCAAAATGGTAATTATTAAAACAAATTAACCTCGATATTGTAACACAAACAAAAATATTATATTTAATGTTTTAATACTCATAAAGCCTCCCAAAACCGACCAACTAGAGATAACCAGAAAAAAGCTCAGTAAAAAAATAAAAATTATCTAAATTACGTTGCTTTATATTACATTTACACCAAACTAATATTTCCTGTGTTTAAGCCCTTTAACAAACACACATATATAATAGCACTCAATATAAAAATCAAAATTTATAGAGGTAGCGGTACAATAAAAATATGAAAAAGAGAAATACGCCTCAAAACTTAAATTGTACTTGGCGATAACGGAATTTACCCCAAATCTAAATAAGAGAAATAAATCGACGAATTGTTGTGAAATGCGTTTCCAATATCCACTTACAGTTCAGCCTATCTCCTACCAATAATGGTCTAGTGCATTGACGAGTAACCCGACTTCCAGTTGGTAGGAAAAATTCTCATCTCCCAGTCTCAACCCTTCTCTCTGTGTCAGATTAGTCTCGTTTGGTTCGGAAACTATGCTCTCGGTCGGTTAAACAGGCACCTTGCAGGTGTAAAGGTAATATGTCTGTCGTCTTTGATGGAAATAGTTTTTTAGTGCCTTCACCGTTGTGAAGGTTTTGGATGTCTATGTTCTTGTACAGTAAAACATTCCGGAGAAGTGGTTTAATACGATGTAGATCCACAGTAAACAGAAATTCCACGTTGTGCTTTAATTTCAGGGGTTGATATGGACATCACGTTGATCGAGAAATGTGAACGGTTCTTCAGCGTTGCATGTGGTAACGTAAAAGTTGTTGACGACTATTGAATGGACTGTAGGAACCTGGGGGATAGATTTAAATGCGCCACCCTGTACAAGGTCAACATTCCTGAACACAGCCATTAGATTTATAGTTTGACAGCTCTCTGCTACCCTAACCTAACAAAAATTCCAAATAAATAAACATTCTACTATTTTATTGTTATAGAAGGGTATGTTTTTACGAAGCTCCGTAACGGTGAGTATTAAAATATCTTCTTCCACATAATACCTAAAATATTTTAGTTACCGAGGTTGCTGTGTCATCGTTGGGCATCATATAAACAATCCGATGTAGCTATAGATCCACCCGAGGAAAACCTAACTCTCCCCCTATTTCATAGGAAATCCAACGAGGATATTAACACGTTAAAATCGAGATTAGTTTATCAGTCGCGTAAAAGAGGAATGTTGGAAAATTGTTTAATATTGAGCAATTTCGCGGCAAAACACTTACCGATAATGAACAAATCACAGTTGGATTTATATGATAAGTAGGTGGGTCTGTGTATTCGGAGTCGTATGTCTAATTATAAGTATCGTAACAGATTGATAAATGCACCTTCCAACGACTGGGATTTGTACTATTGGGCAACTGGCATAAAGGAAACCCCGAAGGAGTTTGAGAGTGAAGTTATGGACATGCTAAAGGAATATGTTAAGAATCCCGATAAACAGTCTCGTATTATGCAACCTGATTTATAATATTTATTTATTGTTGTATAGATTTGTTAAATAAAAACTTTGTTTTAATTGTACAAATTTTTAAAGTAGGTAGTAGTAATTGTTGCAAAGAAGTAAAACAGTCGGTACAATAGAGGATGTTACTAGTCAAAATTGTAAATTATTACTGCATAATTTGATGATACAGCAACAACCGTATGTTACAATTGTTAGGAGTTATTTTAATTGACAAAGATAATACATTTTTGAGGTTTTCACATTATCTCAGCAACAGTTTACTCCACCCCTTTTTTGTTTATAAAGAAATCGGTGGGGGTGACTATACCTCTGGAACCACTGAAACAGTTGGGGGCTGGGAGGCAAATTTTCCCATAATGAATATAAACAATTAGAATTTTAATTTGTCTATAAAGTGTTCCATCTTGAGTTGAATGATAAAGTAATAACGATTTCAGGTACACATGATAGAATATCGACTAATAAATTTACTTCGAGTACCTGAAATCTTTATTACTTTAGAATTTTAATCTACCTATTGGTCTTTTGGCAAGGTACACACCAAGAAACAATAAAACTCCCCCAAACCCATGGTGTATGAACTTGCTGTTTAGTATAAGCACAAAGAAAATTTTGTGGACAATTACACTAGCGAGCCGTAAAGGTTTCTCAAGTGATCGAATGTTGTGGAAAGTGTTTTTGGCCTTGCAGCGACCGCTAGCCCTTTTGAAGATGTCATACCCACATTCCAGGCTCATTAAATCTTTCCCAGTAATTTCTACACCATTTGCAAAGCTAGAATGTGTAGTCAATTCTAGAAAGCACCCCAAATGCTCTAAAAAAACGGGTGTTTGAAAAGGCTTAGCGCTTTTGAAGATAAGAGTTATTGATTTTGGAAAAGTAGGTATAACTTTTGCCCTATTCAATAGCATCCTGGTGCTTTCACAAAGTTTCAAAACTTTCTGGATGCTTTCAAGAACTTCCCAGGCGCTTTTCAAAGCTGTAGAGCCTTTATTTTTACAGGTTTCCTAGAGCTGTTAAGGATTAACTCGAATGTGTTATTCAAATACAAGGAGAAATAATGAAAAAGTTTATCATTTTTGCAAACAGTTCGTATAAAAATATTTTTTTGCATAGCATATTGAGTCCATCTGGGCAATGAGCCAACCTGCGTCAATAATCGACCTTTGGAACTGTGAATGCAAATCGTGTTTATTAGATCCCTTTAACCATTCAGATAGGCGTCTCATTCTACATCAAATTATGATTAATTTTGTTGATCTGTGCCCAATGGGTTAATTAAGCTAAGTTGTTCCGCCAATTGCAACAAGTCATTGGAGGTCACTATTGATTCTCATTTGAAAGGTCTAAATCTGTACTAAAGAAATTCTATTGTAACCGAGTGTCATCAGCATATTGACAATGATTTATTATTATTCAATACTACCAGTTGCGTAGACATAGACCTTTAGCTTGGTTTAAACATGTTTTTTCTGCCATTAAAAATACGGTTAAAACATGAGTGAACGTGAAAATTAAGTTTTTCCCAAACCTTCATGGGCAACTTGGAAATTGTAAAGGCCTGTTTAGAGTTTGGTAATATTTATTGCAGGAATAATAATTGCAACAAATAGCAAGTGTTTACAGTCTCCAATTTTCATTGCATAGTACCAACCCTATAACTTTAAATAAGTGTGTACAAAATATCATTGATTTGTCATTTGCATTTAACTTGTTCTTCACTTACCTATTTATTGTGCATTTCAATCAAGATGACCAACAGATATCAACACACTTCACATCCTTGGTGCCATAGTAAGTCTAGATGTTGGCATTAAAAATTCCCCTAAAATAGTCACCAGAATTGTAATGGCAATGCAATAAAAATCGCTCCGGATCTACTTCTGGCAACGCAATAAAAATTGCAACAGCTGATCAAAAAGTACACTTGCGCGCATGCGTGCAATAAATATTGCCCGCAATAAAACTTGCAAACTCTAAACAGGCCATACCACAACCTTTGCTGTTTTTGCATCAAAATTGTAAAAAGCTATTTACAGCCTGTGTAGTTCACTGGCCATGTATGTAATCAACTGATCATTAACAAATCGGAAAATAAAATCATATTAGGACTGATTTTCTAACTTGTAAGGGTTTAAAAAAATAAGCAACTGTTTACAAATTCCAAGTAACTACTTAGTACTACAAGTAATTGCGTGATGTTAGGTCTCTTTCCACTTTATAAATATCTACAGGCATCAACCTGTATCCTACATGTGAAATATATTACACAGCATACATTTAAATACAATTAAAAACAATATTTGACAGCATTTCATCAAAAACAAAACTGTAGTAATTGGTCCTGTTTCTTCACAATCTGAAGCCGGACATTCTGCGCCTGTGTTGTTTGATTAAACTTTCCTACGAAATATTAAATGTGTCAATATGGCTAAGTAACGACACAAAGGTGAGTTTTTCTAAAATTAGTAATTATTCAAAACGTTTTGTAAACATAAAAAAAAGAGTGTTTCGTGAGTCAACGAATGAGTCTCACAAATAACTCGAATAGTCCAATCTGTATATTTAACTTGCCTCACCTTTGCATTTACGGAAGTTTGGCAACAAGCCATTAGCATAATAGGTATCGAGCGTACGGTACTGTAAAAAAATCTACTACACAAAAAATAAATTTATTTACTATAAAAACAAAAGCATAAAATATCTGTATAGTTTATAAACTTTGTAATAAAGAAACTTTCAACATTAAACGTTTCTTCTTGACTAGCAAAAGCTTAACATTGAAATACAAGAGACTAATGAATAAAACAACATTATACTGTACAAATACCTATCGTGAATAATAATAATAATAATCACATTAGCAATACTTATTAGGTAGCACAACTAAAAAAATATCAACAACAGAATGGTACTTCTTCCAATGAAACCGAAAAAGGGATGTGCGAAATGTCTAACAATGATTTTTTAATTAAATAATGAAAAGTAATAAAAGCTTGAAGTACTCTTGCTTAATTTATAAGTTTATGGTATCCAAATCTTGTATTGGAGCTCTGGCACTGCTATTACTATCTTGGGATGGGGTGGTAGGGGGGGCAGCGTTCTTACTAACCTGATTACCATTGGAGTTTATGTTGAATTTCCCAATGCCGGGTAATTGAAATGTAAAATCGGGCGTCGGTAGTTTCTTCATGATTTTACCAGAAGTGATGAGACGACCGAATCCCTCCTGATGCGCGAACGCATAGCCGGATCGAATAGATCGCCTCGCTCTTCTCGCCGACGGTGTACGTAAAACGTCCTGACTATGTCTCGACCTCATCTGCGCCATACGCTGTTTCAGACGTACGCGATCGGATAAAGTCGGAAATATGTCGGTGAAGTAAAAACGCCAGGCCAATACAGGCACTATTGATATTGTGACGGTAAGGACAGTCGTGAACCAGAATGTCGCTTCTGTTATAGCTTTTGTTAATGACCCGACGTATATACCGCCCATTATGTAATTATAAAAATAGTCCATTATAAAATAAAATGCTAGTGAACCCCACGTTGTTATGTGATTAAATACTGTCCAATAAGATGTATCCAAAGCAATCTAAAATGCAAACACGAAATTACTAGATCTCATCAGAAGATAACATAATTAATTCTTGTTAGCAAGCACGCACTGGGAGGAAACCTTCACCCACTTAAGGACAATATAGTATTTTTTTCTCCTTTTTTCCTATTTATACTTTATTCAGAAAGTAGCGGTAGAAAGCATAGGGAAGCTTTGATCTTCACTATGATTGGTTAAAACATGAGTCAGTATTACGCTGAAAAATAAAACCGCGACGAATTTTATAAGCTGAATCAGATTTTATTTGTCTTTCTCAAATTTAATTTAAGTTATATATTTCTGCTTACAAATGTTTCGGCCATATAATTGTAATGGTCATTCTCAAAGCATATATTATGAAATTATATATTAGTGAATTAAACTAATCTAATTAAAACAATTTAGTTTCTCTGGAAAATAATTTCGAAAAATGGCCAACTTTTGAGGAGAAGAGGTTATTACAGCAAAATGTTACATAAAAAATAAGTATACGTCAAGTACTTTCCTATTTTTCAATAAAATATGGGGTGTTCCAGTTAAACAAAAACGTAACTTTGATATGGACAGAGAAATACAGCACGCCACTGGTGATCAGACATATTTCAAAAACAAAACGTAATCGTGTAAAATTTTGCTACTACATTTTTTATCCCTTATGTTAGTAGCTCTCAAAGTGGGTGCCGAGGCCCCAAGTACTCCATAAGGGTGCAGTAAAATTTTAAATTAAAAAAATTTCAAAAATGAATTTTGGTTTTTATTACAATACAATTCTATGTTTTTTATGTTACTCGTTTAGGTAATTATTTATGTTTTATTAATTTCACTTGTCAATCATATCTTGGAATTGCACTGTCTCACTCTCATATGTCTTTTCTAGTAATTTTACTTCTCAGTCTTTCAGTGACTCTGTAAGTGGCATCATGTAAAAATATTAGAAAAAAATTTGAAAGTGACTATTTCTTTCTCTCTCACAATTCTTCGCTCCCTTCTTTTTGCCATGATCCATTACAGAAAAAAAACCGCGCGCTCGAGGGATTTGAACCCACGTCATCATAATCAAAAAGCTGTCTAAATTTCGCCTATAATTAACAATAATGTTAAATTCTTCCAATGATTTTCCCAAAATATTTAAATAAGTTAATTTCGTTGGAAATAGGAAATTTTTTTCCTTCTCCCTGTATACTTGGACAATGTTATTGTATTTTGTTGTAATTTTTGAAATTTAAAATTGCAGGGACATCTAAAACAAGCGTAATTTTAGTTTTGAAAGGTTATACTACTGCTGAATAGAGAGCGCTTTTAAGTATACCTACTTAAAGTCACTAAATATAGAAAGTACCGCAATCCATTGGGCTCGTATGTTAGAGAGAGAACGCATGATTTTTGCCCAAAAATGGCGGAAGTTACCAGATTCTAGTAACTTTAATGTTAGGGATTGTTCCACCTGTTTGGAGATATCTGTATATATTTTTATAAAACATGACAGTACTATGAAGTTAGGTTATAAAAAATTACAGCTATTCAGATTTTATTTGTCAATTTTTTTAAGTTGGCAGCAAATTTGCCCAAAAATGGCGGATGATTGCAGTACTTTCTATATCTAGTGACTTTATACCTACTAATAAGGTTAGCAATCTGTTGCTTGTATCTTTGGTTTACCTCGATTCACACAGTCTTCTAAAAGATATTTGGAACATTGCCTAACCGCCATCTAGATTGCCATGTTACACATCAGGTAACTTCCGAAATAACCTCGAACCTTGGCAAATCTAAGTTTAGAATGTTCAATCTCAATTGAACATACATTACATAACCTTGTATGCGATAGTTTAACTAATTGGTTTTTGTTTTGTTTTTTGCAGTCGATATCTGTGGTGGTCAAGTCGTAAATTGAAAAAAAACAAAACAAAAGGCGTTCTTACTTACATACTAGTACACCAAAGTAAAATAAAAGTTGGAAAAAAACACGCAAAAAGCACTGGCGCTAAACAAAAGTCCTATACAATTTTCAAAAATTTCGAATAATCCCTAAACTTCCTCCATGCTCGCCAGGGGGAAACGCCCCATCTTATGGCCATTCGTCAATTTGTATTATTAATTATTATTATTATTATTATATTATTATAGAGGTAATGCCGGCACTGTTTGGGGATATGTGAAAGTGATTGTCAAATGTCTATTTTAATATATTCAAAAAGGCCAATTAATCTCGACCAAACACCCAGGGAAAATACAAGATGGCGGCTAAATATTGTATTTTTCATTTAAAAATTTATAACTTTGTTATTTAAATGAAATTTAGAAAGTTTAAAATACAAAAATAACAATTGACTTCATTTTTTTCAAAATGGTGGGTCATTTAAATACCGAGCTATTTAGTTTTGAAATATTAAAATTGTCGCCATTTTGAAAACAATACATTAAATCAAGTTAAATACATTAGACACCATTATTTCGAACTAAGGGTAATTTTCCATTATTCAATATACACGCTTCGAGTACTTTCCAATTTGTTTTCTTTGTACCATCTAATCTACAAAGTTTAATAGATCCCTACGATAGTCGTGGGCATGCGCAAAATGTGCAATGCCAACTTTATTATTTATGACGATATTTTGTGAAATTTGAACTACAGATGCTTCTAGTAAAGGTCAGCATATCGCATATTGTAACCAGATGTGCGCATGCGCAAAGCCAACGTGCTAATTTACAGACTTTTTTTGACATTTTAACCGTAGATGTTTCTAGTAAAGAAAAACCGCGCAAATTAAATAGCTATATGCTTTTGGAAAGTGCTGATCAATGCATGAAAAATGCCTATTTTACACTTTTTTGCCAAATTTCTTTGAAATAACTAAGATAAATTTTTAAATGAAAAATACAAAACTCAGCCGCCATCTTGTATTTTGACTAATTTGCTAGGTCTAGATTAATGGGGATTTTGAATATGCCAAAATACAATTTCTTACAGGATCATGTTGCAATTTTGCCTAGAATAATTTGTTTACTGCGCTGTTAGGGATTGAAAACAGTTAAAGGCGATCGCAGCGATGTGAAAAATTACCGCCCGATATCAATTCTGCCAGCTTTTTCGAAATTATACGAGAAAATTATCTACAGTCGTATATCTAAGTACCTGGAAGATAACAATCTACTGTACAATAAGCAGTTTGGATTTCGACCTGGAAGGTGTACAGCCGATGCCATTCTGTCTTTCGTTCAATACACCCTGGAGTGTTTTGAGCAGGGCCAGTACTGTAGGGCAATATTCATTGACTTAACTCGTGCGTTTGATTGCATCTCACATGACATTCTCATTAATAAACTAGTGCATATATACAATTTTGATAAAAAAAGTGCTTGCTTAATAAAATCGTATATTACCAATCGATTTCAAACTGTGCGCGTTAATAACGAATTCAGTGAAATACTGCCAGTGAATAAGGGCGTTCCGCAGGGAAGCATACTGGGGCCGTTATTGTTTCTCCTTTACATCAACGACCTACCAACCAGCATCCCTCATGAGTGCGTATGTTTATTGTATGCCGATGATACCACCTTGTTACAAAAAGATGGAGACCCAAACGACTTAATTGCAACCTCGGAACTCAACCTTGAATCTACAGCTGAATGGTGTACCAACAATGGCCTGGACATTAACGCTTTAAAAACCGAGAAGATGATTTTAACCCTAAGGCGCCTTCGTTACGACAACCCAGAATACGTAAAATTTCTTGGAGTACGCTTAGATCCTAAGTTAGACTTTAACAGCCACGTTGACTATGTCACCTCTAAACTTAATACAAACATTTTTGTTTTACGTAGGTTACACGATCAAGTATCACTCGATACATTGAAAAATGCTTACTTTGCTCTCTGCCACAGCCTCCTCTCTTATTCTATTATAGCATGGGGTAACAATCCATGTTGGAAACGCTTATTCAGGGTACAGCGCCGAGCAGTGCGTGTACTAATGAATTTAGGCTATAAAAGCGAGTGTCGTGACGCCTTTAAATGTGCGAAAATATTAACTCTGCCATGTATATTTATATTAACTTGTCTTTGTCATGTTAAATTAAATATTGACAACTATACCTATAATTCAGACGTCCACGATTATTGCACGAGAAGGAGAGCAGCAATACGAATTCCATTTTACCGGTTGAGCAAAACGAAAGATAGCTCTATAGCTATGTCTCAAAAATTTTATAACCATCTCCCGGATACCATAAAAGCTTTACCGTACGCAACATACAAAACACATATCAAACGATTTCTTATTAATAACCCTTTTTACTCATATGCGGAATTTTTTAGTTATGAATTTTGAATTTAATTATTTTGTATTTAGTTTTTATTGACGTTTGTAAGCAATGTTTCTGTTGCAAAGCATAATAAAACATTATTATTATTATTATTATTAAAAACCTGTTTTCAATACAGACAGGTCTTTATGGAGGACTCAAGAAAACTAAAGCTTCCACGATGGAAGTGTGTAAAGTAAAAGAAAAAATACAAACCTGCGCCGTATTAACAATCACAAGTATCGTAGCTACTGCACTACACAGTAGCATATAATCTGAAAGTACAAGACCGTTTGGACTTAATGCATCGTAATACGTTCCTAAAAAACAATTACATTTAAATGTCACAAAGTTAATTTAGCCGCTTACCAAACGGTATAAAAAATAATACTAAAGAAATATAACAGCCTTGTAATGCACTTCGAAAAAACTCCTTCTTGTTAAAAAATAAATTGTAGTGTCCTGGTTTATACAGTTGGGGATAGAGTATTGAATTTTTGTCATTAACATCTTGGTCAAAAATTCCAACGGCTAACACTGGTAAAGATGTATAAAAAAGGTTGTATACGGAAATATACATGGGATCAAAAACGGTCTGTAAAAAAAAGTTTTTATGTATCAAGATTTCTTATACTTGATTTTAAAATGTTGCACCAAATACAAAGACAATAATACTTACTTGCGCACTAAAGCCACAAAAAAATGCGTACCACAGGTGGCATAAGGTAAATCCGAAGTTCTTGTTAAAAAAATACCGTAAAAAATTACACATTCTATAGTATGACCATCGGCCGTGAACCAATAGCAGTCTTTCCAAAAAACGAAACTGCGCAATTGAATAATCGGATGCCAGTACAGCTTGCATTCCTTCTTCACCAGATATTCCGACACCGATATGTGCAGCTGTAAATGAAACATTTGTAGGTGCCCGCGAAATACAGCTTCAAGGGTATGTACAAGCACAGATCTACACATACACACATTGCTAACCTTATGCATTTTTTGGGAAACAAATTTAGGTATACTTAAAAGCGCCCTCTATTGCGGAGCAGTATAAACATGTACCGTTTAAAACTGTAATATGACGCTTATGGATTTATGCATTAGATGTCGCTGCAAAAAATTTGAAGCGGTAAAGTGTGCATATTTCGAATTCCTTACTTGTTATTTTTAGCATTTGATATTTGGAAGATTTCCCCAAAAATGAATCTATCATGCGAGAATAGCGGGAATAGTATGCTGTTTGCTCTTCAACATGAAGAATTAAGAAATAAATTTATATGCGAAAAACATTTTCATCATGGCACCCTCCACAGAACCAGGTTGAATCAAAATGTAATTCCTGTGGCGCACAATAGAGAAGATCTTAGTGTTACCTTTCCCGCCCAATCGTACAAACTAGCTGCTTCTTCGAGCATAAACAAACGCCATACACCAGAACCTCTCCAAACATCGTGTTCATCAACGTCCTCGTCGGTAAAGCGCAATTTGGATATCATATATGTATACAGTGTGTCCCAAATCGCGTGGGACTGCATGGGTAACTTTGTTATTATTAAAGATAGAGAATTGGTTAAATGGGCAATGTTTTGCAGTTTTAGATGCTTATTCAAAATTTCCTTATGGAAATTCAAAATGTCGCATAGGTTCGACGTAAATTCAAAAAAACTAAAATTGGTCATTTCCTTGAATGTCTTATATCATCGAAATTATAAGAGATATAAAAAAAAGTTTTATATAAAAGTTACTATCTTTGATACGCCTAATTTAGAATTGATGTCAAAAAAATTCAAGGTGGCTACTTTTGAGGAACATTTACCAACTTCCTAAAGTTAAATAGGCGATATGGGATTTTTAGATTACTTGATAGATTTTTTCATTTTCTTTTCAACGAGCCATCATAACATAAGATTGAAAATAAGATACCAGTTATATCAACGGTTTTTATATTTTAATCAAGTAGGCTGTGATGAATTAAAAAAAACAAAACAAAATCTATTCGAGCCAACAAAACAATGAAAATAATTACATCAGATGTTTAAAAAATCAGGGGCGCACTCATGAGAGGGGGGTTTGGGCATTACAACTCCCTCCAAAATTTTATATAAGTAGGCCTAGAAAAATTTTGATTTTTATAACATCACTTATTGACTATCTATTATCCATACTTACAGACCTACAAATGGTGGTATAACTACAAACTATCCCCTCGAAAAAATGTCATGCCATTATCCAGTTAAACGCATTTCAAGACACTTTGCTTTATACTACACAATGTATTACCATTGATGCATTGTCCCAGGTCACATTTTGTAGGTCAGTAGTCCGAGTATATGGACAGATGAATCTTATTTTTCTAACTGCGGAGTGTTCAAATCGACATAATGAACACTATACTCGTCACAGGAAAACCTAAGATGTTGTAGTTTCACGCCGAAATCAATTAATATTTTTTTAAATTAATGTATTTTATGGCATAATGGGAAGTCATGTAATTGGACCGGTAATCTTCGTTGGATCTTTAACTGTTCACCATTATTTACAAATTCTCCAATAAACTTCCTTAAAGGATTTTTCTCGACAACGTATGTTTCGAAGAAAGGGTTGGTTTATGCTACCTACCAACAAGCTGGCTGCTCAGGTCACAATTCACGAATCATGTACAGTACATTAAATTATAAAAGTAAGTACTTAATTAAAAAATAAAAGTAAAGTGGAAGTAGCTACCACTACAATAATAATAATCATCATCAATGGCAACACGTTGCCTAAACTAAACTGTCTTGAAGTGTGTTTCACTAATAATGGCCAGTATTTTAAACATCTGGTGTAATTATTTTCATTGTTTTGTTGCCTCGAATAGATTTTGTTTTGTTTTTTTTTATTCGTCACAGACTACTTGATTAAAATACAAAAACCGTTAATATAACTGGTATCTTATTTTCAATCTTATGTTATGATAGCTCGTTGAAAAGAGAATTAAAAAATCTATCAAGTAATCTAAAAATCCAATATGGCGCCCATTTAACTTTAGGAAGTTGGTAAATGTTCCTCAAAAGTGGCCATCTTAAATTTTTTTTTGACATCAATTCTAAATTAAGCGTATCAAAGACAGTCACTTTTATATAAAACTTTTTTTTATATCTCTTATACTTTCGATGATATAAGACATTCAAGGAAATGACCAATTTTAGTTTTTTTGAATTTAGGTCGAACCTATGCGACATTTTGAATTTCCATAAGGAAATTTTAAATAAGCATCCAAAACTGCAAAACATTGCCCATTTAACCAATTCGCTATCGTTAATAATAACAAAGTTACCCATGCAATCCCACGCGATCTGGGACACACTGTATATACGTATTCTAAATATTATCGGCGTGGTAAAGAGTGTAACGTTAATTATGGCAGAGATATACATAGTTTTTAAGTATACCTTTGCGGTTAGGAATCTGTCAAGACTTTTAAAGCCGCAAATAGTTTCCTCCAACTTCAAAAAACCTTCACGATTCTTTAAGAACCTGCCCTATGTTACCTCCATATCATATCACTGTAATAATACGAATATTAAGGAATTCCAATTGTGCAAACTTTAGCGCTTTAATTTTGTTTCAACGACATCTAACGCATAAATCCATAAGCGTCACATTACAGTTTTAAACGTTACATGTTTATACTGCTGCGCAATAGAGGGCGCTTTTAAGTATACCTAATTTTGTTTCCCAAAAAATGCATAAGGTTAGCAATCTGTGTATGTGTAGATCTATGGTACAAGTAACCAAAGTCTGAACTCCCCTACCTTTAATCATGGAAACGTCGTTAGCGCCATCTCCAATCGCAAGCGTAACTGCATGCCTGTTATTTTTAATAAGCTCAACGACAAGTGCTTTTTGTAAAGGGGTCGCTCGGCAACATATAACCGATTTGCATTGCAACACAACATCTAGAAATAGCTTTTCCATTTGGGGATGCAAACAGTGCACCAAAGAATGCCCATTTATAACTATAGCGAAACCTGCGCAATTATCATCGGACACTCCTTCGAAAGATCCACTGTTGTACATTAAACTAGTACTAAAAAAGAGATAAAACGAAAGTAGAGAGGTAGAAATTGGCATACGAGGAACATCGAGAAATATTTCAAGCAAGGAGTATTAAGAGCAGAGAGTTTAGTACACACAACAGATTGTAGAATGACTGGTTAGTTTCACACCGATATAAAAACTACTAGATTCATCTACAAATAACAATCTCTATATTTGTGCCAAAAAACTACCCCATTTACCAAATGTACGGCAGAAATGACTATTGCGTCACTTTCGAAACAAAAGAATGTTAAGAAGTATGTGTACAGAAATAGAACAGACTCCTCTTTATTGTGTCTACCTTGCTCTCTGTTTCTGATGCTTTTCTAAGGTGTCAGCATCATCCCACCTGAATGTGACGACGCTTACTGCGGGAACATTAGAAGGTTGAGGAGGCGTTGACGTCCCAAGGGAGTGATCCGAGATATCTACCACACCGTTGGAACCTAGCTGGTTGGTGTCCGGCCGGGGATGAAATGTATTCACGATTTTTATGTTATCTCGAAACTTTAGTAGCTGTTGCTGGACTTCGTCAAATGTAGACGCGTCAACTATGAACAGATCGACCATTTCGTCGGTCAACAGTTGACAGGAGTATCCAATGTTAATGGCAGTTTCTGAAACGGTAAATACTTAACGTGGTTTCAACAGCAAGTAAGTCTCACCTTGTTTATCACCGGTGAGGACCCAAATTTTCATACCCGCGAGCATTAAATTAGCTATGGCCTGAGGTACGCCATCTTGAAGTTTATCCTCAATCGCCGTAACGCCTACTAGTAGCATGTCCTTTTCGATTTCTTCGTAAATGGCATCTAACAGTTCATCACGAGAGTCTAGCGATAACGCAGCCTCCTGATGCTTTTGCTTCCATTTGTTGAAAAAGGTTTCGTCAACGTCACGATAGGCACAACATAAAGTTCTTAGTCCTTCACCGGCAAATTTCTATGTGAAGAATTTTGTTAAAAACCCACTACACCTAATAACTACTCTAGTCTGAGCTGTGCAAAGGTGGACCATTTTCATTGGATAATAGGATACAAGTACAACTAAAGGTTTTTTTTACACATTTTCATTATCTTTTAATTGGACGGGAATTTGCAAAATTTTATCCATTTAAGGAACTACTTGGAACTTTTTGTGTGTTAAATAGCAAAGAAAGATGATCTATTTTACAGAATTACTCAAAAAAATTCAAATTTTGTGAGTTGCAATTGAAATAGAAAAAGAAATTTGGTGTACCGCCTTAATCGACCATTGCGAATTGAAATAAAATAATTTCAAGATGGCGCCGCTTCCATACAGTGGCGCCATCTTGTTTTTTTTATAGAAACATACCCTTTTCTATTTTTTTTCCGAAATTGATATTTCATTCTTTATTCTCAAATAAGATTTAAGAACCTATCTGTCATAGTTTTTGATATACCGAGTGGTGACTTTGAACAGCCCACCATAGGAATGTCAATAGTAATTTTTTCATTTATGATAATTGGCTTCCCTAATTATTTTAGAGATAAAAGTCTATTTAGGTTTTTGAGAACAAAATCATGAATTCATGGCTACTATAGCTTTTAATTTTTTGAATTTTGAATAACTAAAAACTGGCGCGTTTAAGAAAATCAGTGGTGCCACGGCAGTTTGAGATCAAACAAAGCTAACTAATGGCAAACGCAGGCGTTTTTTTTTGATTTCATAATTCCATGGCATTGCCGACTTTATAAACGCGATTAATTTGAAGATGTAAATGTCAATTCAAAAATTCATCTCTTAAACCGTTCAAGATAAGCAACTACTCTTTTAACTCAAAACTACCAGATATAGGCATACAGAATGTTAATAAAAGTGGCTCTTAAATTCATTTTTGACATCAAAAATACTTGCAATTTGAAAAATTGAAATTTTTGACATTTTTTTGATTGCTAACGTTGAAAAATCGTAGCAACCCTGGAAAACGATTACTTAAAAAATTCCTTAGACTTTAAAGATTCGATTAAAAATAAACAGCACTCACTTATGTTGAACGGATTAAGAGATATGAATTTTTGAATGGACATTTGCATCTTCAAATTTTTAGAGAAAAATTGACCCATGTCAAAATCTATGTCAGTCAGTAAGATATACTTCAATTTTAATTGCGTTAAATTCAGAATAACATGGCGCATTTAGAAAAAAGTAGAAATGTTTCCATTTAAGAAAAACACAGATGGCGCCACTTCCGGTAGTTACGCAAGCGGCGCCATCTTGAAATTATTCGATTTCAATTTGCAATGGTCGATTATGGCTGTAAACCAAATTTCAAGTTTCTATTTGAACTGCGAGTGGGCTACAAATGGGTTACTTGATTCTCCTTGTATAGATTTTGCCTTAAGGTGGGTTCATATCTCTCCGTTCTTACGTTTCCGTTTGTCCGTTAGCCAATCAGAAGACAGCAAATTTTTAAATCGTACGTCGTCCGTTTACGACGGAAAAGTTGGTTGAAGTTGAACATTTACGTTTCCGTTGTTCCGTTTTTAACAAGAGTGAGGTTATGTTTGGTACGTTAACAGTGTTCGCCTATTCGTTCTTCACGGTAATAATCAGATAGCAACGTGCTCTTACTTTCGTACCATTTTTACATACTGAAAATCACGGAGGGTACAGTACAAAATAAAATTTAGGTTATGGTTATACGTTGCAAATGTACAATGTGGACGGATTGCTATGAACCTTAATAAAATGCATTATCCGTTTGACAGACCAACGCAACGGATGAACGAAGAGCTATGAACCCACCTTGAAGGTCTGCCATTAATTATACACTGAGTGGCAACCGGTACAAGATGCCACCGTTTTACAAAGTGTCAACAGCCTTTTGTAGGGTGAATGAGCGGGTAACTGTATTAGGACAGTGGCGACAACCTATCATAATCCGCCATATTGGAGGTAAAAAATTGTTTGATTGTAGGAGTAGGATCCATATACCTTGTCATGTCAAATTGTGACTCTAGAATAAATGTCAGCTTCATTTCAAGATTCTCATTCAAAATTAATGGTACAGAAATGATCGTTTAAAACTTTGCAGAACAACGCATGGGGAAACCACTGCCTCCCAAAATTAAAAAGATATATAGAAAATGGTATAAGTAAAAAATATGGTGCAACATCCAAAATGTACATATAAAGGTAACCATTAAATTGTGTTTGACATGTCAGTGTGTTCTGTCACTTCTTGTTCCTTGTTGCGTGTTTCTCCTTCTGGGTAAAACTTTAGTCCCTTAAATGGAAGACAAAACACAGAAAACGGAAAACGTAAAACAAAGCAAATACAAGAAGCTAGTAACGTAAAGCCATGAACTGTCAAAACAGTATAATTAATAATTATAGCACGGAGTGTACCGCTTCGTTTTGGAATATTTCTATTGGCCAGTTTGGAATTTAGCTCCAATATGGCCACCGGAACCAACGACCAATCAAAAACGAGCTGCCCTGTTGTCGCCACTGTTTTAAATTGAGTCACTGTAGTGGGTAGGAGGTTAGAACGCCCTCTTGGCTTAGGGAGGAGAAACCTCTCCTAAAGATGGATGAGTTCTAAGGAACCAACAGCATAGGATACGGAAAGATGGGTAATCCAAGAGGAGACTATCGTTAGTTAGGGGTCATTACGGACATCCTCAGCAACGTTGAAAAAGCACTCTTCTTTATTATGAAAGTTCCCGAGAAGAAATGTTCCGGAGTAAAATGCTCACATCCAGATTTCTGGCTGAGCACTATCCCAGGAGTTAAACTACAAAATATAATCAGTGAAAAGAAGGGATATTAAGTATGAGCAATGTTAGGTGGGCAAGGGAAGGAGAGTTTGAACGCAGGATATTTACAAAACAAAGGAGAGCAGAAAAAAGAATGAGGGGTAGCAATTTTCTTCAAAAAGAAATTGGACCAAAACAATACCAGAAAGTGACCGAGTGATAGTGATCAAAATGATGAGGTCAACGGTAGACACCCTTATAATTCAAGCGTATCGACAAATATCAGACGCCGAAGAAGATGTAAAAAAATTTATGATCAAATTGAAAATGTTTACAAGAAACATGGTAAAGATGGGAGATTGGAATAGTGTAGTGGGAAGGGAAAGACAAGAAAAATGGAAGGTGACTTTGGATGAGGCTCTAGTTTCGTGTACTTGATAGAGAATCAAAGTTGGTATATTTTGATATTACATGTTCCTATAGCTGTTGCAACGTAAAGTTAATTACGTGGTTTATTTAACTAACAATAAATTTAGAACAGTCTGAAATGAACTGTTTATTATAACAGTTAAAATATTATTGATCACTCACATTATACACAATTTATAACAGCGCGAACTATTTATTACTTCGGTGTTGAAATTGGAACTGCCTTGAATCATAATTCGATTTGCGTATATAACAAACCCCCCCTTTTTTGATAGCTCTCGAACGCTTCTGAACACCTCCAAGTTTTTCTAGAGTGTTCACGAATAAACACGTGATATTTCTCGGGAAGATTACGTCACATCCGCCTTTGTTTTTTTATCGCCAATGACTAATCTTTCACTGCGCCTTGAGTCTATCGAAATAACAACATGTAATATCACAATACGTCAATTTTAATTCTTTATCAAATGGAACAGTAAGAAAATTGTCATTTCATTTTAAAAAATTGAGCTTCCAGTCTTTGAAATTTCTTAATTTGGATCTCCATAGGGGTGGTCGTACGCAACTTAACGTTTTTTTAAGTACACTAGAAGAAAGCCCTATTCTTTGTCCATGCCCTGTATCAATGGGTTGCCATAACTACAAGTAGTCAATTTTCAAGGTACCGTCTGCATTTTTTTAAAGTTAATAACTTAAAAAAGAACTGAAATTTCACATAAAATTCAAAAATGCAATAAACCAAATAAGAATGCGAGGTACTGTATCTGGGAACCTGTCCATCGTAGAGGCTTGCGGTACAAAAATTTATTACTAAAACGACCACGAGAAAAACCTGGAAAATATTTTTAAGTTTCTGCAATGGCCGCTAGGGGGCGTAACTGCAATCTGGAATTTAAAAAAGTGATTTTTCTGTGAATTCCGCTAACAGAACCTAACAAAAAAATGTCCGGTCTTTGAAGACGACGATAATCTGAACCTTTTTTGTTTGACAATTTTTCCTGTATCTCTAAAAAAGAAGTGGTGGGGGGTATTCAAATGTTTCCGTAAAGAACACCCTGTATCTTCAAAACGACTGAGCCGATTTTAACAAACTCGGGTGAATTGAAAAGGGTTATTCTTCGGCTACAAATTTTGTTAGTTTCACATATCGCCGCTTAGGGGCTTTTTTCGGCATTCCGACAGAAATGGTTAATTTTTTAAAAAAAATTAAATGCGTTGGTTTGATTTTTTTTTCATGAAAAAGTAGCTAAATGATGCCTGAACAAGCTCGCGAAAAACCGCATCTCGATATCTTGTTCCTAAACTAAAATTTACACCAAAGAAAATTTTATACCCTCAAAATTTTATTTTTTTAAGCTAATTTTTCCGGAATTATTTTTATTATATAATTTGTAGCCCTAAGGTGGATCGATTTAAAAAACGAAGCTTTTAACGCCGCCGTAAATGCTCGAAATGCTGGCCATCACGATATAAATATATATATCTCAAGATATCGAGATGCTGTTTTCGCGAACTTGTTTAGGCATCATTTAGCTACTTTTTCATGAAAAAAAAAATCAAACCAATGCATTTAATTTTTGAGAAAATTAACTATTTCTGTCGTATTGTCGAAAAAAGCCCTCAAGCGGTGAAATGTGAAACTAACAAAACTTCAAATAGTATAATATTTGTAGCTGAAGAATAGCTCTTTTGAACTAACCCAAATTTGTTTAAATCGGCTCAGCCGTTTCGAAGATACAGGGTGTTCTTTACGGAAACCTTTGAATACCCCCCACCACTTCATTTTTAGAGATACAGGAAAAATTGTCCAACAAAAATTGTTCAGATTATCGTCAACTTCAAAGACCGGACATTTTTTTGTTAGGTTAATATAGCGGAATTCACAGAAACATCACTTTTTTAGATTCCAGATTGCAGTTACGCCTCCTAGCGGTCATTTCAGAAACTTAAAAATATTTTCCAGGTTTTTCTCGTGGCCGTTTTAGTAGTAAATTTTTTTACCGCAAGCCTCTACGATGGATAGATTCTAAGATACAGTACCTCGCATTCTTAGTTGGCCACCCTGTACATCAATTCTGCCTTTGGAAACGTTTAACTAAAGCTTAAAAAAACACCCTGTATAGGTGTTTCATTGTTTTTTGGGTAATTGAGTATGTAATACACAACTAAAATCAATTATTATCATCCCCTTTACCCTTATGTCTATCTACTGATCTTTATTTGGGCCACCCTGTATATTTTGGTATTAAATATCATATTTACTATCCCATCCCTGCCTTAAGAAGCTGGAAATTCCAAGGGATCTAGTCACACTAAAGGGACTTTGCACAGCTCTGGAAACTTACATTTAAGTGTTCTTGAGTCCTTTGCTTCATATCATCATTACCAGGTTTTAACCTTTCATAAATTACATTATCCGCCCCTTTACAATATAATCGTATATGCCCGTCCCTTCTCAAAATGACGGACATACGTTTGCGTACGTTATTAAAGTCCAATATACACAGGAGCTCGTACACTTCCGTTTGGCCGATGGCCTCGATTGTAATACTGTTCGGCGTTCTCTCCTTAAAAACGAAGCCAAAATTCCTCGCCGCGGATACCAGGGCGGCCTCGTCGGGCGACTGGGCCTGATATTCGAGATGTCCGTCTCGATCATCGGACATGACCGTGTGGCATAAGGCCAAAAGACGAAAAAAGTCGTGACACTCGACGTCGTTTTTTTGTACGGCTTCCAATAATGTCTTGTCGTAAAATTTAAATTCGGGTTCGTAGTTTGGATTAAAAGAAAAATCTAAAGAATCCAAATGGTCGCTGATTTCGATAACTTCGCCGGTTTGCTTATCCACGACGTCGCCGTACGATCGTCCAGCGATCGAGCATTTGTTAAAGGTCATTATATTTTGGGTGAGTGTTCCGGTTTTGTCAGAAAATATGTACTCGACTTGACCTTCAAAAAAAATGTAAGAATGAAGACCGTCGACTCGTCAATGCTTACCCAGTTCCTCGTTAAGTGTGGTGGTGCGAGACTTAGCGGATGTCCCGTTCTTATCATAATGCATCTGTTCGTCCCAATTAATGAGAAAGCTTTGTGCAAAACGTATAACTTCAACAGACACGTAAAGTGATATTGGCACCACCGTATTTAGCACAATGGCATATGAAAAGAACACAAGTAGAGCAGTAATGGTGGCGCCACCTAAAGGTTCCGAAGGCACGAGCGTGTCCCATGGTAGGAATGTTTGAAAGTATTGTCCCACCAAGGACTCCCAAATACCGCATGCCACCATACAGAAAAGGCACACAGATAATAAAAAAAATACTATCTGAAAAAACAAATGGCGTATTACGGGACAAATTGTTTAAATTAAATCAAAGACATTCAATACTAACCAAAAAGTTGCTAACTATTATAGAATTGTGAAACCACCAAAAGAAAACAGTACCAATGAAATTACAGATTTTGACAGTGTTGCCATTTTCATTCACATTAGTATTCTCGCAGGAGATTTTTTTTTAAGTTTAAGTATTAATTTGATGTAGCATAGCTGGTTTCATAATTTGCAAAGAGTGATCATGTATCGGTATAGCATTGAATCCTTTTATATTTAGCACTCATCGAGAGGCGACCTGCAAATCCGCAAAATATACAGAAGCTTTTAAATGTCTTTTCTGTCTTTCTGCACTTTCATTTTGTAGTTGCCAGAATTATCCCCCTATGGTCCCCCTGGTTAATATGTTTAATATAAATATTTAACCAGTGTCTTTCCTTAATTCCTTTCAAAGCAATCATATGGAAATTGATTAATCTCAATATCACAAATACACAGTGTCCATTTTTCGAATGCCACTATGGGGATCTCGATTACCTTAAGAGATAAAAAGTTGGTTAAATGGGAGCAAAGTTGCGAATTTCCCTGCTGAATAACCATCTGAAAAGAAATTGAAAATATCATCAATAGTTCTGAAAATATCGCAAAAAAACGAAACTTTCTGATTTTCGTTTTTAATTTTTTCATGATGAACTAGTCGTACTAGACATTTCTAATTAACACATTATTCGAACACTTTTCAATGGAGATTTCGAATGTGACATCTCGTTTTAAATAACTTTTAAGATGACAGAGAAACACGTGGCAACTTTAGTTTTTCTTATGAGCGCCATTTTTAATTTTTAGATTTTAAGATGACGTCTTTTTTTCTCTTTACAACGATATATCACACATGGTGGTTCAGTAACACATTTTTCCTAAAATACCATTTTTTATTTTTTGGGAAGAGTGCTTTGGAAAAACAAAACGTTCTTTTATTGTGAACAAAAGTTTTGACAGTTTGATGCATATGTCCGGTTGCAGCGGTGGCATCAGGGAACTAGATGTGTTGAGAAAATTCGATTTTCATATGAACAGAATTGAACATTCGTTTTGCAAGAAAATTATAATTCAAATTAGAACAAAATACATAAGAATAAATAATATTTTAGCAATAAAACTAGCACAAACTTAAAAAAGACGCTTGAAATAAGTCAACATTTTGTTCACAACAAAAGAACGTTTTGTTTTTGCATAGCATTCTTCGCATAAAATGAAAATGGTATTTTTAGAAAAAATGTGATACTGAACCACCATGTGTGATATATCGTTGTAAAGAGAAAAAAAGACCTAATCTCAAAATGTCAAAATCCAAAACGGCGCCCATAAAAAAAAAACTAAAGTTGCCACGTGTTTCACTGTTATCTTGAAAGTTATTAAAAACGGGATGTCATATTCGAAATCTCCATTAAAAAGTGTCTCAATAATGTGTTAATTAGAAATGTCTAGTACAATTAGTTTACTATGAAAAAGTTAAAAATGAAAATCAGAAATTTTCGATTTTTTGCCATATTTTCAAAACTATTGAAGATATTATAAATTTCTTTTTAAATTATTATTCTGCACGAAAATTCGCAGCTTTGCCCTAATTTAACCAAGTTTCTATCTCTTAAGATAACCGAGATCCCCATAGTGGCACTCGAAAAATGGACACCGTGTATACAGTTCACACTCAACCAGCTCTGGCAAGGGCTTTGTTCTGGAGCGTATATTCAGTTCAAAAATATCCTACTTGTTCTAATTGGAATGCACCATGTTTTAGGAAATGATTCTTTAAACAAGAAAAACTAAAGTACGTTTTTCCTTAGTTTGCGCGCACTGCGATAATCTACGCCAAAAAATGTATAACCCAAAAATGCCATCCGGTTTACCAAGAAAAAGTTAGCAGCTTATTTGTAACCCTATTTTTTTTTAACGAGAAAGAGAACTTTTACGATTAAATAAAAATAGATACTCATCTGCTGAAAATAAAGTAATAGCCTTGTATAATGCCACTGCCTTCTACATATACCTTTAAATTACTTATTTATCTTCATAAAAACTGACACAAATTTAACAAAGTACGTAAACGTACAAACGCATGGAGAAATACAGGGTTCTGCAACAGTGCGTCGGTCTTCCCTACCTCATTCCTGGTAAAAAATATCAATCTTTTGTGCAAATGTCAACTATAGATGTTTGCGCATCTGCAGAATTTATTCTTGAATGTACAATGTGTCCCAATTTTCGGTGTCAATATACAGCTGATTTTTTAAATGGGGCACCCTGTATATTTTTAGCTGATTTGATGTCATTTTTTAATCTGCATGGAAACCTATTCCCCATTTTGTTTTTTGTCGATGTTGCCAGATTAATTTTATTTCTGATTAATTCCCTGTAAGGCAGTCCCACTTTGATAAATCTGGTATTCTTTGGTTTTTTATTATCACGGCCTACTCCTGTTTATAAACATGTAATTAATTAATGTGTAATTGTGTGTGTGGAAAATATTGAACAATCTAAAAACTACGCGGTTTAGCCACAGGACACGCTATAAAATTGAAGAGCACAGAAAAGGCTATCAAATAGAGAAATAAAATAGTCGTAGATACATCTGAAAAAAAATAGTTGTGATCGTTGAAATTTGGAAACTTTACTATTTTTTGTGAACACCCTGTATTACTAAATCCAATTTTCTCATTCTACGAGTAAAAATAAGAGGAGGGAATATAACAGTGGTAGGAAATAGTATAGCACGCGAGGGAAGTCATCATCATAATACTTTCCTTTGTGCTGGTCAGTTATGTCGACTTAACTTATCATAAAACAAAAGAGACAATGTCAGTTTTGTTTTATTACATCACTGCCAATAATGACGCGTTTCCCCCCACTCTTATAAACTTCCTTTTTGTCCATTTCCGTCTCGTCCCCTTTTAATGCAAGGTTCTCTCCTTTTATTTTTTACTCGTAGCTCGATACCAAAGTGTTGCCTCTTATTCAGATTAAAATATTCTTCAAAGACACTGTTGCAGGACCCTGTATATGTCAAAAATGGCCTACTCTAAAAACGCTCGATATTCTAAACATAAGCAAAATGTACTGGCAACTCTGGTCCATGAAAACAAAAGCCAACAAACTGACTTCAACCTAAGGGCTGTGTCAGTTACGCTACATAAAACAACTAACCACAACAAAGGTGATAAAAACAGTGTACTATGATGCTTCCATTCCATCTTAAGTTATGGCATTACCTTATGGGGAGGTTCGACATACTCCAACAGGGTCCTAAGAATCCAAAGTCGCAGGTGCTCACCATAGAGACCATTGCAAATCACTATTTACAGTCAACAACATACTGTCCACGCTGTATACATCTATGAATGTTTTGTATATATTAAACAAAACCTTACACACCTTACAAGACACAAGGACCAGCATAACTACAATATAAGAAACAACCACTGGCTAGTGAACAACATATATAGACTATCAACCACTCAGACGAACTAAAATACATTGGTATTGTGTTGTACAATAAACTACCAAGAGAAGTAACAACGCCACCTATCCACGGATTTAAGCGTACAATTAAACATTAAATAAATAAATTTTGGATGGATTTTCTGTTGCTTTGTTCTTTGTTAATTTAGTTCGTGTATTTGTGTGGGCTATGCCGGGGTTTTTGTCCCGAAGAAGGTTTCCCAGACATCGCCTAGTATATGGCGAATATATTTTATATGTTCTCATCTTTTCTTACACACAAAATTATGAGTGTTTATTCAATTTCTTTTCGCATTTGTATATAAAAAACACCTACCCACAATGCAGTACAGTCTGTATGGCTGCCTACAACACGTATTCACTTTCATTGATTGCATGATGCTATGTAATTACTTAGTAATGACGATGACGTGCGCGCAAACTAAGGAAAGTCCCACTATAGCATAGAATTTTTTCAAATCAATACCAGACTTTTATTTCTTTTACATTAGTGGGCCACCGATAATTTTAATTACAAAAAATTAGGTTTTTAATTAACAATAAATCTTGTTAAATCAATTAATTGGGGTAGATTTGGGCTGTTTCCAATAAAAATCGTAATTCTTAAAAAAGTCAAAATAATCAGATTAATAGGACTGCAAATCGCCCCTCGTCGTCCAATAAACTTACCCCTATAATTAAGAAATTAAGTAGTCTATCTATACTAGTGCGTTTAAATTTGGTCTTGCCGCTATTTTGCATCAATTTTGTGTCTTTGCCAGCAAAGACCACAACACCGTAGCACCAATGCGTGTTGCGTAAAACACACCCTCGTAGCAGAATCTTATCGTTATCAAGCGGATATTGTTTATTCTTCCACATTAATTGTCCCTCGAATTTATTTAGCAAATTATTAGGCATCTCGCAAATTATTTCTCCGTCAAATTCGCTTATTAGTGCGTCGTCTTGACCCATTTCCGCCGTTTCCGGCAGACACTGTCGACATTTCAGGTTGGTTTCACTGTAACAAACGAATGAAGCGACGCGCGAAGATTGCAAGTAACGCACTTACCCGTCCAACTCTGCCGTTTCGATGTAACACAGTCCGTTTGGTTCGCTAGTAGTAAGTAACAAGATATCTGCGGCGACGAATTGATCGTTATCCATTCGAATGACGTCTCCGACTTGGACGGCGGACCATCTCTCCTGTATAAGCCTGCCGTTTCGTACGGCTTGCGATTTACGATTATTGACATGCGAGTCGGACATGTGACGTTGCTAAAATTGCGCTGAGGAATTGCGGGTAAACGCAAATGGGGTAACTTACAAAATCATCGTAGGCGTCTTTAATGGCAGTGAGACCCAACACACCGATTAAGGGTAGAGCTGTGGTAACCGGTGTCAGACTGCTTATAGCTGGGATCATTTGTAATACGAGAAGGCACAGGAAATAGAAGTTTGCCAAACGTTGAAATTGTTCAAACAGATTTAGAGGCAGGAACGTTAATATGGTGTACTTCGAAGTCTTAATGTAATTGTTCTGAAAAACAATTTGTATACTTGTCGATAAAATTACAATCGCACGTTAGAAAATATTGCCAACTGAAATCATTTAAATCAGAAAAACTTTTGGAATGTTTACTCAACTGACAACCACGCATATTAATAATAATAATAATATCTTTATTCCTGTTTACGCGCGATTCAATTTTTTACATAAAAACTTGGATATCGACGAAGCCCTTGGAGCAAAGGGTCAACGACGTAGAATCCGAAAATCTAGAAAAAATAGGGGATCCCTATTTAAAATAACAAAGTTGATGGCTACTTCCGGTATTTCCGGAAGTGGCACCATCTTGAAAATATTTTAGTTCAATTCATCATGTACCAAGACCCTTTTTAATGTGTTTTTGTTAATGTTAGTGACTATGTCTATGTCAATGTATATTGATCACAGGCAATAAACATATTATTATTATTATTATTATTAAAGAACTTATCAGTTTATTTTCATTTTCAAAGGTTTTCCATATCTTTCTAACTGACCCTCGTCAAGAATGACTCTGTATAGATTTAATAATTATCACTTTATTATTAGCTGTTAAAATGGATATTGAAGAAGTAGATACAAATCAATTTATACATTTAAAAAATTGTAGTAGTATCCGTGCCTGGAATGTATTTATAAGACATTCTAACACACATAAACCCTTAACAACGTGCCATTTAATTCTAATCCTAATGAAATATATTATCGGAAAAAATAAAAAAGTGGTTACAATATAATATTTAATTATCTCGACTTAGTAAGCATAAGAATAAATACTAATTTGTTAACTAATTTTTAATATAATTATTTTGTTTTTTTTTTCCTTATTAAAAATACATAATTAATTTAAGAAACAGCTTAATAGTTTTCTCATAAAACTAATTTTAATTTTTTTATATATTTATTTTATTTTTTTTATTTTTTTTTCCTTTTCTCTTTTACTATTTCTATTAGATTAAATTATATAGCCTAAATATTTCCTATTAATTATGGCCTGGCTGATAAGTCTAGACTTGGACAGACCTTTACATGGAAACATTTCTTTTATTAATAAACCATTCAACCATTATTATTATTATTATTACTAATGACAAGTTTCAATTTAATGTTCCCTACTATAACAAAACAAAATATTTACAACCTTAGAAACGTAATTTTTAGCTTTCTAGCTTGAGCTATTGCGATCACCGTTTTTTTGAACATATCAAAACTTCAAAAAAATGACGTTTATTTTTGCAACTTTTAAAGAACAAAATATTATGCCGTCTGTATGTCGTTGGTCTAGTGCACAAAGGTGCTAAGTGAAAAATAGGCAATTTGCATACTTACAAAAATAAATAAAACGTAATATCAATTAAAATAAGTTTTGTTTTTGAACGAATTATTTTTTTTTTTTTTTGTAAACTGTACACAACTGTTTGATGATACAATTGAAAAAATTTGAATAAACTCTTAACTTATCTTCATTACCTAATATATTTAACTCATGTTGCAAAAAATATCACTTAACACCTGTGTGCGCTAGACCAACGATGTATGATATTATTATTATTTTTAAAACGTTATGCTAGCACTACTACAAACAATGCAACAATGGTTCAAACCGAATCTAAATTTTTATTTCAGAACACATTACTATTTAAGTATTTACAAATCCGACATCCTGCCCCACTTTAACCGTATATCCGTATATTTAGATAGCGTGTAACGCGTTTATTATAATAGAGAGAAAAAAACTTTAAATTTTCGCCAGAAAATGTAAAGGTAAAAAACCAATGAATATCGCAAACTTAGTAAAAATGCAAATTTGGTAAATTTTTAATGGAACGCCCTGTATATTTTTCAAAAATTGAATAATTTTTTCTCCCCGATTGTAAAAATATATAATATGATATTTGCATTATCCGTTTTTGACATATTTGCATTTATAGTATATTATCAAATTCTCTTACCGAATCGCAGATACCATAACAAAACAAATGACTATTATTATTTATTTATTAATTAATATATCATCATGAAAAAGATGTTTATTCAGTGAAGTGTCTTTAAATCTTCCATATTGTGACTTCTTTCTTTGTAAACTTCATTTTTTAGATAACCCTATAAAAAAAGATTCCAAAGCACTCGTTAAAACGATTATTAAAAAAAAAATTACGCGGATAGTTATGGGACGACGCTCCGTCCTGATGTCACATAATCATATCGTATGGGTCGCACTGCCTAGGTACAGGTCGCATCAACAGCGATCTTTTAGTGCAGAATAAAACTGAATGGTCCTCGAGATCTTCACACGTCTATAATTTTTACAACACATCTTAAGGAGTTGATTTGTCCCACCAGATCAGCATAGCTTGTGAAACAAACGTTTTGATTCGGCATTAGTTTTATTTTTATTCGAGGTGCCCACATACAAAATTTCATTTCTGTGTCTTAACAAATAAAAAATTGCATTGCGCAAATACATAAATTGGATTGCGCATGCGCAATTTTTTTTTCATCTATACAGTGTGTCCCAGATCGCGTGGAATTGCATGGGTAACTTTGTTATCATTAAAGATAGAGAATTAGTTAAATGGGCAATGTTTTTGCAGTTTTGGATACTTATTTAAAATTCCCTCCCTCTGATGTAATTATTTTCATTGTTTTGTTGGGTCGAATAGATTTTGTTTTGTTTTTTTTTAATTCATCACAGCCTACTTGATTAAAATATAAAAACCGTTGATAGAACTGGTATCTTATTTTCAATCTTATGTTATGATGGCTCGTTGAAAAGAGAATTAAAAAATCTATCAAGTAATCTAAAAATCCAATATGGCGCCCATTTAACTTTAGGAAGTTGGTAAATGTTCCTCAAAAGTAGCCATCTTGAATTTTTTTGACATCAATTCTAAATTAAGCGTATCAAAGACAGTCACTTTTATATAAAACTTTTTTTTATATCTCTTATACTTTCGATGATATAAGACATTCAAGGAAATGACCAATTTTTTTGAATTTACGTCGAACCTATGCGACATTTTTAATTTTCACAAGGAAATTTTAAATAAGCATCCAATACTGCAAAACATTACCCATTTAACCAATTCTCTATCTTTAATAATAACAAAGTTACCCATGCAATCCCACGCGATCTGGGACACACTGTATAGTTGCTTGAGGTGTAAGGAGTATTTACCAACACAGAAATCTGGTCATTCTTATGTTGTTTGCAACAAGAATTATAAAAGAAAGCCATTCCTGGAAGGTTTGGGCCGTTTTTGGGCTGTAACATTTTGGCTTAATAGTCTACGTAGCTAAAAAACAATAGCGGCCTTTCTGAGATCCTTAGGAACATCAATTTTCAAAGCGATCAGACGTTTCTAAACAAAGTTATCGTGCACACTGGCAGCAATACAAAATTATAGACAATTTATTAAATAAAGTTACCTAGAAAATATAAAGGAGTATTTTTCCGTTTTGTTTTTTATAATCATAGTTAAATAAAGCAAAAAATTTGTATTTTTTTTATACCATTTTTGTTAATGTCTATGTGTACTTCATGAATATGATCCGGTATTTAAATACTATTTGAAATAAATCTTATTTCATTGATTGAAAAACTGTCATGGTTTGACAGTTTGAAAGCACTGTCAGTTGTTGGCATGATCTATTGCAGCGGTTCTCAACCTTTTTGAGTAATGTACCACAACATCCTTTCTATAATATTGCTCCCGTATTTAGTTTTTTCAATCTTTATTTATTTTTTGGAGTTTCCTTTTTTTGTTTGATTTATTTTAGATGAAGTTATTTCTGTTTTGGATTTTAAGTCTGTTTTGTGTACCACTGCAAATAATGATATGTACCCACAGGTTGAGAACCGATGATCTATTCATTTGTTATATGTATTGTTATTGTTGTTATTAATAAGCCCAAATGTGAACTACAGCCCTTCGACGTGAGCAAATATTACACAGAGGACGCTTGATATTTAGCTTTAGTGATTGAGTGACTTTAATTAATAATTTTTTTCTTAAAAACAAAAACCGTATGTAGGTAGCTGTGGAAAGTAGAAGCCGGTGCCATCCACGGACAACTTGATGCAACTATGAATAAGTACAATTGTTTCTTACACTTTCAAGAAAATCACGTGGTAAAAAATACATGGTGCCAAGTGCCAATATAGAGATTTTATGAAGATATCCGTTTTTTGGGAACCTGTGTATGAACATTACGAAGTAAAATGTCTATTGACTGAAAAATGTCTACATATTCATTTGTACATACATTAATGTGTATGTAATTGACAATTGCCAAGGAAACACAAAACCTAAGTAAGTCCAAACACGCTATACAGGTATTTCCACAAGTGGTTTTGTCCTTGATTTACATATAAAAATAAATAAGCGCGTTTTCGATGTTGAAATTTGACCATTGTTATTTTTAATAGTTTATAAATTTAATTTGTAACAAAATGTAGAAAGACTACAAATGAGTCATTCAACAAAATTAAACTGACCAAGTTCTAAATTAGGATCAAGGATTTCGTAACAATGTATAATTTTTCACCAATAGCATATTATTGGCTTTAAATTGATTTTAATAGGCAGGTTCAAACATTTGAACTTCCAAGCGGGCAATAAAATAAAAAAAAGGATCTAAGTACACGTTGGCAATATCTAAACGAATAATCCTTACTTACTGCATAACGAAACTGAGCATTGAATGCTCTATCATTCGCGTGTATTCTTCTTTGATTATCTGAAAGAAAAGAAAACCGTTAAAAATGGATGCTTATTAAGAAGAAGCTTACCGAATGATACATGACTTCTGCGTGTGTCTTTGGATGTATGTGGAGAGTCGGGTTTGTCAGGAACTGTGGTGTGATATTTACGTTGATTTTTCCAAATTACAATTTTACTAAATACGTTCAGCAGAGACTGCGGCAATGTAATTGTTGGCCTACGTCGGGATTCGTTACTAACTACACTAGATTTAGATCTATTAATTTCATCATTATCACTATCGCTAGTCGCTAATGTACTTTTTTGTTTGCACTTTTTGCGTGTGTGCTTCTTTTGTTTCTTATTTGAGCCCTGCTCGCAATCGTCATATACCTCAAACACTTCCAGCTCGTACTCCATTTGCTAGTTTGTAATTTCATAAGTTCGTATGGAGGTTTAGGGAGACATGGTACAAATAAGCGCGGAGTCCTCTCTATCATGTAGTATGCGAGTAGAGTACAACACCTAAATACATAAGTTATTGAAGACACACTAAAAAGGTCGTTTTAATACCATAAAAAATCACAGTACAGACACTAATTATTAATTTCGGCTTATAAAAAACTTCTAATATTAAGAACGGCATTGTCACTACTGGAATGAAATTCCAAATTTCTCATTTTGCAAATTAGAAAATACAATAAAGAACCACGCCGGTTATGCAGATCGCTCTTTAATGCATTTCGTTACGGTTTCCGGCAGATGGCTCCCGTTTCAACAACCGAATCCGTACGCAAATTTACAAAACATACCCAAAATTTAAACGGAGCATCGTTTCTTAAGAACGAAGGCCAAGTGCCAATTAAAAAACCGTGTGATTTTCTAAGTAAAAAAACGCAAATTACTATTCCTTTTAGCTTTGACAATGGGAAATGAAGAATGAGATCAATAAAAAACAAATTAAATAAAATCGGAGCCAATCCCTTAATCGATTTGAAAAACAAAGAAAAGAGGCCGCAAAGGTGATTAAGGACAATATAAAACACGCCCTCCCGGTCCTAATCTTAATCACAGAGCAAATTCGCATTGTAATATCGTTACGTATTCGTATTCGTGTAAAATTGCCACGAGCTCGTATGTCAATAAGTAACATTATTACCGTCACAATGAATATTTAATAAACGAAATTGTTCGTGCACAATTTATACCTACATTAAAAAAAAATGGTGTCACGTAAAGTTGAAACACCCACCTTAACGTATTGCATTGCATTATCATGTCATAATACTAGATTATAAAGGGAAAAAATACCCCACAATTATCATTTATTACACAGGTAGTCTAGGCGATAGAAACTGTAAAATTGGCAAACTGGACATTTTGAGGTGGAAAAGAAAAAAATGGTGGAATATGTTCAGTTAGGTGTCAAAAACAACATATTAAAAATCCCACCCTCCAGACCCTGTGCTAAAGGCTCCAGCCACCCCACCATCCCCCAAAAACCGTGTTATAGTTATAGACTAGAAACCAATTTGAAAAAAAATTCAAAGGGCTGTAACTTTTGAACTAGTAGCCCAATCTTGGAACTGTTTGAAATTATGGATGCTACAGGCCACATTCTATAAGAAAATTTTTTTCCGGGTCGATCTGAGACAATTTTTTTCGGGGCTCAAAATAAGGCAATGAACCGCAAAAAAACACGAAAATTTTCGCCTCCTTTTATAAATTTCCTAGGCTAAGAGGTACACCTAAGCTAACTTCTGAGTATCTACCTTGCATAAAATTTCCCGAGAAATATTTTCAGCTAAAAATATTTCATATAAACCTCATAGATCGCGAGATATCAACCAAAAAAGAGCGAAAACACGATTTTTGGGGGATGGTGGGGTGGCTGGAGCCTTTAGCACAGGGTCTGGGGGGTGGGATTTTTAATATGTTGTTTCTGACACCTAACTGAACATATTCCACCATTTTTTTCTTTTCCACCCCAAAATGTCCAGTTAGATGTCTTTATCGCCTAGACTAAGGCAAAGGTGAGCCGAATCAAAGTTTATATGGGAAATTAAAGCGAGTGGATTTTTGAAAATTGGTACATTTTCTTTAGCGCGTTTGAAGTCCTCGATTGATTTTACTGGAAGTGGAGAAAGTTGTTTTGTTTTTGAGTATGTACCCCATCCCCCATTTAACCGAATTCGTATCTCTTATACTTTGTGTAATCCCCCTTGATCAGAAAAAAAAAGCCCACCTCTGTATTTTGCGACCTTGCTCCTTGTCTCTAGTAGTGCACAATAATTTACATGGGCTCCGTCTATCAAACTTCCACTAGTAGAGTCTTGGGAAGTTTTCTTACGAAAGCCACGATCGCACGCTTTTAATTAACACAGGACAGATAAACAAATATTTAAAGTGGCCCTTTTGTTTAATGCATTTTTTCTCTAATCTCAACCACTTGAGTGCTATCGGCCGCCTACGGAAGATTTGCTCACCCTATATGACCGATATTAATATTATACTTCGTACACGAAAAAATATAAAGAAAATGATTTATAAAAGTAAATAAGAGAACTAAACGTCAAATTAAAATGATGTTCGCGATTTCGATTAACTGTAAAACCCATAGAATTACCAACCACTTATAATTCTATAGTAAAACCTCAATGATTTAAAATGTGTACACTGTAATTGCATATATGGAAATGTTAGACAATGTCAATGTACCCATATATACGTATACCAGGTTAGCCGGGATAGGCGGGGCTGCTATTATTTATAATTTATATAAACAAAAACGAATATTTGTCTGTCCGTCTGTCTCGCAAAAGTTTCTGAGTTAGTATAACACTTTCCGAAATTCCCACGAGAACGAGACTGTATATTCAAAATAAAGTTACCGAGTTTCTTCTATGTTTTAATAATAAATAATGTTTTAAACTGTTAGATACTATTATTACCGCAAAAACGTACCCTTAAAATGTAACCCACTTGGATGATGTGTTTTGGGTTAATTTACAATTTGTCCGTCCTTCTGGTGAGGCGCTACGAACATTATTGAAATGTCGAAAAAGTTTGACTTTATAGATATTAAACAGGTGTATGTCGTGTGGAAATCGTGCGCAGTGTAGGGTGGATGGTCGTGATTATTAGTTTTTTTTTTTCATAAAAGAGATAAAACAATTTTGTAACTTACCTAAACTGCGTGTTCTGCTACTTCTGATCGAACTTTTAACCATGATTAGGGTGAGTGTTGGGAGTTAGGGATTCTTTGTTTTGTTAATTAATTACAGGTACTTTTCTAAAATATATCTATACGATACGACTTGAAATGTAAACATAAGGCCACTTGTCTCTTATTTTTGCTTTTTTTTTTTAAATATAATAAGGCCACGTATTATTAAGTTACTCTTAAATTGTACGTAAAAAGTGAATATTAAATTCTTATAAATATTTATACAATATTGCAGAGGTAGTAAAAATTCGTTAGTAATAATAAGTACATATAATTAAGAAATAATCGACTAGGGAATTATAGGTAATAGTGTGTGACGTCCTTTGAAGCGTCGTTGCCGTCGGCGAGGTGATGGGGAATAAAGGCGGCAAGCACGTATGCCAGCCGACTGTAACGGCCCTGCCATCGACCACCCTGTAAAGTAAACAACAAATATTAACTTGCTATTAAGTACAAAAATAGAAAATCCATTAATATTCTCCATTGGAGACCTATAGAAATAATTAATAAAAAATAAAAGTAATACAAAATCAGAAATAAAATAAGCTTCCCGTCGAGCTTATTTGCCCAATTAAATTTGTGCACATAAGACGATTTTTCTAAAGCCCATAAAACTCATAAAATTCTCAAACAATAAGTTAATGCGTTTTGATGTTTTCACACTCAAATTTCGCCACTACTTAACGATTTGTTAAACTTATCCATATATCAGTAAAAATTTCCACTACGTATCTATGTCTATTTCAGATAACCGAGCAGTGGAAGAATACGAGGATCGCACATTGCGAGGGGTTTCGGTTATTTTATGTACATTAATTTGTTATATATCGAGCGTTTTTAGAGTAGGCCATTTTTGACATATACAGGGTCCTGCAACAGTGCGTTTGAAGAATATTTTAATCTGAATAAAAGGCAACATTTTGGTATTGAGCTACGAGTAAAAAATAAAAGGAGAGAACCTTGCATGAAAAGGGGACGAGACGGAAATGGACAAAAAGGAAGTTTATAAGAGTGGGGGGAAACGCGTCATTATTGGCAGTGATGTAATAAAACAAAATTGACATTGTCTCTTTTGTTTTATGATAAGTTAAGTCGACATAACTGACCAGCACAAAGGAAAGTACTATGATGACCATTTCCTTCGCGTGCTATGCTATTTCCCACCACCGTTATATTCCCTCCTCTTATTTTTTACTCGTAGGTAATGAGAAAAAGATTTAGTGATACAGGGTGTTCACAAAAAATAGTAAAGTTTCCAAATTTCAACGTATCATAACTATTTTTTTCAGATGTATCTACGACTATTTTACTTCTCTATTCGATAGCCTTTTCTGTGCCCTTCAATTTTTATAAGGTACTAATATCCTGCATAATGGTGGATTGTTGGCCAGTAAAACGGCTAGTGGAAATGTGTCAGGTTACAGGATACTCCAAGAAATTTTAAACTCGCTACAAAACCGGAGGGAAAAACTGATGATGGTAAAATTGCAGTTCGAAGAAACGTACACTCGTTTTATTTTGCAAGCGGAAGATGTATGTACTTGAAATCAGTAGATACTACACCAATTAATTTTTTCGTGGAAAGCTATCAACCGAGTCATGAACAGTCCGGAAATCATTTTTGGGTGAAGGCAGTATGCAAACTAGGTTTTTTGATTGAAATGTGTTTGAAGAATATTTTTTTAAAATGCTAAAATTTACTCGGGAAGGTTATGGAGAACGCGAAATACCATCACGACAAACAGAACAGCATCATAGGCGAAAGAAAACATAAATATAGTGCGAGAGTCAAGTCTGGATCTTTTAGTAAACTTTTTGAAAACATTCCTGGAACACGTCAATTTTTATCTTAAATTGTACTGTAATTGTCACTTTACGATCGTCGTTTGTTTTTGAGATATGACGTAAGCGACAATTATTATAAGTGATTATTAATGTTTGAAAAACTTGAAAAGCAATTATCTCGATTATTTCAAAATACAGCAGCATACTGTTTTAGTGTATTTGGTCTTAGAATTTCATGCTCTTTCCAAATTCAGAATAAAAAATAAAGTTTCTATTTAAAAAAAATTATCGCCTACGTCATATTTCAAAAAACAAAAGACAATCCTAAGTTACGAGTACAATATATGTCTCATCTATATAAATGTAACTTATTTGTTGGACAGAGGAGGGATGAGAGCGTCAAGTCTAAAAATTTGATCCACCTGGCGCTTCCGGTTCCGGAACAGCCCAATCCAAAGTCGAGATTATTTTTCTCACGAACCCTCTCAGGTGGCTGAAATGTTCGCACTAGACCAGTGGTTTGTAGATAATTGGAAACAAGTTCAAATATTTTAGTAACAAAGAGTAGTGCTATCGAAAAAACTTTCAAATAAAAGTTGCAAGATTCGATGGGATAAATTCAAGGAACGTAGACAAGTTTTTTTTTAAAATGGCGGTCTTCAAGATACTTCCTATTTTCAAAGGACGCCATATTGGATTTCTACTCAGTCTGATACAGTTTATTTTTCTTTCCAACCATGTATAGCAAGTTATTATTCAAATAATAAACATGGGTAAAATTACAATTTTCATTTTTTTCTTCATAGTTGGCCATGGAAATGCAAACAATTGACATTTTGCAATGTTACAATTGTCTGGCCGATCAGTAGTTTTATTAACATACAAATTTTACAGCAAATGTTCAAAATGCATTCCATTATTAACTAAGCACATTCGGCACCGTTTAGCTACTGCTTGTAAAATGACAATTAGGCCTCTATGCTAGTTTTGTTTCGATGGTCAACTATGATGAAAAATGAAAATTGTAATTTTACCCATGTCTCGACCCATGTTTATTATTTGAATGATAACTTGTGTTGGAAAACTGTATCAAACGGAGTAGAAATCCAATATGACGTCCATTTAAAATAAAGAAGTTGATGTGAATATCTCGAAAACCGCAATTTTGAAATTTTTTTTCTACGTCAATCCTACAACTTTTATTTGAAACCTTTTTAGATAACTCTCTTTGTTACTAAAATTATTGAACTTTTTAAAAATGTCGATTTTCATTTTTTTCCAATATCTACGAAACGATTTATTTTTTTCCAAATATCGCATCGGAATATCCATCAGCATTCTACTCAATTTAAGACACCCTGTATAGTACTTAAATTGAAAACTGTTAGCAAACCACCATATGCCACTCCATTAAAAATCTAAATCTGAAAAAATTTGCATACCGACATATTTTTTCATGATCTATCGAAAGTAAATATTATCACCATCGTTTCCCTTCCGGTTTTACCGGATGTGGATAGCAACTTTCTTATTTTAAATAGAACACCCTATATTTTATTGCATTTTCAAAATCTACGTCGTTTGATATCATATTTCCCTATACCCAGTATCAAAGGTTTCCAAGTTATTCAAGATTTTTCAAAATTTTTGACGTTTGATTGCGCCCTGTACCGATGGCTCCCTTGACTTGAATTTCAAAAAGTCTTCCAAAATCACCTATCCTGACGTGACTCTACATGCGAATGATTTAAATTTTAATCGCCATTCTACAGGGTGTTTTAAAATTAATTTCCAAGTTTAATAGCTTGGAACCTTAAAAATTGATTTTTTCAAATGAAACCAGCTTTATTTTTTTGCACTTTCAAATATGGAAAAATATTCTACATCCATCAATTATTACATTCCCTATACCTATTTCTTATGGTTTTCGTTTTATTTAAGATTTTCTAAAATTGTCATCATTATATGCATAATTTTCCTACGGAACCTTGAAATAAACGCATTAGAAGATCTGTCAGATAAATTTTTTTATGGTTATAATTGTTATCATTCGTTGTTCATGGTAGTTTATATAACTAATTATGAAAAAATCCTATTTACTTTAATGAATACAAATTTAAATAAAGATGAAGTCAAAAACAGAAGCAGGCCATGATAACAAACGACAAAAAAAACAAACATCAATTGAGGTTTTGTTTTACGTGGCCACCGTAGTCGCCTCTCGAATTCCTACTCCATTTCATCAAAAGCTCTTAACACCCTAACTTCCAGTTCTTCACGAGAAACAACTGCTGTAACTGTTTTTCCTAAGACCTAAAAGTCCAGTGGCATTATACCTGGAGATCTAGAAGACCAATAGCGCGGATCTGGAGGCCTAATCTACCTGTCTTTAAAAATGTTGAAAGATATATAAGCATCATGGGTAGAATGAGGCGGTGCTCCGTCAAGTTGAAACCAGTCGTTTTCCCCAGGTAATGGTCCAACGCGTTTATTTCAAGGCCTCCTAAGAAATTTATGCATATAACGGTCACAATTTTAGAAAATATTAAATAAAACGAAAACCATACCAGATGGGTATAGGAAATGGAATAATTGATCGATGTAGAATTTTTGTGCAAAAAAATAAAGCACGATTCATTTGAAAAAATCAACTTTTTAAGGTTTGAAGTTATTAAACTTGGTCATTAATTTTAAAACGGCCTGTAGAAGGGCTATCAAATTTTAAATCATCAATCATTTAAAGCATCGCGTCAGTATTGTTGATTTTGAAGAACTTTTTGAAATTCAAGTCAACGGAGCCATCGGTATATGGCTTAGATGAAAAGGGGTAAAACGAAAAAAATTTTGAAAAATCTTGAATAACTTGAGAACCTTTGATGCTGGGTATAGGGAAGTGTGGTATCAAACAACGTAGATTTTCATGTAGATTTCGAAAATGGAATAAAATATAGGGTATTCTATTTAAAATAAGAAAGTTGCTATCGACATCCGGTAGAACCGGAAGTGAAATGATCCTGATAAAACTTTCTTTTGATAGATCATGAAAAAATTTCAGATTTAAATTATTAAAGGGAGTTTAAATAATGTTAGGTAACGGTTTGCGTGAAACAGCCTGTATAGTCTTTCTTATTCATAATTATGTACTAAGGCGTTCCCTTTGTCACATTCAGGTTTTCTTATTTTTTTCCAAAGAGAGTTAATGGTTTTGTAATTAAATTGGCCTTTCAAATTGGTAAAGTTCAACCTTATTTTGGCACAAGCCCCTAAGACTGGAAGATTAAAGTGTGTAGTGTAAACATTTGCTCCATCTGGGACTTCCGGTTCCGGTTAGTGGCTAGGTATGCACAAAAAAGCACTGAATTTATATTATACGACTGACATTCCGTTTTATCAAATCTAAACAAAAACGATATGGTGAAATTAAAAATTCTAGAATCCAATATTTTAAATTAGTTACATAATGGATTACGTGAAAACCACCTAAATGTAAAATCGATTTCGGCACCCTATGTACACGTTAATCAAAATCAAAATTAATTTATACCTTCGTTGTGGCGTGCGACACACAGTCGGATCAATTTTTTTTCGTACTTCATTAACAAAAATTATATGGAAACGTGAGAGCGAAA